TGATATTTTTCGGTCTTCTTTCATTTTATTTTTGGCCATTTTTCGCTCTTTTGTGGTTTCTTTGCCTCGTTTTTTGGCAAAAGTCAACTTACCAGGCAACAAATTTTGCTGAAGACAAACATGGAAAAAAATACATACAAAAAAATCGGCCAGAAATCGTCCACGTTTATGTGTTTAACTGGTTTTTGGTTTGGTTTTTTCGGTTATATTAGTACAAACAGGGTGTCTCATAGAACGAGAGATACTTGCAGCTAAAATAGTGAAAGAAGTGGGGAGTATATAGAGATAGATGTGGGAGAATTAAGTTTGGTTTAGTTTGGCCACAGGGTGTCTTTTAGTAGGGATAAATAAATAAACTACGTAAAATAACATCTCTTGTGTAATGGGTAGAGGTGAGCTTATGCCTTTGCTTTTGTCTGGCAAACACCCTGTATGCGCATCATAATGTTAGCTTTGATAATTTCAGCTTTCGTACAATATAATTTTGAGCATTTTTCACCCGCATTGTTGAAATTCAAAATCAATAGCCATAGACCCATAGACAATCATTAGGCAACCGCTCCGGACCCGCTCTATGTACACCTTACCGCACATACACAACACACACACACACACCAGTCGGTAGGGTCCGTGCAGAGAGACTTGTCGTCAGTTGCATGTGTGCGAGAGCTGGGGCCTCTCATTTGGCGGGAAATCATGGCTCACACACGAAAGGCAAAAACAAAAACCCGAAAATCAGGTAACAACGCTGCGGCTGCGGCTGCCTCTTCGGCTTTGGCTTTGGCTTCGGCATCTCAGCATCAGTCAGCGTCAGCGCTAACGTCGCTGTCTGCGTCGGCGTTGTGAGCGTCGGCTCTACAGGTAAGCGGGGCGCACAGGTAAGCGATCGGATCATCGTCGTGGGCCACACCAACGCAAAAGCGGCTCACACACACAAACACACCGGACACACATATGTATGTATGTATGCCGGGCCCGGAGACAGGTCTTATATACATGCAGGCATCGGTCTGCGGCTGCGTCGCTGCCGGCTGCCCGCTGCCTGCTGCCTGCGTCGTACGTCTCAAGAAGCTGATCTGGAGCTCGTTTGTCGCATTTTTACCAAAACTGAATTTAGTTTAGAAGCGTTTGGCGGCGTTGAAGGTGTGTGCAAGCAATAGCAATCCGGTGCCGAAGCCAAAGCCAAATTCAAAAAGTACTTTGGACATCTCCGGCGACACAGAGAGAGAGATATAGATATATATATATATATGCAGATAGATAGAGAGAGAGTCGTCACCTTATAACTCGAACTTAGGGTCTGTCTGTGTCAAAACTTAAACGCATTTTCTAACCAAGGAAATATCGAGCAAGTGTTTCGCAGTTCAAGTGTTCAATTCAATTCAGTTCGGATCGAATCGGATCGGAATCACGTGTGCAATCATATATGGCTTATATCGTTCGTATATATCATATATTAAATTAATTCTAAAACTAAATTTCTGCGGCAGCTGCTCTCTTGTTTCCCCCCTCCAACCAACCAAACCAAACCAAACCAAACTCTCGAGGTATGTCATTTACATTCGCAGCTGTACTGGCACACAGTTAAGCGCCCAGAAATCTACATAGAAGGTATGTATATTTACACTAAATCGTGAGCAAATTCTTTATACATCCGGCTCTATAAGAGAGACACACGCTTCCAGAATTTTCAATATCGTTATCGTCATCGCCAGCCGACCAGACCAGACCAGACCCCTCCTCATCTTATATGCACAGACAACTCTTGATTTTTGTCTGCGTCTGCCTCTGCCTCTGCCTGCGTCTTCGTTTCGACTCGGTTCGGTCTCTGGAAACGTGTTTTGGGGCATATATAAATCGATTTGGTAATCAGTTTCCTATATATCTGCGAGTGTTTATATATGTATTTGCAGATTGATCTAGGCCTACGATTTCGTCTCTTTTTTTATTTTTATGGGCTTAATCAGTGGCGGCGCGGCGGCATCTCCTTCAACGCATTTGAATATGCTGATTTATCACTGGCTCCATCTCTCTTTTTCTTTCCCCCATTGCGAGGTGTGATTTGTTCTTGGAACTAACTGCCTTTAACTTGCGGTCACCGGCCAGGCGTCAACTCAAGCTGAGAATCTCTATATATGGTATGGAAATTATGTTGATTCTATAATTTGCGTCATCGGCTTAGCTGAGAGAGAATTGGTTAGGGCAAGGCAAGGAGATTGGGTTATAATTGTGTATCCAGTGAGTGTGAGAAAAATTGTAGTAGAGAGGCATCTAAAGGGGGGTATTAAACAATTAGGGAAAACCAAGTGATAAATCTCCACATGCTTTCAACTAAAAAGCTAAAGGTTTTCTGTTAGTTTAGCTTTAAATCTTTTTTTGCATAAACAGCTAGAATTAAAATCATTTTAGAAAGGGAATTCCAAAGGTCTTGTGCTCGGTTTATGCTAAAAGCTCCTATAATTTCTGATAAGTGCAAAGAATTGGTCAAATCATAGAAAACCGCTCCAGTTTTTTGCTTTGTGAAATGTTTCCATGAAAAATGTACTAGTACTAGACGAGTGATGAATGTTTTAGCTCAAATCTAAGTCAACTATTACCAATCTCGGTTGAGGCATTGTGTAAGGCCGTTTTTCGAGAACCCTTCATTAAGCCCAGAGAGCTCTCAACTGGATCCAGGCTGCACCTCAACCTGCGGCCCATAGTCAAGCCTCGAATGTTTTCTGCACTTACAGCCAACTTGTCTTGAATAATACCAAATGAAATGTGCCTATGGACTCAGACTCAGAGTCAGACTTGGGCCCAGACTCAGACCCAGACTGGGACGTAAGTGGTCGGCTCGGCTACTGTCGTCATACGGACATACTTGCACATACTCTTATATGTGTGTACGAGAGTATATTGTATATAGCTATATCCATTGCACAATTTGAGCAAGCGCCGCGAAAGACGGCGTACAAAATAGTAAAGTGAAGTAAGACATTCAGAAAATTCGCCTCAACATTGCTGCTGCTGGCGCTGGCACTGCTGCTGCTGCTGCCGTTTGCTGCTTTTCAACATTTTCCGCCGCTTTATGTTTCAACGATTATTACAATGAGTGTTTGAGTGCTTGCTTGAGTGTGTGTGGAGTTGTAGAGTTGTGGAGTCGAGCGAGGCGCATAATTGTGGGAACTTACGTTACGGAACGATCGTCTAGCAGGCAGCAGACATGGCCAAAGACAGAGACATGGCATAGCTAAGGCCAAGACAACAGCCCAGCCATTCACTTGGCACAGCCCAGCCCAGCCCAGCCGGGCCTGGCCAAACCCAAGCCCCGGCGCTATAATGCCAATGCAGTCAAGAGAGTCCGCCGACCAACCAACCAACCAACCACCCAGTTCAGCTCATTTCATTTCAGTTCTGTTCTGTCGTCGTTTGTCGTTCCAGTTACAGTCACTTGACCAACCGAAACATTAAGAATACGAATACGAATAAGAATAAGACGCCGCCGCCGCCGCCGCCGCGGCCACTGCCACTCTTCGCCAGTTTCGTTTTGGTGGGCATAATTGTTGATCGTCGTAGCGTGCATATTTATGGGAATATTTCTCCCAAGCATAGGGAAAATCATTGCAGTGCGCGCCCCTTCTTCGATATCGCTCTCCCATGAATCCCACGACGTCTTAAAAGTTCTGGACGAACGCGCGCTCGTCCAACTTTGACCTTTTTCCAACGCCAATCCAATGCCTATTCCCCGCGCTCCGCCCTGGACTACGGTTCGGTCCGTTTTGTCTATGCAAAATGCATAAAAATTCCACGTAGCATTTCACAATGCAGTCACTACGCCTGCGCAAAAAGAAATACGACCAAAGCCGACAATGCCGACAGTCAGACGTCTGTCTGTGAATGTCGGTCTGTGTGGGCGCAAGAAACGAGTAATCGAGTGAATGTCCATGGGGTATTACGAATATTTCAAATGAAAATAGTGAGCAAAAAAAAACCCAACTAATTGAAAGTCCCAAAAATAAAACGAAATATGGAAGAAATTTCGAATCAAATCAAAAGAAATGTGTAATACATTAAATTAAGATATGTGTAATAGAGGAAGATAATTTCAGATCTTTCCCATTGATAAACTAGTGTTAAGTTCTTCACTCAGGGTGCTATGTTGTCTTTGGTTATCTAGCTGTATGAGTGATAAATAACGTCATAAAGCTAGCTTACCGAAGTTAATATTAGCGTCTGTCCAGCGAAACTGAAGAAATTCACGTAAAATTTCCACACAATGCAGACATTCCATTGCGACTGTCGTGTTAAAGACCAACAACTATGAGACCTACTACGAGTGTTGTTCGTACAATACCCAGCCATACAACATCTTTACGTACATATGTTTATTATTTTGCAGTTTTGCTTTATGACCAAGTGCTTTTGACCGTAAGTTTTAGTATTTAAGTTTTTTGTTTTGTGTTATTTCTCAGTTCTTCTCAGCATTTTGCCTTGATTTATGGCCACCACACGACCTTTACTTTTGTGAGCTTGACTTGAAGCTGTTTTTAGCCACATTCAAACAGAATGGATGGATGGATGGATGGATGGATGGAGCGACAGCAGCGGCAGCAGCAGAGGAGTAGGAGGTGACAGCACAATGACGTTGCTAATGAGCAGCTGATGGAAGAGGAGGCGACTCATTGAAATCGATATGACGGATGGATCACGCTGCGGGGAAATGTGTAATGGCAATGTGGCAACAAGCCACAACTTAATGAGTGCGTCAATTAAGTGTAGGAAATTCACAATTCGATTAGTCGAGCATGCCGTGAGCATATGGATAATTGATCTTGTGTGAAACTAAAATGCCGCAAATGCTTGCAAAGGCAAATAAATGAGAGGTACTTATATAACACGTTGATTTAACAGATTAAACGATACTTACAGCCGCAAAATCAATTAATTAATCAACGTATGAGGAATATAATGCGTAAAATGTAAAATATCTTAAAACTATGTATGGAAATCTGTACTAAATGTAAAATAAAAGCATATTTAATCGAATTATAATATTTGCCCATACTTAACAGATCACTGCAGACACCCAAGCAGATGAGCTTTTAGAAAAGTTGAAGGTTTCCCCCCTGAGAAGATCTTCACTCACTTTCGATGCCAAGTTGAAGTTCAAAGCGTTCGACACATGGCTCATAGGCACATGGACTCGTACCCGTACTCGTATGACTAACAACGGCTATGCAAATTAGTTTGGGCCATATGCCCGGTTATCGCAGCCGCCACTCGCCGCACAACATCTGTTCGGCTCGGCTTTGGGGGCCAGCGCCAGCGCCTGCGCCAGAACGCAAATTGCCCCAGCCGACTCACACGATCCGTATATCGTATAACGAAACGACCTGGCCCCGGCATAGACAGCAGTGAAACCTCCACGTAGACCTATACTCACACGTTCTTGGCAGTACGAGTAGTCGTACACTCTTTAGTTAGTATACACTGACGATGATCTCTCTGGGCGCTGGGTTAGTTTTTGTTTTGTTTTTGTTTTTATATAGCCGATGATGTATGGTGGGAATTTCCGTTACTTTTGCCATTCGATTGGCTGCTGTCGTCGGATTGTTGTCTCTCCCCCTGGAGTCGAATCTAGGCGTTGTCTCCGAGAGCGAACAAAATATGATATTTATATAGCATTGTGAGGTGTGTGTGTGTATGTCTGTGTATGGGAGAGTCAAAGGGGTATAGTATATAGTCGAGAGGGTTCGCTTTGTTTGGTGGAAGTAAACAGATTTCTTTATTTATTTTATTATTAATTTTTAGCTTTTCCATTCTCGGAGACCCGTGGCAGAATATTTGTTTTTGTTTTGTTTTTTTTTTCGAATTACATATCACTAAAAATCAAAACAGAAAAGAAATAATTTCTTCCTATTGATTTCCTCTCCGTTTTCCTTTACTTAATAGATTGGTTTTTCTTTTAGAATATCGCTACGAGAGTTGGTTTTAGTAACCAAATGTGTGTGTTTGTTTGTTCTTCCTCTTCTTGTTTTTGTTAGTTTTCGACTTATCGTGTAATCGTTTTTCCTTTGTGTGTGTTGTTTCTGCACAAATTTCGTTATTTGCTAAACAAAAATTCATTTTACTTTGGAGTTTTTTAAAAGTTTCCTTTGCATTGTTTTTGTTTGGTTAAGAAATTAGCAGGCAACTTAGAGAGTTTTGAAAAAATTATTAACCATCATCATAAACTTCATAATTAGAGTAATCATAATAAATTTATAATACATACATACAAGCTCCATATTTATGTTGTTTTTTTCTTTTTTGTAATTTGTTTACTTGAACTAATTTTAAATGTTTGATTTGTAATTTAGAATTAATTAATATACTTTGAGTTTCTGTTAGAATTTGCTAAGAGTTCTTTTAGTTAGTTAATGCTCCAATTCTTTAAAGCCTGTCCTACACACACACACACACACACATGTACATATACATTTAAATAGGGGTTTCCTTTGCTAATTTAGTTCTTGGAAGAAAGTTCATCATTCATTGTTTAATTTCAATAAATTTTGATTAGTTCATTTATGACATTATCATGAAGAGGGATAGATGAAAAACTGAAACCTTTTTGCTATATAGTATAAATGGGGAACAAATTACACGAAACGGAAGAGTATTTCAGTTTGAGTTTAAAGTTTGCTGATGAGAAACCATATAGGGTATAGCCGATGAAGACGAAGATCATACCTACTAAACTACGGACCATTTAAAAAATACACAAATTTGTAATAATATATTTATATAATTTCCTCCTTTTCCTACTTTCCTTTGTTCTTTCGTTCTATTCTGTCTTCTATATTTTATTCGTTTCCTTTGCTACACAAATCATTGGCTGTTAAAATCTGTTTATTGTGTTCTTTTTTTGTCTTTTTTGTTTTTGGACCCCATGCTACTTTGCTTGAGTTTCCTCCACCCTCCCCCTATACTTTCACTGGCATTTGATCTCCTATTTGGTATGCAATCCCTTGGGTATTTGTTTGCAATTCTATGCTATTATTTATGTTCACTTTATTAAAACATACACGGTAAATTCCTCTAAAATGCTTCGGTTTCTGTTGTTTCTTTTTGCTGTTTTCTTGTCACCTATATAAAGTAAATAGTGTTGCATATATTATTATTATTATTATAATTATTATTATTCGGTTTATCTAATTTATTAACGGGTCCTCGCTAATCAAATCCGACTGGGCCGCCTTCAGAAACTCGGGTTCGGTCGGCACTTTTATTTTATTTGTTATTTGCTATTTGTTATTTGGTTTTTAATGTGCTTTTTTACATTTTACACATTTAGAGATGTTTGCACTTGAATCCGCCAATGTTTATCGTTAATTAAATATCTTGTACGTTAAACTCGAAAATCAGATTTTAGAGATTACACTTGTGTTTCGATTTTAGTATTAGTTTGGGGTTTCTTTTTTATCTTTTTGGCGACTACATACACACACACGTACGTACAGGACAATGTCTACGAACGAATTCAATTTCAATTTAGTTTAAAAACTTTTCAAGTTAGACTAAACATAAATCAACTTGATCTTGATTTGGATTTTGATGTGAATGCGGTTGCGGTTGCGGATGCAGATGCGAATGTGGCAGATGCTGATGCTTATGCTTATGCTGATGCTGATACTGATGCTGAGGGTTGGCCGTCTGCTGGCTCAGAATGAGGCCTCCACCAGGTAGGTGCCATCCATGGGCTGATTGTTTTGGCTGTTTTGAGCATTGCTGGCAGCTGGCATATACTTGCCGCAGGCCTAAACACGAAACGAGAACAAAGCGGTAATGCATTAGGGCTTTAGTATTTTCGAGGCACAATATTGATTAATAATGGCTGTAGAGCATACATATGTATGCTCGTAAATAAATAATCGAGAGTATGAAAATGGCCAAGTGATGAAGCGCACGCCCAAAAGTAGACTTCACTTTCCACCAGTTGTTTCTTGCGAGTCTGTGTCTTTTAGGCTGCACCCGAAAAGGTGTTTGCGTTGGTGTGTTTAGTGTTTAGTGTTTGGGGGGGAAATACACACAAATTCATACACAATATAAACAAATTCAACACACAAACATTAGGTATATAATAGTAGGTATAATAGTAGTATTTGTATACAGAGAGGGAGTTACAGAAAGCGGTTGTGAGACCCACCTGCAAATGCACTTAAACCTCAATTGATGAGGTATGGACAGGATTGGTGGGTGGGGTGGAAGGATACACATATATGTACAGTAGGGCTTACCTGATAGCGCTGGGAACAGCAGCGACCGCAGCAGGACTGCAGCAGGCCGGCAGCACTGTGCGTCGAGTGGGCGGGACTGGCCATGGGCGAGGGCGAGCCCGGTCGCTTCGGCTGTCCATTATAGGGTGTATCTAACTCGACAAATTCTCGATCCTTTAGTGGTTTTTTGGTCAGAGTTATTTGAGCATTGAGAGGTGTGTACAGCCAGAGAAGAATTTTACAAAGAGAAACGAAGAATACATAGAGTACAATATCTTTTTTGATTTTTTTGTTACTGTTTTTTTTTTTAGTTTTTTTTTTTGTTCAACAATTTTACAATAAAGGGTTACAGAGGGGTATTTGGGGTAGGTTGGAGGGATGGGGCTTACACACACGCACATAGAACACAGGACAGGGTTAAATACATACAAAGAAATATATAAATACTTAGAGCGAGAGTTTTCAAGTCTCTTTCAAGTCAGAAACAACAATTAGAACATTAAGCGGGGTTTATGGGTAAGAGGGGGCGGGCTGAGGGGGATAAAGGGTGTTAAACATTTAAACGCTTAAAATTCTATAATGGGAATAGATATTATGACTTTTTTTCTTTGTTGTTGCGGCTCCTAAGCAATGACAATTTTACAATAACACAATAAACACTTTAAGACAGCCAAAAGTATGGGTCGCTGGGCAGGGCGTGGGCTTGACAGCGCGGGCAGCGGGGTGGGCGGAGCAATAAATGCGGGGGTGGGGCAGGGGCAGTGCCGAGCAGGACGAGGTAGAAGCAAGCGCCAGCTATTTAAAAACGCTTTCAAGTTAAGTGCGATTTTTCGTACATTTTTCCAGATTTCATTTGCAAGCTGTTAAAAACGCGTTCTCGTTTATGGCAGCCCAAAAACGATTTAGATTTATGACGGATACTGTTTTATTTATTTGTGGTTTTAGGTGGGGATTTTGAGTACTCATCAAGTGGTTTACGGCTACGCTAGGATACTGCTGTGGAGCATATGAAACGGCTATGAAATGAGCCGTAATGAACCGAAAAATAAAACACATAACTGTGTAGCTTTCCTTCCCACAAATTGTGCATCTACTTCCTGGGTTAGTTTTGAAGATTTTTCTATACTTTTGAATCGGCAATCTACCGGCAATGAACCAATTTCAAAAAAATTAACCTTCAAAGTTATTTAAACACAAAATGTATGCAAAAACACAATTAGAACACATTTAAAAAAAGATTCGACTACGAATTGCGCTCTAATCAAATGTATAAAAACAAATTGAATAGTTAAATGAACTTTTTACGACTATGCCCACTTAAGTGGACTTCCATTTTTCCCCACTTGATGAGCCAGCTCCCTCAGCCATCCGATTTGTTTATATTTTAGGATGGGGGCTAAGTTTTTAGTTTTTATTTTCTCGTTTTCGTTTTGGGCTTTATGTTGACAGCAATCGATTGCATATGGCCAAATGGTCGTTTCCGAATTTTCATGATAGCTTGGGGAGTGTGGGGCGGGTTAGAGCATTCCCATATCGTTCGGTTCAATGCTGTTCGGTAATGACCTATTCGAAGAACTTAAAACAGAACAGAGCGCATAGCATTCAACACACAAATCGTTTGCTTTCAACAGAAGGAATCGAAAAACAACATATGTACCTTACGTACAATCAAAAAAAAAAAAAAACAATAAGAAAATACGAATCGAAAATCATAAAAATTAATTGCAACGCATAAACGAGAAATATAGATAGAGAGAGCGAGAGCAATAGATACAGATACAGAGAAAAGGATAGAGTTAAAGATAGAGATAGAGAGAGCGAGAAAGATGAAGGAAGAAACAACGGAACTTAGGTACAAACCGAAAGCACTTACTTTTCAGAATTTATATTCGTTTATCAAAGGTATAGACATTGATTTTAATTGCTTTTTTATTATTGCTATGCATTATATTTTGTTGATTCTGCTCTTGAAACGCTTGTGCGAAAAACATGACACAAATGGAAAACTTAGAACTTATTAAGAATTGTACAGAAAATATAATAATAATAATAACAATTCGTAAACAATAAAGTACGCGGATCTCATACTAAAGATTGGCATTTCAGTTCAGTTCAGTTCTCTCTAGGGATTTCTGTTTCACGAGTTTCATAAATGGGAATTCCCGCGATATTTCTTAGTCCCAATCCCAATCCATTTTGTTTATGGCCACATGACAGGACTGCACTGGGGGCTCTGGTTGTTCTTGCTGGGTGTTGAGGTTTTTGCTTGTTCTGGTTGTGTGTGTGTGGCTTGTCATTGCTTGAGGCAAAATGTATAATTTTGGACTATTACAAGGATGTTCATATGTTGCTACATCTGTCGCGGGAAAAGTCCAAAGAAACAAACGGAAAAATGTACAGAGAAAGTATTGTGATAAGTAAATCAAAATCAAATGATAATAGCAATTAATAAATGCGCGATAGAACAATAAATATATTTATATAGAGAGAGATATACATATATGTAGAAAAAGAGATGTAGAGAGAGAGCCAGAGAGAAAGCCTTGGGCTGCCACATCGACTATACGCACCGTTGTCTTCTCCAGACATCGCAACAAATGGTGGTGCTGCAGCTCAAAGATATCCTCATCCCTATAGTTGTCATCCAGCTCAATGCCCGACTCCTGGGCCGCCCATCTGGCCTCGGCGGCCTTCTTCTTGTTAACAAAGGCAGCTCCGGACGAGGCCTTGGCAATGCGAATGCGCGCCAAGCGAGCTTTCTGCAAGAACATATTATTCATGAGATTGTGTAAAAGAGGAGCAGAGGAGATTAGTCTTACCCGCTGCGCCTTGCGCTTGTCCGAGCGCTGATTCTGGTGATAGATTCTACTAAAGTTCGATACGATAACAGGTACAGGTAAGGCGATGACAAGCACACCGCTAAGCGAGCACACGCCGCCCACTATTTTTCCAGCTATTGTCTCCGGCACCATGTCGCCATAGCTGCAATAGAAGAGGGTATCTGAATGAGTACCATATCCGAAGGTGCAGGGAGAGACTTGAACTTACCCCAGCGTCGTCATGGTGACTATGGTGTACCAGAAGGCAGCCGGAATCGATGTGAAGTTTGTGCCATTCACATTCTTCTCGGCATAGAACATGACGGTGGCAAATATGATGATAGCCATGGCCAGTGAGAATACGAGGAAGCCCAGCTCGCTGGCGCACGACTTGAGCGTGTAGCCAAGGATGCGGAGACCCTGCGAGTGGCGGGAGAACTTGAAGATGCGGAAGACGCGGAAGACACGCAGCGTCACAAAGGCACCGCTAACGTCATCGTTGTCGGTGATGCCCAGACCAATATAGTAGGGCAGGATGGCCACCACATCGATGATGCTCATCACGGAGCGCACAAACTTGCAGCGATCGGGGGCGGCGAAGAGCCGCAACAGATACTCGGCGCTGAAGATCATCACACAGGCGGTGTCCAGGCAGAAGAAGACGATCTTGTAGCGCTCGCCGCACGGCAATGTGCCGGCTCGACCCGGCCTGTGTCCGCACGGCACCGTCTCCACCACATTGGCCATCACAGAGACGGCGATGAAGAAGCCGGTGACGTAGTAGAAGACCAGGGCACTGGTCGACGTATGCGGATTCTCGAAGGCACGCCACATCTTCTGCCGTATGTTGGTCAGCTGCTGCAGGTTCTGATCCCCATTCTCCGACAATTTGTCGTCCATGAGGCGTTCGGCATTCTCTCGCTTCCGGTCCCGATAATCCTCGTAGCAGCAGTCACCAATCACGTCCGGCATGATGCCGAAGAAGGCCAACTCCTCGTCATAGCTGGTGAGGCATTCGTGTTTGGGATAATGCAGCTTGCCCGTCCGATAGTAGTTGAGTATGTGGCGGAATATGTCCGGATCCCGGTCGAAGAAGTACTCTTTGCAGTCCTCATCGTAGAAGAACTCCCGCTCATTGGAGCCGAGCAGCGTGTCCGGGTACTTCTCGAGGGTGTTCCTCCAGGTCTCGAAACGGCGGCCGGATACATTGATCAGCAGCTTCTCGTCGTCCGTCTTGCGTCGGTCCTTGGGCACGGGGGGCGGTGGCAGTGGAAGGGAGGCTATCGGCACCCAACCGATGGCCGCCGCCCGTGCAAAGGGAAGCCAAGCGGCGACCGAGGCCATGCTATTGGGTGGAATGTTTCAGTGTCCCGGTTGTCGTTCAAAAGTGGGTGGCTCTCGCGGGCTGTCTCTCTCTCTTCCTTTTTTTTTTCCTTTGCCCTCTGCTCTTTATCGTCCTGTACTGTTATCCGTTTTCAGGGTTATCTCCTATGTTGTTTTGGCAGTTGAGTTTGTTCGGATGATGGCGGGGGAGGGGGCTTGAAGAGCGGGAGCACGTCACTCGCTCTCGTACTCGCTCTCTCTCGTTCTCTCTCTTTTTTATATATGATTAACTCCTAAATTAAAGCTTTTTTTCTGTTGTCCAGCTCTTCGTCGGTCTCGGATTCGGCCTCCACTTTGCTCTTGGTTCTGCTTTTGCTTTTGCTCTTCTTCTTGCTTATCCTTGAGGTCTGCTTATAATGTGATGCGTGCATTTTTGAACTGCTTGCCAAGCAGGGTTTTATTGCTTAAACTTATTGCTGTCATTTTTGCTCTTATTGTAGTTGTTGTTGCTTCTGCTTCTGCTTCCCACTGCCTCTGTCTCTGCTGGTGCTGCTGCTGCTGCTGGTTCTGGCTCTTCTTGTTTTATTGTTCGCCGCGGGGATATGAAATGTTTCCTATGTGTGTACTCTATCTAAGTTTCGTTGTGCAGCAGCACTGCGAAAGAGAGACAAAAAGAGAGAGAGAGTTGAGTTGAGTTGAAAAGTTTTGCGGGAGTTTTAAAACAAGTTGTCACCAGGGAGAGCAGGTTTTGGGGCAGGGGTTGTTATAGTTCAACGAAAAGTTTCTAGTTACACATACCATACCCGCCCACGGACACTCACACACAAACATATAAATGTAATTACATCTAAAAGTTTATCTCCCATTTCAAAGTGTGACCTAAAATTTGTATTTTTAGTATTAATTAAGAAAGTTAAAGCATAAAAATATGTTTCAAATTTGTTGTATTTATAGAATGCAAATTGTAACTATTTTTAGTATTTATTTGAGAGTTAAAATGATAAATTAGAAGCACATTTTTTTTCTGATCTACATGAGATCCCAAACAAGATACCAGCACTTATTTAAATTTTGTTTGTTTGTTTTTCAGATTTTTAAATAAAGTGTTTTCTTAATTTCGATCTAAACAATAGACTTTATTCTTAAAATTCTTAAAATCAGATTTGTGGAAGCTATTAACCTCGTTGATAATAAAATACACTCACTCACATTAAAATTAATTTCAAGAAAATTGTTTGTATTTCACTTCAATCGGATTTTTAAGTTTATGGGAAATCCCAGGCAATGGAATTTCGGACTTTCTCAAAGCATAAATATTATCAGAAATCTGTGGGAATAACAATAGTACAACAGACAAACACACCCACCCAAACACAGCCAAACACACATCGACCCACGACGACCCACTCGTCTATTTCTCGCTTCACTTGTTTATATTATCAATTTATCGTACCCCTCATAGAACCCCATTCCATGTACAGTATAATGATTCACAGCAACAGAAATCGACAGACAACGCCATTCAATGCGTTTTCGGGCTTCGTTCTGTTTAAATATTTAAACGAGGCAAACACAATCGAACTGGCGGAATGGAATCGTAGCGAAGGGTTCTGTTTCTGGTTCTGCTTTACGAGTCCAGCAGCTGAGACCATTTTAATGGGTGGAACGTACCGACGGAATGACCATTCGACTGTCTCCCATCTGCCTAGGTCTGGGTGTCTCTGGTGTGGTGTGGTTTGGGTTTGGGTTTTGGTTGGGGATGAAGATGGGCATGGGAATGGCCCGCCAATGAGTGGATGGGATGCGTGGGTGCCTTTGTTGGCTTGCTCTGCCAGGCGCAAAGCACAAATTTATGTGCATTTCTGTAGACAGTAAACACCCTGCAAATTTCCTTTAGGCCACAAGTCATTTTGCCAACGACAATTAAAACGCAAAAACTTTTGCCTTCTTCTGTGTTTGCCCCCATCTCATCGGCCTCCCACAACACCCAGCGGGTGTAGGAACTGTGACAAAAAGTCATTTGTTTCCATAAATGTCAGGGCATGGCATGGCTCTTGAAGTCTATATAATGTGTGTCTTTGATTTATATAATATTTATGGCTCTGGCTCTCACACTGGCACTGGCAAGATGGTTCCCACTGGCCGAGTGCACATCGAACTGCTCCGTGTAGTTCATCCACTTGGGACAGTAGCACGACCTATCTATGTATATCTCCGAATGGTGTGCAAAAGTGTTTCCATATTCATGGCCGCCTGTCACATCCCTGACGTTGTCTTGGGCCACATCCCTTAAAGGGGTTCAGCGGGTGCATTGAGTAGAAGAACAATAGCCATTAGGAGTTATTAGTTATTTGATGGCAAGCCGCTGAGACACGCCATGGCCCCACAAAAAGAATGGATAAGGTTGGACAAGGTTATGCCTTACCCCAGGTGAAATAATGGATATGGGAATGGACATGAGTTTTGTTTTTGTTGGCCTACTTTACATGCGAAATGCATATTAACGATTGTAATTCGATTGATGGCTGTCAATACTTGTTTGTCTTTGGTAAAGTGATCATTTATTTTGTAATTTACTTCCAGCAGACTTCTACGCCCCTAATGAGCCCATTCCATGCCAGTTAATTCAGTTCGATTTGGTTCTCATTTCATTTCAATTGATTTTTCAACATTTCAGATATGTCGTATCATTAACTATTCAAGAACTTGGCACTTGCATTGCCTTCATGGCTATTTTACCTTGAAAATAATTCTGTGAAATTGAGTATAACCATCCCCATACATTTTTGCGTACATTAAGCGATGAAGAGTCAAACAAACTGACAGTTTCCACATTCTTTGGACTCACCCCACACAGAAAACGTGCTGATACCAACCCAGAAACCCCACTGAAAGCACTTCAACCCCACCCACAGTATACAGTATACACTATCGGATGCCAGAGAATGGCTGACAATGGGCCATGGAGCCGCCCCAGAGGTCCGTCGTGTCAGGCCTTAATGTTTTAATGCCACATTATCCTATCAACAATTTTCCACTATGGATTGACGTTCGTCGTAGTCGTTGACCTTGCTTTGGTTTTTCGCCGTGGACGAAATGGAAATTAATCAATGCCGTTTGCTCTGCCCCGTGCCCCGTGCCCCGCGCCCTGTCCCCTGTGCCCTGTCCCATGCTGACGTTGATGTTGATGTCTGGATGTCGTTAGGTTATACAAGGACCAGGATCCATTCACGTATTCTGTGCGTGTTGTGTGCCATCAAAATAAATTGTCAAACATCAAATGGGTGCAGTGGCAGGAGTAGGAGCCCTCCAGCAGCCGCAGAAGCAGAGAGAGAGAGAGGCAACACCTTGGGGCAGCTGGCAGTAGGCAGTAGATTGAGCGGGTCTCGGGGGTCGGGGGTCAGGGGCTGACGTTGACTTCCGCTGGACTCAAAACAAAGGCGCCACATGTCCTTATTATATTTCTTTTTTCGTCTTTCTGTAGGCTTTCATTAATTATTTGCATAGTTTATTTTAGTGTACGAGCTGCAGGGCAGAGCAGGGCAGGGCTGAGCAAAGCCTAGGGTAGGGGTGCCTAATTATTCGCCAGTTGGTTGGCTGCTGCCTTTAGGGAACAGTCCACCTACGTCTCTGTCTCAAGGTTACATTTTGTTGTACCTTTCCACGAGAGTGGGCGGCAGAACAATGGCCCTGCATCGTTCCTCTCTCATCACAATAATTCGCATCCATCTGTCCATCCATCCACACTGTGCGCCCATCAACCAACATTGTAGATCATTCTGAGTGGGCGGATTTGGACTTGGTGGTCTTGGTTCTTGCGACAGGCATAATAAACATTTCAATCAACTGAATTTGCTTCGCATCAAAATTAATATTGAAGGTGAATTGAATGAACTTTTTTGTGGTTCATCAATGTGTTGGGGAATATACAGAACAACAATTGAATATCCAGATTTGAACTTAATAAAATTTCATTTCGTGATATATTGTAGTATTTTGTTGATGAAAGAAGTTCAACAGCTCAGAAGGTCACTCGTATATTTCCTAGAATTATTTTTTGCTTTAATATCGGCAAAAGTTTACAATACTTTTTTGTATTTATAACATACAAACGTTGAGCGAATTGTAAATCAGATATTTTTTATATATGTATTTCCTCAAGGGAAATTCTAATTGATGTCATAACCCTCATTAAATTTTCACACACATTTCCATAGCATACTTATCCGAACTGAATAAACACCATAAATTAATAAAATATTCCACCAAATTCATTCCCATAATTATCATCTGTCTGTGCCTTTCAGGGCATATCAACTTCTTTGCCTTCTCATTAGAATATTTTCCTCCACTTCTTCTCTTCATGGTTTCCTTCACTTTCCCCTCTGTTTATTTTTTATTTTTTTATGCTCTTGTTGTTGTTTATTATATATGTATGTACCCAGTCAGCCCTCAACCTCCCCTCGGGACCATTCCATTCAATTCAATTCGGGTGGCCCCAAAATGCTAGTTAGGCATTAATGTACGAACTACACGAAAAATCTACGGAAATCCTGTGAAATTTTCTCCTGCTTTTGCGTGGGTTTCAGTTATTATGATGACTTGACTTTTCTCTCACCCTCTCTATGGTACTCGCTCGCTCTCTCCTTCTAAGTTTATGTTGCTTTCTTTTTCTAACAGAACGGAAGCTATTTCGAGGCACTACTAGGTATATGGAGAAGCCAGTTGGAAGTGAGCAGCCAATTGCAACGTTGAGGCCAAATACAAGATTGCAAAGCATTTCCAGATCATAAACGCAATTTTTATAGTCTGTTGGTGTGTTGTGTGGCGGCGTGGGTTGGGGGGCATTTCCATGTTGTATTTTTATTGCCAATAAGTTAACAATGTTTACTTTTAGTTGTTCGTTTTCTATTTTTAAACAATCGAAACAGAATTTCCGCTGCACTCCCCAAAACCCACATCATCATTCCCACGTTTTCCATACAATTTTCATGCCTTTTCTTTTGTTTACAAGCCATATTATTTTTGTTGTATTCTTTGGGTTAAAGAAAAATGAGAAATATACGGGTATATGTGTTCAAATATGAGCAACGTTAAAGAGCGATGGCGGGAGAGAGAAACAGTGAAACGGCGAAACAGCGAGACTAAGTGTGGGTGAGAGCGAAAGAGAGAAAGAGAGAGAGAGAGAGAGAGAAACTTGTGTGTCTCTGCGCCTGCTCATGGGACCCTGGGCACACGCTTGGGTTTTAGATTTTGGTGGGACCTTTGGATTCAGATTGGGATTGGTTCGGGTCGAGTCTCTGCGAGTGCTACGTTGTCTCGGCTTAACATCAAACATTTTGAGCAGTTTATAATTTTGCTTGCCTTTTTTTTTCAACCATCTAGCATGCTTCTTATGTCTGTCCCTGTCGCTGTCGTACAGGTCCTAAGTAGAGGCTTATGTGTCCTCCCGCTAAGCACTCAATTGAAGGTGTCTCCGGCACGAATAAGGTGTCTATTTGGCAAGCATTTCAAAGGAATTCATGTGACTTACGGCCGGTTTTTGCTTGCTTGATGGAAATTAATTAGTCTTCATTTGTAATTGCAATCTATGGGAAATTTTATTGCTGATTCAATCATATGTACGTGTAAAGGTCACGTATGTATACAACGTATAACATCTATAAATAAGTCTGATTTAGTCTTTTGCCTAATGTAACTCATGTAACGAATGGTTTTATTTGGTATTCTTTGGGAGGCATTTGGGTCAATAGATATCTATATCAAATGTATACCAATGTGTTTGACTATTGTTTGCATAGATGCATTTTTATGCGTGCTTCATTGAACACAAAACAATTTAATTCATATATGAAATATAAATATAAAAAAATATATTATATGTTCATATAAACCATATTTAAAGCAATAAAATATACAAACTTGGAAGCACGTTTGCAGCTGTTTTTTGTATAGCACTATAATTAGTACACAATTTTGTATTCCAAGTATTAAATGGTAAATATATTTATTAATTAAAGCCCGAATTCTGCCATTATCAGCAAATTAATGAGCATAGATTTATGTCAGAGCATTTTGGAAAGCAATATGACTAATTTTCCGATATGCATTTAACTGAAATGGTTTTAAAAGCTAGCTTCATATTTTACGAGTATTCCACTTCCGTTTTACATTTTATTTCATTTCATTTTTTATATAGTATTTATGTATATTACATATGCGGCGGCAACACACTGCGTATGCTTATTATTAATTTAAAACATTTCCCATACGTCATGTGGTGCCAGAGGACAATGCAGGAAATTGGGAGAATTCGATTACTCGCACAAGTTGATTTATTATTAAAATTGCGTGTACCGCAGCCTGTATTGGCCACTACAAGAGATCGAAAGCCAAGGCACGTGCAACGTATTGGCTTACATAATGAATGGGCAATGAATGGGCGATGGACAATGGGGTGATGGAGAACACTGGTCGAGACTTTCATTTTGCTATTCAAATTAATTGCGAAACTCATATAAAACTTCAGAGAGTTTTGGCTATCAGACTGCCAACATCGCCAGCTGGAGCCAGAGCCCCAGTGCATCCCAGAGAAAAACCACCCAAAAAGTTTTCTAATGTCGGCCCTGACTGGAAAGGGGAAGGTACTGGGACGACTGAAGAGGCGGTCTGAGAACGTGCAAGGGGACTCAAAGAGCAGGCGAATGGGCGTACAGGATATGCGGAGGGGTGCTAAGGCCAATGGGGTAATTTATGTAGGCCCGGTAAGCCCTTCCAAGCGTGAAATGTGATTATATCTGCGTATAAATACATATACGACAAGTGTGACCATGCGTGTGTATGTGTGTGGGTTTGTGGGAGAAGAAGAAAAGAATGAGACAGTAACAGTATGTGTGATAGCCAGAGATGCGTAAGCTGTTTTGAAAATCATAATGGTATGGCAAAAGCATTCGATCAGAAAGCAACCAAAAGGTTAAATCTATTTTAAAACATAGCTTCTAGAGTTACCGTTCGAGGGAGGGTAGGCGGGAGGAAATGAAGATGGGGATACTTAGGTAATTTAATAATAAATACACCTAAATAAGGTAGGAATGAGAAATAACCAAAGAACCACTCAAAGTCCATTTAAAACCTAACCGAAATAAGAAGAAATGAATCATATAATACCCACAGAGCCCATGATAACAGTAGTGACAGCATTGCTGCCCAATTAAACGAGAAACGCAACCAATTTTCGATACCTCAAGCACTTCTAAAACCGAAAACCACATCTCAAAATACATAAACCTAAGGGCAGCTCTCCAATCAAATCTAAATCTGCAGCCGCAAAACCACTCAGAACCCCACCGAAATCTATATAAATAATCCAACCACCCACCCCCCTTCGCACAGAAGCCGCCTCCTGCCCATTCAGAGAACGAGAGCACATGGTCATTCCCTGCTGATAACAGAAACAACAAATGCAAGCAGTGCTGCAGGCTGCGCTGCCCTCGTCTTGCTGCTGCTGCTGTGCATTAAGCGCGTCATCACACAAACACACACACAATGACACCATCACACCCACACTCACGGACAGAAACAAAGCTGTGTTTGTGTGTAGGTATATCTGAATTACAGTGCGGCTTTGTTGTTGCGCCAAAAACCAAGCCAAGGATTTTTCGCACGTTTATGCCAGCAAAATGGACCGACAGACAGACGAACGGACAGCGCTGCTGCTGCTTTCTCTCTTTCTCTCCTACAGACGACCTTCACTTAAGCATATCAAGAGCGAGGGAATAGGCGACGGACCGTTACTGATTTTCTATCTTTGCAAAGAGTATTAAGATTTTAGACAGATTTTTTGCAGCTCTAAGTAGGAGGGATATCCTTGATCAACAGCAACCTATGTTCATCCGTCCGTTTGTCTTGAATGAATGCAGGTATTTATGATAGCCGGATTGAACCAATAGGATCCTTTGAATAATATGATTACAACTTAATTATTTTCAGTGGATCAGTATCTGAATGCTTTGGTCCGTACCCCTGCCCTGCCAAGCTTTCATTTCATTGTGACTGGCTGGCTGGCGAATGGAATGAAATGGATGAATATATTAATATCATAGCCGTGGGCGGAGTGGGTGGACGCTGGTGTTGCATTGGTCGCCTTAAATAGGCCAGATATGCAGCTAAAACCATTGCAACAACAACAACTTGTTGTTTTTCCTGACTGCATGCCAAGCAGAACAATTAAAATATGCTTTTTTAAAAGGTTTTTTTTGTGACTCAGTAAGGACATCATGGGCGGCATTTCAAATCAGTTGTACTCGTACATATATGTATGTACACATGTACGTATGTGTAATTTTTTGTTTGTATTTTTTATATACACATTTTTTGGTTGTTTTTGTATTTTTATGAGATTGTCGTGGGTTCGTTCGCCAGCAGCCAGCAACATTCGCGGATACACACATTTTCACAAATCAAAAAAGCAAACGAATATTGCCACACAGACACACATACTCCCACTCACTCACACACTCCCACCCGCAAACACACACACACGAAAGAGAGACGGTGGAGAAGGGCAGGAAAATCTCTTGCGAATTTTTTTTTTATGGATTTTCGGGCCAGGCAATCTACTTTGCCTGCTGTTTTTTTTTTGTGGATAAAACAATTGGTTTATTATCTTTTATTTTTTATTTAATACTTATTTTTCCAGCAGTCACTCGTTTCTTGATCCCCCTCTCTCTCTCTTTAAAGTAGGAGGTGTATGAGGCACACGCTTACATGAACGGTGGGGGGGGCATACACACACACATACAGGCACACGCTTCTGGGGCTTATTACATTTTACACTTGTCGCCTCTTACACTTGCTTCGTCGTTCCGTTAGCCGCACCAAACTCGCCTCCACACTATTTTAATAAACATTTCTTGTACATTTTTGCTCTCTGCTTGCTTCAGCTTGTAGCTTCTTTGGAACTTTTTTGCCAGCTCTCCTTTTCTTTCCTTTCTGTGGCTATTTTTTCTTTTCTGGCTTTTCTATTGCCTGCACGCACGATTGCCACAAAACTTTGTGGCACAACTGCGTCCCGCTGTGGGCTCTGGGGGCGCTGCTCCGAGTTCAAATGCTCACGACAAACTGAAAGTGAAAAGCGACGGCGCCTCCGACGGCGATGAGATGAGCATCCGAATCCGGGCCACAAAACGTACGGCGGAGTCAGCTCTCACGGAGTCGGCGCTCTCGCCAGAGCAAGAGGTGGCCACCGATACGAAACAGATGTTGCTCGGTTGCTCGTGCTCCCTTGCAATGTTTTCAAATGCATCCGAGAGGCGGAATGCTGCTCATGTACTCATAAGATATTTATTCCATTCACTTAATACAAAACTAGCTTGAGTTTACGAATATCACTGAATATCTAACAAGGATTTGGGTGTGGTTATACCAAGAAAATAGTCTAACTAAATCTGATTTATCATGCAGGTCTATAAATATCTCACAATTCCGTTTCAATCTAAACAAAACTTTTCAAAGAAACATCACAAATAATTAACAATTGCTTGTGGGGGGTGGTGTGATTTCTCTTCTATTTCGGTTTCCTATTTGGTGGTGGCTGGGGCTGCTGCTCCCTCAGGCTTGAGCTCATTAAACTGCTTGTGCCATTCCAAATTCATCTTTGACACGGACTCTCCCCTTTTGGCCGCCTGCTTGCCGCTGTAGACCATGATGCCGCAGCCGACAACTGTCAATGCAATCATGATGTTGGCCAGGCGGATGCGCATTTTATTGCGAACGCGTTCCATCTCATCCTGGCTGCAATCAGTAGTAATAGTAACTAATATTAAACCAACTGTTAGTGGACACAGGCACACATACCTGACGAAAGCTGGGACTTCGGCCTGCGATTTGTATTTACCGCTCCAAACCAAAAAACGTTTCTCCATATTGTTCGGCTGGTGGTTCTTAATCGCCTGTCTCAGTTGGTTGCAGGTGCCAAAGGAGCGGCGCACCAGGCTGCCAATTAACGCAGATTTATTAAACATGTTTGGTAAAATCTTTATGCAATTGACAATCTTAACTAGAGGTGGAGAAACATCGATGGAAACATCGATGCATCGATGTTTTTAAACTTTTTGGCAACATCGATGTTCTATGGCGACTATGTCAAACAATTGATAGTTATGTCATCGATAGTTTTGAATGTTTTGGAAAACAATCGATACTATCGTGATAGTATCGGGCTTAAATAATTATTAAAAAACCATTGAAACCTTTTAGGAACTTGTCCATTGTAAAAATTAGATGCCACCTGTCGATTTGCTTACAAATTTGTCTTCGTATTTTATAGCAGGCAATCCAAACATATCAAAAGCGCAACAACTGTAGCTCGATACTATCATGATAGTCTCAAAACCATCGATAGTAGAGGCTAGCAGCAAAATATCGATACTATCGATAGTGCCCTCTTTGGTTTGACACCTCTACTGCTTACATTTATTGGAAAAGCCAAATAAATCAATTATTTCTGCGTGCCGCTTACATTGGATATTGGATATAGTGATTGCCGTAATCAAGGTCCAACTGTAGTATCCAATTGTCCACGACAACAACACGAGCGAAATGAGCGAATACACGAGAATTCTGCAGCGTGAGTTCCCAGCGATAGACTCGGAATTGGTGAGCTATGTTATTGGGGTACTGGCCGGCAGCGTGGAAGATTTTGAAACGTGCGATGACATCTTCGAAGCCGTGGGCGACATCCTGCAAAGTGTGGCCGGCGATCGGCCGGAGGAGAGTATACGGGACATATGCGAGGAGTTCTTCAACATAATGAAGAACAATACCACAAATGTGGAGCGCAAGGTGCTGAATGCCCCCGTAAACATTGAGGAGATGGCCAAGAACATGGAGCGTATGGACATGGATCTGCAGAGCATATGGGTGGTCAACAAGGATGGGGCCAATGTGAGTGTGAAAAGCTCACGAGAGTGGAAAACTAATTGTCATTTGCCAATCTGAATCTCCTTAAAGAAAGTGGACGCAAAGAAGCTGGGGAAGGCGGAGGCGAAGCTGCAACAGAAGCAGGAGAAGCGTCAGGAGGTGAACAAGCATGGCATGATTCCCGTGGCAGTGAAACTGCAAACGGCCACCGCCTCGCAGGTGACCAACAAGAAGAACACGAAATTGGATCAGAAGGGTCTCAATCGTTCCATGGATATCAAAATTGAGAACTTTGATCTGGCCTTTGGTGAAAAGTGAGTCCAAAAACAGTCCCCTTGTTCCCCCCAAGTTCCATAAATCATAACCCATAATGTCTTTCCTCCAGAGTACTTCTGCAAAATGCGAATCTGCTGCTGTCTTTTGGGCGCCGCTATGGTCTGGTTGGACGCAATGGTCTGGGCAAGACCACCATGCTGAGGATGATTGCAGAGCGACAGCTGCTGATCCCCTCACACATCTCAGTGCTGCATGTGGAACAGGAGGTGGTGGGCGACGATACGACCGCCGTTGAGAGTGTCCTGGAGTGTGATACTGAAAGAACAAGGCTGCTGACAAGGGAAAAGGAAATTTTGGCCGAACTAAACAATGGCGTTCAGGATTCGACCCTGTCTAATGAGCTGAGCGAGACGTATGCTGCCCTGCAGAATATCGAAGCAGACAAGGCGGTGGCCCGTGCATCTGTGATACTTAAGGGTCTTGGCTTCGACGCTGACATGCAACTGCGGCCAACCAAATCGTTCTCCGGTGGCTGGCGCATGCGCTTGGCCCTGGCCCGTGCTCTCTTCTCCAAGCCGGATCTGCTACTGCTCGATGAGCCGACAAACATGTTGGACATCAAGGCCATCATCTGGCTGGAGAATTATTTGCAATCGTGGCCGACTACGATCTTGGTTGTATCTCACGACCGCAACTTTCTGGACGTAGTACCCACGGACATTGTACATCTACATTCCCAGGAACTGGAGGCATACAAGTGAGATATATTAATCCGGGATTAACTGGAAATCAACTGGCTAACAAAACTTCACATACTTATTCCGCAGGGGTAACTATGAGCAGTTCGAAAAGACAAAAACGGAGAAGCTTAAGGCTCAGAGACGCGAATACGAGGCTCAAATGGCTCATAGAAATCATGTCCAGGAGTTTATTGATCGTTTTCGTTACAATGCCAATCGTGCCTCATCTGTACAATCCAAAATCAAGATGCTGGAGAAGCTGTAAGCCTCAAATATCATCCACCATTAGTCCTGACAGTCTGAGATATACCTGTATTTCCCCTTCCACACAGACCCGAACTCAAGCCCGTGGAGAAGGAAACGATCGTCACGCTCAAGTTCCCCGAGGTGGAGCCACTTAATCCCCCCGTTCTGGCCATCTCTGAAGTCTCCTTCCGCTACAATCCCGAAGATCCCTTGCCCATTTTCAAGGGTGTCAATCTGTCTGCCACCTCGGACTCGCGCATCTGCATTGTGGGCGAGAACGGAGCGGGTAAATCCACGCTGCTCAAGATCATTGTCGGCCAACTGAGCACCATTTACGGCAACATTGTCCTGCATCGGGGCCTGCGCATTGGCTACTTTGCCCAGCACCATGTGGATCATCTGAATATGAATGTGACGTGTGTGGGCGTCCTGGCCGAACTATTTCCGGGTCGCCCCGATGAGGAGTACCGTCGGCAGTTGGGAAGCTTTGGTTTATCCGGACCCCTGGCACTGCAGAGCATTGCCAGCTTGTCTGGTGGACAAAAATCACGTGTGGCCTTAGCCAAAATGTGCATGGGTAAGTGGAATTTTATTGAATCCATCTAAATTTTCCAATCAAATAATAATCCTAATCAAATGGATTGATTCAACAGCGGAACCCAACTTTTTGGTGCTCGATGAGCCTACAAATCACTTGGACATTGAGACAATTGATGCTTTGGGCAAGGCCATCAATGCCTTCAAGGTAGATTTCATCAAACAATATTTAAATGTATGAAGCCCATTAATTGTTATCATTTTAGGGCGGCGTCATCTTGGTCTCCCACGACGAGCGTCTCATCAAAGTCGTTTGCAAGGAGCTCTGGGTGTGCGGCAATCGCACGGTACGCGCCATCGAAGGTGGCCTGGATGAATACAAGCGTGAGGTCTACAAGGAAATCGAAGCGAATAGTTGAATTGTATTTTAATTTTAATACCCAATGAATTTGTGAAACAGTCTAGCACTAAATTTATAACAAAACATGTCCGTGACAAAGAAAACACTTCGGAAATGGTTTAACAATGTTTCCAAAGATAAATCTTCACTGTGGTTTTCCTAGACATCGTTTGATTGTGATCCAGTCTGATTTAGTTTCCGGCGTAGCTCAAATAGCAACAGCGTCAGGGCAGATGCCACATTCAGGCTATCAATGCCAGCTGCCAAGGGTATGTACACGCACTTTCCCTTGCCTCCCACCAGGTTCATGAAGCTGCAAGAAGATACATTCATCATACATTAGTTTTCACATGACCATCGGGGATAAAGAATCTTTTACCTGTAGGCCTCTTCGCTTACGCCATGGCTTTCTCCGCCAATTATGAGCAAATTGTGGGATCCAATCTGTGCAATGTCTGCATAATCGATGGCCTGGCGGTTGGCCAGCTTCCCCTTATTGCTCTCCGCTATGAAAACGTGACAATCGTCAGCTGCCTCGGCTGGGATGCTCATGGAGAGCTCTTCCCATGAAACATCGTCGCGTATGGGCACGCGGAACTGACCGCCACAGCCGCCGCGCAGCGCCTTGGACTCCCAGGGATCGCAACAGCCGCGAGTGACCACCACCTGGCTGCAGGGCAGGGCGGCGCATGTCCTAATAATGCTTCCCAGGTTGTTGGGCTCCCTTATGTTGTCACACACGACTGTAATGGGCAGGGGCTGGGTGCCCAGCCGCTGTTGCTCTGCCAGGTTCTTCTCCAATCCCTTCTCCGTGGGCCGATCGAAGACGGCCAACAAGCCAGGGGGCGTCACCAGCGAGGACCAAGTCTTTAGGTCATGATGTGGCACTTTGTAGATCTTTGTGCGGCTCTCCTGCTGGGCCTGGGCCACTTCCTCTTTTAACAGGGCCAGCTGATCCTTCTGACTGAAGATGAGGCTACTCATTTTGAGGCCACATTGCAGTGCCTCCTTTATGAGGCGCCTGCCCTCGATGATGATCTGCCGGTTCTTGTCGCGACGCTTGCGAGAACGCACTGTGGTCAACAGCGTGCTGGTCAACGGATCCTGCAGTGTGAGGCGCACAAACTCCAGATTCAGTTCGCTGTCCTTGATGACTGCAACTGGGACTGGTGACGGTCGTGGCGCAGGTGGAATGCTGAACTTCGGTGGTGGTGTCACTGAGAAACTCTGATCTTTCACGTTTCTTGGGGGTTTAGCTGCTGTTCCTTTTGACCGATTCTTGCGTAAAGCTTCCCGCGTGCTAACCGGCTCATGCTTTATGGAGGAATTCTCGAAAAGATTGGCCTCTATATCCAGTGCGTCTGTGATGTCGTCTCTGGGAGCACCTGAGCTGCTCGATCGCAGCACATTCAAGTTGTTCACATGCCGTAAATTTGATTGAAAAGAGCGTTTTAAGATATTATAAAACATGATTGTGTATTTCACTTGTTGTCAGTGCTGCCAGTCTAGCAGGTTTCGGGCTATATCTAGCGATTTTAGTTCTGTTATGCAATTTAGCTTTTTTTAAATACATTCAGCTTGTCTTAGCTTTTAATGTTTATGGCATCTCTACTGTTCGAATGAAAAATGTTTAGCTCATCGATATGGAAATACAAATTTATATTCATTATTTTGGGAACATAGAGACACCACAACATTAAGCTGTTGTTGACGTACAAATATGATAAAACAATAAAACATAAAAATCGAATCTAGCTTGTATTCTGTCAGCACTGAATTTCTAAATAACTTTCGCTTCTCTCCGTAATTACTGTTGATATGAAAATATATTTTAATTTCAATTTCAATATTTGTGTATTTGTAGATAAGGGTAGTTAGCCATTGGATATTCTTGTTGACCAATTCTGCTGTCTGTACGAATGCTGCATGGCTGCTGCTTGCCCCGTCTAAATAGGCCGTTCCTATGAGCAAGGCGGAAATTTGAAATTGGCGTATTCTAAAATTTCAGTTGTAATGAAAATATATTTTTATTTCAGTTTTAATATTTGTGGTTAGCAGTTAATAACAATTTCAAATTAATTAAAAACTAATCGCGGAATCGGTTCTTCCGCTTATGTGTTTGCGTAGTTTAGTGTTAAGCATTCCCCATTCATTCTGATAACAAAATACAATAATAATTTAAAATAACAATTCAAAAGTCAAACGCCTTTAATTGGAAGGAGTACGGAGAGGGGTATGAGGAGGGGACTGGGGTTTCGGGGTAGAGCTTCGTAAAACAAGATTAATACGAAAATGCGATGTAAACAATTAAAACATAAGAAATTCATCTAAATTGGGCTTCATGCGGTTGTGTAAATTCAAGGATATAAATAAATTCTTAAAATATTAATCATAATAAGTTCCATTTTAGCCATTCTCCAAGGCCTATTCTTCACGAATTTTGTTCATAACAGTTTAAAAACTAGAATTACTACTATCACCGCTGCGATTTATGTGTATGTGTATGTACATGGCTACCTTCTAATTCTGTTAAGTTATGTTCCATAAATATTAAGCAATGCCTCTAAATGTAAGCATGTACATATGTATATGTACATGGCTGAACCACAGCGCAAACTAGGCGCTAGGCGTAGCCGAGTTCGAGTTCGAATTACTGCTGGATTGTTGCTGGTTGTTGTTGGTTTTGCGCTGCCTGGCCCCACGGCCGGACCACAGGTACGACAAATCAATGGGCTGCTCCTGGGCCGTCTGTGCATCCATACATTTCAGCTTGACGGTCTTCAAAACGTTCTCCAAGCGCGAACGCTTCTTCTCGAGGACCTGCAACATGATTCCATAGGCAATTGGTGAACTTTCAGTTGGCAAAGGTAATCGCAGTGTACACTCACCTGTCCATTGGGCGCCACTGGGGCTATAACATGCATTGTTGTGGCTCCTCCCGTTGCTTCTGCGGCTGCCGCACTATTCCCACGTGGCTTTCTGCCTCCTGCTTTCTGCTGCTGCTGCTGTTGCTCCTGTCTTCCTGAGGTCTTGTGCATCGTTGCGGGCACAGCTCCTCCTACTTCTAAATCAGTCTTTTGCTTCTTCGTTTTCAGCAACGAGGGATCCACATCATGGGGCTGTAGAAACGTGGAATTATAACATATAACTGGAGCAGCACACATGAATTATACATACCGCATAGCTTTTGCAGATCTTCAGCTTTTCGGGGAACTTGCGGAAGGCATAGCTCTTAGTGCAGGCCGGATGATTGGCCTTGGCTTTGGAAAAGAATCTCGCCGTCTTGTCCACACGCAGCTCGCAGATGAAACAATGATCCTCGTCGGGGCACTCCATTGGACGGCCCTTGCAGAATGTGGTGCGATCCAAGACCCAGCAGCGGCCAATGACTAGCTCAATGGGCACCACTTCGTAGAGGGAGACGCGCACAACCTCATTGGGATAGAAACGGCGCGAGGGCTCGTGGAAGGTCTCGTGGGGTCGCAGAAAATGATGCCCGAAAATGAAGCGTTTGCCGTCATCATTCTTCCACAAGTGCTCCACGCGAAAGATGTCGCATTCCTGGTAGTCAATGGCCCCAATTGTCTCGTAGGTGTGCTTCTGGCTGGGCAGTATGTTGCCGGCCGCATCTTTGATGGGTATGTCGCGTAGCACATACACAGCGTCGCCCTGTCGCACCTGCAGATTGCCGCGCATCAGTGTGAGGTAGTAGCGATGGCCCTCTTCGGTGTATTCGTCCAGGGGTATCTCACGATCCACTTCCCGCGGCTCACACCGCTCGCACTGGTAGTTGTCCGCATCGATGTCCGCCTTGGTGCACTCCGTATGCTGCCACACCATGCACTTGGCGCACTGAATCATCAGACCCTCGTCTTTGTAGAGGCCGCAAATGCAACGAATCACATCCTCATCGGCCGAGGCCTCGATGGGAGGCAGTGGCACAGTGGCCAGAGCTAATGGAGCCACTTTCGCTGCCTCTGGAGGTTGCTCCTCGACAGGTGCAGCCTCCTCCTTTGGCCTGAAGCTCTGCAATGACTCGGAATCGCCCAAAATCTCCAGCAGATGTGTGTAGCAGGCCGTCTTCTGTTGCTCGTAGCAGTCCAGCAGCTTTTGCACCGCCTTGGACTTGCCCTCATCATCGCTATGCTGCTGCTTGGCCTCCGCAAAGAGTTGCAGCATCTGCAAGTCATATTCCAGGGGCGTCTTATAGTGTCCCTGCTCGACGTGCGCTTGTATTGACTTGAACTCCACGCGGGCGGCCGAACCAGTGCCTGAGCCATGAGTCTTTCCGTTCGAGTTTTTCATGGCCTTCTTTTTCTTATTGCTGGACACAGTCATCAGGAGTTCGGACATCTTCAGGGCCTCCACAGCGTTGCAAATGTCTCTCAGAATCACGGCCATTTTGGCCATCTTGTCCAGCTCTGGATCCTGGACGGCTTGGGTGAGGCCACGGGTCTTCATGTTCCTTTGTGTGCAGAGAGCCGAGATCTGGGTAGCCAGCAGACAGGTAGAAGATGGCGTGGAGGGTCGACTTCCTGGCAATCCGTCGCCATTGGTGGCGGCATGTGTGGGCGAAGCAGATGCTGCTGCTCTCTTGGCCTTCAATTTGCGAATCTATTTGAGAGAGTGAGAGAGAGATTAGAGGAAATCCTTTTGGGGTTTACTAGATCGAGACATACCTTTTCGAAGTTCCGGATTAGGAACGCATTGAACTGTTTGACCAATTTCTTCTCCTTCTCGGAGAGTGGCTGCATCTTGGCCTTGGCCACCGCCACGGCCGCTGGGCTCTCCTTGCCCGTCAGCCTCTGGGCATGCTTCTTGGCCTTGTGCTTCCGCTGGCGGCCGTTGCGGACCGGACAACTCTCCACGGGCTTCGCCTCGACGGCAGGCAGAGGCTTCACTCTCTGCGACTTGCCACCAATGACGCCCCTGCACTGCGGCATGTTGCAGCGACAGGGCTGGCCCTCGGAGGGATTGAACAGCGAGAAGTTGTAGTCGTAGGTGAGCTCCTCGCCCTGCTCGATGGGCCGCTTGGCAAACAGTACCATGCGGGACAGCCCGTTAACGCTCCACTTCTGCATCTCGCAGTTGGGCTCGCAGGAGTGGTTCACAAAGCGACAATCGCTGCCCATGCGCTGGCCGTCGATGACGAGCCCACCATCCAGATGGAGGCAGTAGTGATGCGTATCATTCAGATAGATGCTGGCCATCCGCTGCTTGAACTCCCGCTCGGTGACCACCTCGCCCACATACTCGAGGATGTAGGTGCCCTTGGCGATGGGCAGCTTGGTCCGCACACCCCAGCCCTTGTCCAGCGTCATGAATCGCTCCACGCCGGGTGCCACCTCGTGGCGTTGAATCTTCTGGTTCCGGCACTTCTCCGCCGCCGGGCAATTGCTGGGCGAGCACTCAGTGTAGACCATGCGATTCAGACAGTTGTCCAGGCAGGCCTTCTCGCCCTGGTTCTTGCAGTTGCAGGTGGGATGATCGAAACCGGCCTGATTCGGACGCACTGACTCCGCATAGACATTCGTGCGGATCTTGCGATAGTTCCACGAGGGCACAATGTGACGCGTGGGCAACTTGTCGTTGGTGTACGCCCACCAAATGTCGTAGGGCAGCTCAAAGTCCATTTCCGTTTGCCGGTGATACTTCTCGCAGTAGGGCGGTGGCGGCAGCAGGCTGCCACCCTGCGCGACATGCTGCTCCTCCAGTCCCCCTGCTCCTGCTGCTGGCTTCTTGTTCAACTTGTGCCCTGGCGGCGGCATCGGCGACTGCTTGTAATAATTTGAAAAGAGTCCGGCCACCAGGTAGTTCTTCTTCACCTTCGTGTACTTGCGCTGGGAGGCAGCCACAGAGGCCGTTGATGCAGTCGAGGCCTTGTCCTCGCTGGCATCACTCAAGCTGGCATTGTCGGGCGGCAGGGGATGAAGCGATTCACTGATGGGCAGAGGGTCATGTTCGATGGGGATTCCCTCCAGGCGCTTGGCCTCTGCCGCAGCATCGATTTCCTCCTGGGTGGCATGCATTTCCAAGGGGGAAACCGCCTCCACGGGCACCGGAACGGGCACGGGTACAGCCAGAACTGGCTGTGGCGTTTCCACGATGCTGGCCTGCAGATTCTTTCTTCGCTTCAAGCGAATCTGACAGCTCTTCAGGCCCACGCCTGCCGGTAGCTTTATGTTGTTCAGCGTCTGTGGCTGCTTCACCTGTTGCGGCGCTGCAGCGGGCTTGTCCACTTCCACTTTTGGCTTGGGCTGGCGTCCACGCTTCTTGGCCGGCGGCTTCTCCTCCAGTACGGGTAGGGGGGGAGGTGGCACCACCACAGGGAGCCCCTCCTTGTCTTTGGGTTTTCGTCCTCGAGGTCTGCCCCTGGGCGCTGGGGTCTGCGGGCGCTGGAGACGTTCTAGAGCCACCACGGAGAGGCGCGGTGCCCTCTGATTGCTCCTGGCAACGAAGGTCTCCCTGGCCTCGCCTGTTAGGGGCACCCGCTCACAGTCCAGCAGGGGATTGGCCGGGATTTGGGCACTGCTGGAGCTCCTCGTCTCCCGAATGGGCTGCAATGGCTCCTCGTCTGCTTGCTGCATCCCATGCATTCCCATGGGATGATCCTCCATCACGACTGCTGGCTGCTGCTGCTGTTCCACGCTCACCTTCCGTTTCTTCTTTTTCACTGTGGGAAATCCTGTGCGATTGATCTTCTTCCGTTTCCGCTTGAGCAGGAGATTGCCGCCGGACTTGTGGAGCAGCGTCTCCACCACCCGCTGACCGATTTCCTTTTTGGTATCCTCTTTGATGTCCAGGGCCGAGAGCAGCGGCGACTCCACCTCGGTCTTGGTTATGACAGATTCGTTTAGCTTGCCAATGGGAATCTGTATTTCCAGCTCCACCGATGGCTCGAATATGCCTGGCGGGGGATAGCTGCCGGATGGCGATTGCAGCTGGATCAGGTCTCTCGCGGAGTGGGGCGCCTTCTGCTGCTTGGCTGCACCTCCGCGCCGCTGCTGCTTGAGGGAGCACAGAGAACTGGGACTGATGTCCAGCAGCTTGCCCCCACTGATCGAATTGTTGTCCACCACAATCCGCAGCGGAGAGTTGCTGGCCGAGGAGGCAGCAGCGGCAACACCTGCCGCCGCTGGTTGCTCCAGCAGGTGTCGCTTCTTTGGCGTCAGAGCCGACTTGCCACTCTTCGCATTGAACTGCGCCTGCGACTTGGTGGAGGCCGTGCTTTTGGCCGTCGCAGCTGCTGCCGCCCAGGCCTCGGCATTGAGCTTACCATTGGCAAAGGCCGTCTCGGCCAGGGGACGCTCGCCGGGCGTGAGCAGATAGTGGCGTTTCTTCAGCGGCAACTTGTGATCGTCGGGACTGGAGCTGGAGTTGCTCTGCGACTTCTTGTGGCGCCGCTTGGCTGTGCCATTGCTGCTGCCACTGCCATTGGGGGTTCCGCCGGCGCTCGCACTGGCGCTGGCCGAGAGCATGGCAAAGTCCACCAACGGCTCGCTCAGTTTGCGCTTCTTTTGGGCCCGCTTGAGGGGCTTGGACAGCGCTGCGGCAGCCGACGATGCAGAGCCACCTCCTCCATTGAGAACCAATTGCTGTGCCGCGGTATTGGGTGCCGCGAGGGTCGCCTGCAGCTTGGTGGCCTCGGCCAGCAGCTTCTCCTTGCCGCTGCTGCCAGTGAGGCGATCATCCTGAATGCGACAGCGGGCGTGGAAGGTGCTGGTGATGATCTCAATCTCAGTGAGCAGCTTGGAGTCAATGTTCAGCGACTTGCTGTGGCTGAAACTCTTGCGTCGATGCCGGCGTCGCACGCGCGACACTCCAGAGACATAGCTGCTGCACATTGACGCCGCCGAGGAGCGTCTGGACTTGATCTTGCAGGACGACTTGCTGGGTGCAGGGGTTTCCTTCCGTTGATTCATCATTTTGCTGATAAAGTTCTCCGGATTGGTCGGCGCTAGGCTGCCGCTGGTGCTGCCGGTGCCGCCGCCACGACCGAAATACTGTCCAGTGGTCACATATCGATTAATTTCACCATACTTCTTGCTGGCACTCGTCGTGGGCAGACTCTGGAGACTGGGCTTGCTGATGTACTCGTTGCTCTCCTCGCTGCTCTGGCCCAGGGAGAGGCCGGCCAGCAGCAGTATGTCCTGGTCGTCGGTGGGGTCATCTTGGGCTGCTCCACTCTTCAGCAGCATCGAGGCCCTACGCTTGCGTCTCATCCGCATGCCAGACTTGCCCGACTCCTTGCAGTCGCTGCGATAGCCACAGCTCTTGGCCCGACTCCGGCGACTCATGCAGCTCTTGGTGCTGTAGCGACTCTTGCAGCTGGCATCGGACTTGTAGCCGGAGTTATGGTTGTGCGAGCTCCTCTGGTGCCGCACACTGCCGTAGTCCGAGACATAGCCGCTTTTGGCCGCCAGTATCTTGCTGCATATTGTGGTGCTGGCACCGCCCGCACCACTCGTTGCACCCGCACCCACACTCACGCTGCGCAGCCTGAACTTTTTGTTCACATCGATCTCCCGCCACAGTGGGTCCAGCTGCAGCTCTTCCTTGTTCGTGCTGGAGCTGGCCTTCTTGTTGTTCTGCCGCCGCTTGTTCCTGGGCGAGGGATACAGGACTCTCTCTGTCGCATACATACGCTTGTCCAAGTAGGCCATATCGATCTTGGGCTTGTTGCTGGTCGCAGGGGCTGGAGCTCCGGCTGTGCCGGAGGGCACAATATTCTCGGTTTGCATTTTGGGCGAGGGCGTGGTGCTCTGTATGGTGCTGGTGGTGCTTATGACACCCGAGTCGGCCGATTCATTGATGGCGGGACCCGAGTTTCGTGATGGCGGCACCACTACTGGCGTTTTCTTGGGCCGGCCGCGACGCTTGCGAGGCACGTTCGCCAGCAGTTGGGTTTCCTCCTTCGCCTTTGGTAGCTGCTTCTCCGCCAGCTTGGAGTTTCCGGTCTGGCCCAGCATCTGGGTCTTCTCCATGAAGTCCTGCAGCAATGTGGACTGGTATTGGGGAAGATTCTTTGATTTGGCAGCCTTGCGAAAGCTGCCCTCGACGGTGGTGTCCTCGGTGTCGCTCTCCACTCGCTTGATGGCCGCCTGCACCAGATTGGGCAGATCATTGTCGCTCGAAGAGATGCCAATGTCGAGGGGTTTGCTCGCGGACTGTGCTGCCTGGCTAATGGCCGTCAGCAGAAGACGGGGCGCTCGCTGCTGGTGGACCTTCAGCGGCAGATCGTCCTCAGAGTCCGAGGAGAAGGCAGACAGCATCCGTTTCTTTGACTTAGCTGCGTGACTTTCGGTTTTGTTGTTGTGCGAGCTGCTGCTGCCACTGGCAATTTTCTTGCGCTTCACTTTGATTTTTTTGCTAGCTGCTTTATTTTTAGCCTCTGAGCAGCCGGATTCCGTGTCCTGGGTGGACATCTTTCTAGACTTTAAGGGATTCTTGCAAATGACGCTCTGCTGATGATCTCTCTGACTGGGGGCTGGGGCTGGGGTTGGGGTTGGAACTGGTGCTGATGCTTTTTTTGATGATGCGGGTAGCAGAGGGCGAATGGCTGAGATTCTCATGCGCAGTCCATCAGTGTCCGAACGTTGCACGACACTGAACTGTGTGGCTGATTTCGCAGACTTCGATTGGCTCGATTGATCCGTAATGGAATCAGTTTCCTACAAATTCAAAAGTTACTTAAGCATTGCCTGGACTAAAATGTATTCATGGCTACGGACTGGGACTACTTGCCTCATTTTCACTGCCGGATTCTTGTGTACGTTGCGTATCCAAAACCTTTGCTGCTGCTGATGTCTCATTTTGGCCACTGCTCATATTTTGGTGTCGCGTAGAAGCTGCAAGATGGGTAAGGGCGGCGATTACAAGAGAGATGTTTTTCGACAATGTCTTAAATTTAATCGCATTTAAAGTAGGTCAAACCGTAGGCGCTGTGTGGGACAGCGGGACGCGCGGGCGGTAGGCCGTTGTCTGAGAGAGGGCCCCCCCGCGCCAACCCAACCAACTCTTTTTCACACACTTACGCTTTGTGATTTTCTCGCTAGCACTTCACCTGCGGCTTTAGTTCAAGTGTAAAGAGTTAATGAATAACCGAATTAGTGCTTTATTCATTGCATTTGCAGTTTTTTGTTTGCCTCTGGCTTGTGGCTTGTTTTGCTTCTTAAAATGGCGCCGTTTTCACTTTTGCTGCAGTCGCTGCTGCTGCTTCTCTGCTTTGTTCGACGCCCGACGGACGACAACGACGCAACGTTGCAATGCTTTTTCTTTTATTTTCGCATGCCGCACACTCTATTTCGATTGCTATATTGTTCACTTGGATTGCACGCGGGCAACGGGTGGGGGCGCGCGACAATTGTTATTCTTAATTTGGCGCAACAACAAAAATCCAGGCAACCAAAAAATTTACGAACATAAATAAATAAAGAAATAGTGTTTGGTGGTTCATGAAAGAACGGACGAAAAAAGAACCTATTGACTGGAGTGAACGAACTATTTAGTTCACCCGAATCGTTAATTTTCACTCATGATCGCAAATGATATTTCTCGACTTTGATATTCGGTTTAGCATTACAGTTTAGCCAGGATCCTCAGCATTAAACATATAATTTTATCCAATTAAATAATCAATTTTAAATAAGACTGCTTAGTTTTAAGCACTTCCATTTATTGAACTGTTTATAAAATCTGCGCTAAACAAAACAGTTCAACCAAAGTGTACACAAAATTAACGTTTTTACATGGTAACTACACATTTGCTACATGGAAACAACATATCGAACTGGATCGATTAGCCAGGGCGGCAAAAAGTTAATATAAAATGTTGGTATCACGGTATATACTGGTATTTTTGAACAACTTCCTGGTTGGCATATTTTATTGAGGAAATGGATCAAATATCAAAAGTATGAAATAGACAAAACACTTGAAATTAATATTTTAAATGTATGGTATTTAAATGGTATTTCTCTAAACTGAATAGTATTTAATGGTATTTTTATATTTTGGCCGGATGGTATTTCTTGTCGTTATCTGCGCGGTCACGCTGGTGTACACTTTGTTTATAAATTTAAGTAAAATTATCATTGAAATTCAACCTGATACACGTAGTTTTTTGCACTCACATATTGGAAAGCATGAGCGGAAAGCTTGTAAAGTCGAGCACCGCCTCCAGCAGTATGCTCTATGGCTCCGTCTACTCTGCGGAATCAATAAAAGTAATTGCCGAAAGCATCGGCGTGGGCACCTTGTCGGACGATGCGGCCAAGGAGCTGGGCGAAGACATATCGATTAAACTGAAGCGCATTGTCCAGGATGCGGCCAAGTTCAGGAACCATGCCAAGCGGCAGAAGCTGCTGATCAGCGACATTGACATGTCGCTGAAGGTGCGCAACGTGGAGCCACAGTATGGATTCGTGTCCAAGGATCACATTCCCTTCCGATTCGCTTCGGGCGGCGGTCGCGAGCTGCACTTCACCGAGGACAAGGAGATCGATTTGAGTGAAATCACAGCCAACAACATGGTGAAGATACCACTGGACTCGACGCTACGCTCCCACTGGTTTGTGGTGGAGGGCATACAGCCCACAGTGCCGGAGAATCCGCCACCGCTCTCGAAGGACTCGCAGTTCGTGGACTCGGTCAATCCGGTGATCAAACTGGACCAGGGCCTGAACAAGGATGCTGCCGGAAAGCCAACCACCGGAAAGATTCACAAGCTCAAGAACGTGGAGACCATCCACGTCAAGCAGTTGGCCACGCACGAGTTGTCCGTGGAGCAGCAGCTGTACTACAAGGAGATCACCGAGGCGTGTGTTGGCTCCGATGAGCCACGTCGCGGCGAGGCCCTGCAGTCGTTGGGCTCTGATCCGGGCCTGCACGAGATGTTGCCTCGCATGTGCACGTTCATAGCCGAGGGCGTCAAGGTTAATGTGGTGCAGAACAATCTGGCTCTGCTCATCTATCTGATGCGCATGGTGCGTGCCCTCCTGGACAATCCATCACTCTTCCTGGAGAAATACGTAAGGCACACCAAGCAGCTCTTTTCCATAGCTAATCTCTGGCCTTTATCGTTGATAGCTTCATGAACTGATACCCTCAGTGATGACGTGCATTGTGTCCAAGCAGCTTTGCATGCGCCCCGAGCTGGACAACCACTGGGCACTGCGTGATTTCGCTTCCCGCCTGATGGCTCAGATCTGCAAGACCTTCAACACATTGACCAACAATCTGCAGACTCGCGTGACGCGGTAAGTACACTGGATTCCCTCGATCAGGGCACACATTAATCCCGGTTCAACAGTATCTTCAGCAAGGCCCTGCAGAACGATAAGACGCATCTGTCCTCGCTGTACGGCTCCATTGCGGGTCTGTCGGAGTTGGGAGGCGAGGTGATCAAGGTGTTTATCATACCGCGGCTCGCATTCATCTCGGAACGCATCGAGCCCCACCTGTTGGGCACCTCCATCAGCAATACGGACAAGACTGCCGCCGGCCACATACGCGCCATGCTACAGAAATGCTGTCCGCCCATACTGAAGCAAATGCGTGCCCACCCGGACATAGCCGACGAGTACAAGTCGGACTTTGGCTTTCTGGGTCCGTCGCTGTGTCAGGCCGTGGTGAAGGCCCGCAACGCTCCGGCCAGCATTGTGACGATCTCCTCGAACGCCATCAACACGGCGCCCATTACGAGTGCCGCTCAGACGGCCACTGCCATTGGACGCGTCAACATGCCCAGCTCGCAGCGTCAAGGGTAAATAGATCAATCAATAGAAGCTCCCAATATTTCGCCCCATCTTATGCCCCGATCCTCTTCCCGACAGAAGCCCTGTGGTGTCGACCCTGCCTCAGATACGCGCCCTTCAGTCCAATCAGCAGCCGCAAAAGTTCGTGATAGTCACACAGAATGCACAGCAGCAGCAGCAATCGCAGCAGGCAAAGGTGGTGCGGCGGGGCAGCTCGCCCCACAGTGTTGTCCTGTCGGCCGCCTCCATTGCGGCGAACACCTCCAATTCGAACTCCTCGTCGGGCAGCGGCAACGTCAGCAACCTGAACAGTGGCGGCAGCCTGCTCTCCTCTCGGAGCAACGACAATGTGTGTGTTAGTGGCGATGGCGAAGGCCAAGAGTTGTCGGGTATAACAGTTGATTCTTTTTAGAGCACCCTAGATGCCAACTCGCTGATCATCGAGACGGAAATTGTGCGCGCTCCGCCCGAACTGGACGATCTGACCCATCTCGAGTGACACACAATTACAGAATTATAAGTTCCATTCATACTTTTAAGCGTAACCCCAGGCATAATATCTTAAGCAATAAAGTGAAGATTTGTATTACAACCTACCCCAAAAAAAACAAACAAACAAACAAAAGCGCTAAAAGCTTGCCCACGCATGCAGCACGCATGTGCGGAATGTCTGTCAAGTGGCGCTGGCTATTGATTTTTCCACCACTCCGCACAAAGAGCGCTCTGCGGGAAAGAGAGCATATACACAGCGAAACCCATTTGTAGATACCCATCGCAGGACAAAGGCAAAGCTCAAACCAGGCACCACCACCACCAGCAGCAGCAGCAGCAGATATCTTGGAATTTTTGTATAGGAATTTTGGAGACTAAGAACGAAACACAGAACAGAATGCATGCCAGATTTGCTGATCCTGAGCCCGCGTCCCCGGACAGCGATGACCGCATTGAAACGGAGACTTTGGAGTATCGCATCGAGGTGTTCAAACAGAATCCCAAGAACATGGCCGCACTGCACGAGATGCTCGATGAGGTGGTGCTGCGCGCTGAAACGGAGGCCAATAAGCGGGCATTCGATGGCCAGAAATCGCAACAGGTAAGCGCAATCAATCAACTTCTATCCTTTATTGGTGCTTGTTTTGTGTGTGTGTGTGAAAACTAATGGATATCCTTGCTATCACTTGCAGGGCAAGCAGGAGAAGCGTCCGAGTGAGTACACAAATCATTTTGCTTTGCTATGGGAATGTAAACTTGCTGGGATCCACCTCTGACATGCATTTGGTTGTATAGAAGATCTTTTCGCACGAATCCTTGTACGGTTTCTCTGTGAAAAGACAAAGAAAAAGGCCTTCAGCTCAAGCCTTGAAGTGGTTGACAATTCGAAAGGCACTTACGTGCATCCCTGCATGCATCCACGGACGCCTTGCCAGCCTCCAGCATTTCCGCTGGCAAGATGATTGGCAGCTGAGCATAGGCCTTGGCGGCGCTGAACTCTCCCTTCTTGGTCACCGTGCCCGCCATCTGGGCAATGCATCTGGTATAGCACTGCAAGAGGACACGGCCCACACATCACAATCACAGCATGGTATAGCTATGGGATGGCGTTGGCCTATCTTTGACTCACCATCAAATCCTTCGTGTGCTCCATAGTAAAGTCCGCTGCACGCATGCGATCCAATATTTCGGTGGTCACCTTAAACTTGGGCTGACAAGCGCCGCGTAGCATGTCCATTGACTGCATCATCTGTTCCATGGTTATGGCCACTCCTTGGTGGGGCAGCAGCCCCAGCAGCAGCTCCAGCTGCAGGACAATGGCCAACACCAGAGACGAGCTGTGTTTCCACTGCTTCTTCATGTTTACCCAACAAAAAAATGCCTCGAATTTCCAGCTGGCTGGGGCCTTTATATGTGGGATGGGGACCCGGACCCTGCTGACAGGTGACTGGGTGGACCAGCAGGTGGTAATTAGGCGAAAGCCTCTAATTAAAAACACACTTCCGCACGTACCACTACTACTCCCAATTGCATTCTCCTGTTCTGTTGTTATTTCTGTTCGATCGCATGCGATTTGTGCACTGTAATCCGCAAATTACTTTTGGCCTCCCACGCTGATCTTTGGTTCTTTGCTTTTCGAATGCTTCTTGCACTAATCTGTCCAGGTTTCGCCATACCAGATTTTAAGAACGGCAAGGTGGTGAACCGTGCACGAGGATTTGTGGTGCGCATGTTCGATGCCATCTGCAATTGCGCCAACACCAATGCGGCTGCAGCCACGACGCGCTTCAAGCTGAGAAGCAACAGCGGTGGTTCAGGAGCGGCAGCAGCAGGCGGTGGATCATCTGGTAATGGTAAGCGTCAGCAATCCCAGGACGAGCCAGAGACCCTGGCCCTGACCAAGAAGAAGCCAACGGCCGAGGGCAAAAAGAAGAAGGGCGTCAGCATGGCCGACGATGTGCAGGCGGGCGTACGACTAATGGACTAAGCCAAGCAATAATCCAATCTTGGAATAAATATAATCAAAAAGGCGTGGACCCAAAAGACGAGCGAAGAAGAACCCTTCATAAGGGTTATCAATTATTGTATCACAGCCTGATGACAGTCTAATCCCCCAACTATACACCAAATATCGTTTATATACCTACTACTAATACTTATGGGTTATTCCCAAAATGATTTTCATTGCTCAAAATCGACAAACGCACAAGCAACAAACTTTGATTGATGTCTTCCCCCCCTTGAAGACCAATAATCGTAGAATCGTATGGGAAAAAGGGAAGGAAAGCTTTAGCTGCTCTCTTTTTACTTAATCATTTTTGTGAACCCAAATGTGATCCCAAAAGAAACAAGCACAAACCACTTTAGGGGTTAGTTAGGGCCAGAGTTTAGGGTCTGTCGATAACATTACATATTCTGCACTCTCTGTGGAAACTCTCTTGAAACAATAACATTATCCCACGCACAACACAATCAAAATGTAGGCATTGCATAATAAAAGTAATAAATATCAGAAAAAAAAAAAACACTACAATGCCAGGTTTAACAACAGGTCTGTCAGAACACTCCACCTAATTATAACTGTACTGTAGGATAAGTATATCAAATTATATACCAATATACCTACACTGTATACCTATTTAGATATGTCTGTGTGTACGTGTTTGTGTGTAGTAGCAGTTACTAAAACCAAACAAAAGGTTCATTAATAAATATACAAACATAAATGTGTACTGATTTTATATATATTTATATAAATATAGTAACTGTATAATGTATACCTACCTACTATAAATTTAGCTACATTTAAACCGCAAAAAATCATAGGTTTCCTTCACCAAAAACCACACACACACACACACTCACCGCTCTATACACCATACACCATATATATATTTTGTGAGGCCCCCTTTTTGGAACGAGATTGATCTACACCTACTACCTATATACCAACTATAAAAATTCCCACTTAACCAATAGCTAACCTAACGAGAGAACTTTGTAAACATTTTTGCAGCAGGCAATAGTTTTGTATGAGATTTTGCATTTATTTTGTAAACTCCCAAAATGCAAAGAACTAACTTCCTCAGTTTGAATTTGTTGCTAAAATTATATGAATTATAAACAACAGCAATACAAAACAAAAGTGTGCGCATAAGGCAAAGCGAAATGTTGTATTTAGTTTATACAAAAAATATCAGCAATAAAGTGTAACTATGTTTGAAAACGAATTCGAAATGAAACTTTTGGGCGAAGCTTAGATAATCTCTGAATGAAAAGAACATCCCAACTTATGGGCCCCGTAAAGCCCATATAATTGCGGAGTATATACTGTGTAAGCTTTGGTTTCTTCTCCGCTTTATTTTTATATCAGAAATGCAATGCTGTTCACCACCCCGTTGGGATTCCGGTTCTGGACTTTAATTGATATATCCATTGTGTTGATGTACAGCCGTCAAACTGCAATTAAATATTAATTCTAAGATGAAAATCTATTTATATAGACAAATATTACTTTTATGGAATCAGAACTCACCGAACCGCATCATTAGCCATGCACATCACGTATCTCTCTACCCAGGGACTGCGTCATCGTCATTCAAAGTGTTTCCAAGTGCTGGCTGCATTCAGATAACACTCGAAACTGGGTCTATGCTCATAAGCATTAAAGGGGGGACCGGCATGGAATGGGCACTCTCTCTCTCCCTTCCAGAGATAAGCCAGCAGCAGAAATTACATATGTAGTATTATTTAAGCAGAGAATGCGAATATATGTAGTGGTGGGTAGCTATATAAATGTCAGTGCTGGTATCTTGGCGGACTCTGGTGGCGGTAAACATGTTTCGAGCTCAGCTTTAGAGTACGCGACTTGCCTGAGCGACTCATCATTATTGTAAACTAGGAAAAACCAAAAGTGTCAACGCCACGAACAAGCGAACAAGTGCAAAAATCGTTCGGTTCGTCCGTCCAGTGCACAAGGTGAACGCAAAGCGAGAGTTGATCTGAGCTCGCCTCTCGCGCGCTCCCCATATCGACACCGACGCTCGTCCAGAGAACTACACAAAAGGCAGAACGGATCTGACTATCAACGGAAGTGCCGCGCGATTAAACGTTGAAGAAAAAATCGCGAGAAATTGCTCACAATGATGCCGCTGCCGTGGATTCTCTTGGCTTTACTGGGCTTGGGCTTGGGCCAGCACATCCTGGCAAAGAGCTACTCCAGCGACTACCTTGGCAAGAACACAAGGATTTATGGCCAGATAAGCAGTCGTAATCCTAACCAGTCTTAATGATCATCCCAACAGATCTACTCGACTTGAACGACAACGACGAGTTCCAGTGGGGCGCATCCGAGAATCAGCTGAATGGCAATCACAGCGCGTTGAATTTTCTGTCACGACACCGCCTGCAGAAGCGACAGGCAACGGCTGATGACGGTGCTGCTGGCTCCCAGTTGCTGGTGAGTAATCATCTGACGTGGTGACCCTTTTGCAACCGCCAATCTCTTGCAGGAGAACAAGGATTATGGTCCCTGCAGTACACCGCTGGGCGATTCGGGACGCTGCCGCCACATCATCTACTGTCGCATGCCAGAGCTCAAGAACGATGTGTGGCGTTTGGTCTCCCAGTTGTGCATCATTGAAAAAAGGTGAGACGCGTCCCTGATCTGTTCCCAGCCTGCTGTGCTCTAATCCCCAATCCAATCCGTGGCAGTTCCATTGGCATTTGTTGCACTGAGCAGGCGAGCAGCTCCCACCAAAGCCCGCAGATTGTGACCAATCCCGACCAGGAGGAGGCCCGCATTGTGAATCGACCGGAGCAGCGGGGCTGTGGCATCACCACACGGCAGTTTCCCAGACTTACGGGTGGACGTCCAGCCGAGCCGGACGAGTGGCCCTGGATGGCGGCCCTGCTCATCGAGGGCCATTCCTTTGTGTGGTGCGGCGGTGTGCTCATAACAGATCGCCACGTACTCACCGCCGCCCATTGCCTTCACAGGAAGAAAAAGGAGGAGATATTCGTGCGACTGGGCGAGTACAACACTCACCAGTTGAATGAGACGCGTGCCAGGGACTTCCGCATTGCCAATATGGTCATCCACATCGATTACGATCCGCTGACCTACGAGAATGACATTGCGCTCATCAGGATCGACAGGGCCACGCTATTCAACACGTACATCTGGCCCATATGCATGCCCCCGGTCAGCGAGAACTGGGCTGAGCGCAGTGCCATTGTCACGGGCTGGGGCACCCAGAAGCTGGGTGGGCCGCACTCCAACATCCTCATGGAGGTCAATCTGCCCGTGTGGAAGCAGTCGGATTGCAGGGCTGCCATGACCCAACGCATTTCGGATACAGTACTTTGTGCCGGTCTGCCGGAGGGTGGTCAGGACTCGTGTCAGGGCGACAGCGGCGGCCCGCTGCTGGTGCAGCTGCCCAACCAGCGCTGGGTCAGCATCGGCATTGTGTCGTGGGGCAACGGCTGTGGCGAGCCTCGTCGTCCTGGCATCTACACGCGCGTCGATCGCTACCTCGACTGGATCCTGTCCAATGCGGATGTATAGATGCGATTGATGTACATGGCTTAGGTGTAGCAAATGCTTTTGTATTGTCTACATCTACATACACTAATTAACCTGATATCGACGTCAATACATCGATGCAACCCCCAACCCAACCCCTATGCTACTTTAACTACGATTAAGGCCTCGTTGGCATGGCGCTGGCCGCGCTGGCCACCTTCTCGAGGGGCTCCTGCTCCAGCTCCGGCACCTGCACTTCTTTGGCCTTGCCCTCGTTTTTGGTGGGTTCGGAAAAGGCGATGTTGTAGACATCCTCGTAGTTGGCCGCAAAATGAACCTCCAGGCCATCGGTTATGAATTTGGGCAACTCCTCGAAGTCCTTCTTGTTGTCCGCGGGCAGGATGAGGCAGTTGACGCCACTGCGACGTGCCTGTATGTAGAGTGGGAATCAAGCTCCGCATTCTAATGCACAATGAATGCACACGCATCTACTTACAGCTATGGCCTTCTCCTTGATGCCGCCTACGGGCAGAACTTTGCCCTTCAACGAGATCTCGCCCGTCATGGCCACATCATTGCGCACAGACTTTTTGGTGGCCAACGAAATCAAGGCCGTGATTATGGTGACGCCAGCGCTGGGTCCATCCTTTGGTACAGCCCCCTCAGGCACATGCAAGTGGATGTTTCTATAATGGGGAAAAAAACGCGACACAGATGAGAAAGATCAACGCGTGGCCACGGTGGGAGCTTCTCTTACTCCGTCTCTAGGTACTGATTGTTAGGATCGCGCACGTAAATAAAGTTACGCGCCACCGTGAGGGCTATTTGGGCCGACTCCTTCATCACATCTCCAAGGTTTCCGGTGATATACAAATTGCCTCCACCGCCGCCTCCACCGACGGCTTCTGCTTTGGAGCCCTGGCTTTTGAATTTGTTCCTCGGCGATGTCTCAATGTACAGAGATGAGCCGCCCATGGCCGTCCAGGCCAGGCCCATGACCACGCCCGGTGGCGTCGTCTCGTACATGCGATCGGAGGTAAATATCTGCTTGCCCAGGAATGTGGTCAGGTTCTCGGCATCCACTGGGAAATTGGTGCCCTTCTTCTTGACCAAAAGGAAGGCCACCTTGCGTATAACCTTCTCGATTTGCTTCTGCAAATTGCGCACCCCGGACTCGCGGCAATAGCTGCGTATCAGCATGCTCAGTGCATTATCGCTGATGCTGGTGGTCTCGTCGGTTAGGCCACAGTCGTTCATTGCCTGAGGTATCAGATACTGACGAGCAATGGCCACCTTCTCCTCTGCCACATAGCCGGACATCTCAATCAACTCCATGCGATCGCGCAGTGGCTCCGGTATGGTATCAATCACGTTGGCCGTGCAAATGAAGAGCACACGCGACAGGTCGATGGGCACGTCCAGATAGTGGTCCAGGAAATTGGCATTCTGCTCGGGATCGAGCAGCTCTAACAGCGCCGAGCTGGGATCCCCCTGGTAGCCTCTGTGGATAGGTAGGGATAATGTTTATGTTCGAAATTGAATAAAGTACGAGGAGTATGCGGGCCACTCACTTGCCAATCTTATCCACCTCATCAATGAGCACTAGTGGATTCTCCGCCTTGGTCTTTTTCAGGCACTGAATCAGCTTGCCAGGCATTGCGCCCACGTAGGTGCGACGATGTCCCTTGATCTCAGCGACATCCGTCATGCCGCCCACACTGAAGCGGAAGTACTCGCGATTCAGGGCCCGAGCAATGGACCTGGCAATGCTCGTCTTGCCCACACCAGGCGGTCCATGGAAGCACAAAATCTTTCCCTGCGTGGTGCCCTTCAGCGAACTGACGGCAATAAACTCTAGGATGCGCTTCTTGATATCATCCATGCCGTAATGATCATTGTTTAGGATCTCGTCGGCCTTTTCCAGGCAGAGATTCTCAGTGCTAATGACTCCCCAGGGTAGCGAGGTGAGCCAGTCGAGGTAGTTGCGTGTTACACTATAATCAGCAAGAGAAACACACATTAAAGGATGTTGTCAAGGAGCTTTCTCTCTCTGTCTCTGTCGATTGCTTACTTAAATTCAGAGCTATGGCTCTCCAGGAAGTTCAGTTTTGTTAGTTCCTCATCGATGACCAGCTGAATACTTGCTGGAACGATTTTGTCTTTCAGCTTTTCTTTATACTTTTCGCCGATGGCATCCTTGTCGTCCTTCTCAATGCCCAGCTCCTTCTTGATCACCTTCAGCTGTTCGTGGAGTATGTATTTGCGGTGCTGCAGCTTGACTTTTTCCTCCACTTCGCGTCCAATTTTCGCCTGCAGTGTCGATAGCTCCAGCTCCTTTTTGAGCAAGGTCAGTGACAGCTGCAGTCGTTTTGGGATCTTTAAAGGAGTAATAAAGAAAAATCTGTACCCTCAATGAATGCCATGCCAAATATTTACATCTGATTCCTCTAGGATATTCTGCAGCTCCTCTGGATCACCGGCTGACAGGGAGGCACCCAAGTCGCATAGGTAGACGGGATTCTCCACAACCCGTTGGTTCTGATGTAACATTTGATGGAGACTCTCCCTAAAGTAAAACAGAGAGATGAGATAAGCGGGAAGCTTCTTGTGGCGTTTTCTAGCTTACCTATAGAGGGGATTCATGGTGATGATGTCGCGTAGAGTCTTTATTATCTCTTGGGTCAGAGCCTTGACTTCATTGGTGTGTGTAAAGGCCGATTGCTTCACATTCTCCACCTCCACAATGAGCACAGGCGTTGAAGCGGGCGCTGCATCGGGCTCTGCACCGGAGTCTGCGGACTCTGATTTGCTCGCTTCGGCTTCAAGTGTGGCTTTGTTTGCCGCCTTGAGAGCTTCAAATTTCTCTGACATATGCGCACGCGGTTCCACATTCATTGCGATTTTGTGTTCCAGATCAGCGGTAGCCGCAGCCTCTAGAATTTTCTGCCTCTGCGCGCGACGGGCTTTGCGGCGTTCACTTTGTGGCATTGTCGTTGTCGATGAATCGTCGCTTGTTGTTTGATCTTCAGCTGGGATGTGTAATTTAATATTAAATAGTGGATAATGCAAAGTTGTCATTTTCACTAAGATCAAGAACATTTGTCACAATTTGTATGGGCTTAGTGGGTGTGTCTGTATTTGCTCACCTGGTTTTTTCGGTGGCGGCAGATCCTCGATCACCTGTCCTGTGATGCGTATTCGACGATGGGCCACCACCACCATGCGCAGCTTGTCGCCCAAATCCTGAACCTCTTGGATCTGTGCAAAAGTGCCTATGTGGTAGACATCGTCCAGACTCTGGACAACCTCCTCTTCGCCATCGACTTTCTTGAGGAAAACCCCAATGTAGGGCTGATTGAGCTTCAGTTTGCGACGCAGCAGATCCATAATAATTGGATTGGACACCTGAAGGATGAGTGATGAAAGTCGTGGTGAAGGCCACTCGTATTTGTTGTCCCAGTAGAGGCACTCACCTCCAAAATCTTCATGAAGCGCGGAAACAAGGGATTCCTACGCATGGCCAGCAGCGGAACATGTGGCCATACGTCGGGCACGGCCACTGTGGCAGGCAGGTTCGAATCTCGGTCGGACAGCAATTCTGGTGCCGCTGGCGCTTTCTTGTCGTCGGGATCATCGCGCCTGCGACTGTAGAAGCGCTGAGCCATCATTGTCGCACCACTGCATCTCTCGAGGCGCGTCGCCTTCTCGGTAAAATGTCTAATCAAGGCACTTTGTCCAGGACGATTGCGGGTCCACACAACTGTCGTACTAAAAGCGCGCATTATATGCCGCCCCCGTACAGCGTTAGCTATCATTTTAAATCAACTCCTAGAACAAATCCAGTGAAAAACGCCTTCAAACGTACAAAACAATTTCGCGTAAAATGATTATGTGACGGCCGGGCTGATGAAATGGACGGGAGAAGAGCTGCAAGACCATGCGATGGTTTAAAACCACGATATATCGGAATTATAAACGAAAACTTTTGAAATAAAAATAAATATATATATATATACAAATTGGTAAAAAATAAATAAATTCAATGCTTTTGCGATTTCTGTATTGGTCTTCCACATTATTTTTAAGCGCGCATAATTTATTTTCTAGACTTCAAAAGCGCCGACTGTCGACTATCGATAGTGTCATCGATGGGGTGTGCAGCCCTAGGAGGAACAGGAAAACGGGCAGCAAAAATATTCGTTTCGTTGTAAAAATTGTGTTTGATTGCATTTAACGATGGTTTCGCGTTTCGATCAGCAAAAGACCAAGCACCAGCTCTTCCATGTGTCCCTCAGCCTGGCGACGATATTGATATGCATGACATATATGCAGTACCGCCGGAACTGGGCCTATCTGGGCAACTTCTGGGACTCACTGGTGGTGCCAATTGTCTTCATCGGCGAGCTGCTGAAAGTCGTGCTGGCCCGTTTCTATGGCCGCATTGAGGACGGGGTTCTGACGGTCAAGCAGCGGCAGAAGAAGGCGGCATATTTCACGGCACGGGAGCTCGCGGGTGGATTCACGCTGCAGTTTCTGTGCACGCTGCTGTATGCGTTCATCTGCATCATTTTGGGAGCACCGGTGCTGGGCAACTACGAGGAGACCTTTGTCCTTTCGCTGCTGATGACGCTGCTGACGGTGTCGCCCACGGTGTTCCTCTTGGGAGGCGGCGGTGCCCTGCAAGTGTGCTTCTGCGAGAAACCGGACTTTGTGACCAAATGCGAGGACACGGCACTGAATCTGTTCAAGTACAATGCGCTGGGCGGCATCCTGGGGGCCTGGGCTGGCAGTGTGGTGGCCCCCCTGGACTGGGGACGGGACTGGCAGGTATATCCCATACCAAACATCATCGGAGCTCTGCTGGGCAGCGCCATGGGCAATATATACGCCTGTACGCATGTCCTCTATGCCACGGCCCGTGTGTATATGACCAAGAAACGTGCTTAAAAATAATAACAATAAATGCTATTAATCCTGCCACCAGATTATTACGTTGCGCTGCCGCCAACCCCACATCCACACACGCACACACACACCACACTCCGATCTGGTTCAGATCCACGTCATCATCTCTCTCTAGTCAGCAGCTTAAGAACTACCAAAAAGCAATTAACATACTTTAATGTTACATGTTTAAGCATTTTATTAGAGTGTAATAATATGAATGAATTCTTTTTTAAATCAATCAACTAATAAACTAACAAAAGACATTAATTTAATCACAAGCGATAAAGACACACTGGAGGACTGTCCATTCATCTAAACAACTGAAACATTCGCTACATAAAAAAGGACAGCCTTGGTTTTCGATCTTCCCACTGGTTCTACTCCTTTCCCAAAAAAATAAACAATAAATTGAAGACACAAAGCTGTTTCTCGTTGGAGGATCATAAACGGATCCTCCGGACACAAAACATATTTAACATTTATCGTAAGCTACGCTAGACACAACTTGAGGAAAAAACTCAACCCTTGGCAGCCAGCACAAAGCTCTCGTCCTCCAGCAGGCAACGTTGGCCCACATAATTCTCATTGGGCTCCCAATAGTCCTCGTCTTCATCATCGGCGAGAGGCTCGCTGGCCTTCTCATTGCTGGGCGCCACCTCAGGCAGCTGGAACTCGCGGTGCTTGTTGGGCGTATTGTCCGAGGAGGACAGTCGTCTGCGAAGCATTGTCTCGGCCAGCGTGGCTGGACAGTGGGCCGTCTCGTAGAGTTTGTACAGCTTGATGAAATGCAAGCCATTGGCAAGCCGTGGTCCGCCCTCCCTGGCCACTATGGCACTCCAGCTAAGTGCCAGCGTGACATGGGGCACATATCCGGCAATGCTGGCATTGAACTCCTCGGTGCTGATGTTGGTATTGAAGAACACGGTCTCCTCGTTGGTGAGGAAGCTGTGCGGATCGTGCAGCGATGGCGTGTGCTGCTCCACCTGCTGGGCGTGCTGCGCAGGCATAATCTTCAAGTGGGATAGTCGGGTTTGCAGCAGGGTTTTGATCGTTGGAATGTCATCGAAGTGTTCCTTCCGGTTCTTCTCCAGCAGGCGGAATTGCAGGCTACAGAATTTGGAAGACTTGAGGCACTGTTCACCCGCCTGCCCCGCACTGACGCCCATGCTGTCCATAACTGCAATACAACGCAATCAATCATCAGAAAGGTGTCAATCATTAATTAATCCCCATTCCCCCCACTTACTGTATAACTTTTCAGGATTCAAATCGTATTCCTTGGAGTACAAGGACAACGTGTTGATGTACACTTCGGTCGCCTGGGCTGCATGCTGATTCCGCAGGTTCAGCTCCAGACCCAGTTCGCTGGTCACTGCGTTGCTCACGAAGCACGTGGACTCCGCTTGCAGGCAGCTCTCCACCTGCAGGTGCCAAATGTGACGAACCAGCCGATACTTGATGGGCGAGTTGGCTCCCACTGGCAACGAATAGTAGAAGAGCAAGCGCAGCGTGAAGGGTCCATCCTGGTGGGGTGCCTGCAGCCACATGGAAATGGTATGGCCCTGCTGTGCCTCCAGGGCCGCCTGGCCAGGACGTTGTAGCAGCCGGAATACACGCTGACCACGGATTTCCTTATCCTTGACGTGCTTATCATTGGACAGATCACGTAAAGCTGCACAGGAAATAGTCAGAAAAAATTTATATACACGAAATTCCATTCACTTACAGCTCTTCATGGCCAGCGGCAATTGATTGAGGTGCTCCGACTGCAGCGACAGGCAGCGTGGCGTATCGCAGCCCAGATAAATCTCCTCAATCGGAGCTATGCCCAGATTTCGGAGGGTAATGGAAACGGGCAGAATCTCACCGGCCAAGAGCTGGGTGGGCACCGGACTAAAGCTAACACTCATGGCAGGCAATTGGGGCACCAATTTGAGGCTCAACCGGTTGTCCAGAACGGTCTGCGAGGATTGCTTCGCCGTGGCAGGTCGGATCATTTGCGTCTCAAACTGCAAGGAGCCGAGCAGACTGGCCGAGGGATCCGCTGTGGCTGCCACACGACACACCACGCCCAGAATGAGGAGACGTCCGGTGAGCTTCGGCGTTAGTTTGAAGTAAACAGTTTTCTCGGCCTGTTCGGCCAGCTCAAACGAGGCCACGCAACTGGTCTTGATGGCTGCTTGCACGGCTGCTTTGCTGGCACTGTCTGCAGCCTCCTCGAAGATGCAGGCATTCGACAGCACCTCCTCGTTGTCCAGCGTGAGCTTCCACAGCAAATCGATCTCGGAGAGCGCTATGCTGCAGCGAACACTGTTCGAAAGGGCCACGGCCAGCTCAATGGGCTCGCCCTGCACAGCCACGGGCGTCTCCAGGGCCGGCTGCTGCTTGGTATACAAATATCTCGAGGGCTTGAACACGAATGGCTTATTGGAGGCAGCCGTGATCACCAGCATCTCCTCAATCTTGTTCCAAATGGACTCATCTGCCGTCAGATTCGAGTTGATGTCGATGTTGGTGGCTGGCAGCAGCGGTGCCTGAGCTGAGGGCGATTGCACCAGGGTCAAGACGCGCACCGAAGATTGCACCAACTGGGGCAAGGCATGAGGCAGTAGTCCCACCTCTGGACTACGTTTAAGCAGCTCCTGAAATATGTACACAAATGATCACTTAATTGATCGGGATAATCGATCAGATGGGATTTCCACTCACATTCTGGGTCTGGATGTACTCCTTCAGGAAACTGCTCTGCTGCGCAGCACTCTGCAGGCTGCCAGGGCGCAGGAGATGGGCAAAGGAGCGACTGGCCTCGTCCAGCTGCTTCAGCATGTAAGCCTGTTTGGCCACCGTATACTGTATGTGATCCTCGGCCAGGCTCCACTCTCGCTTCTGGAACACCTGATAGGCCTGGCGATAGCAGCGATACGCATGCTTTCGCTGTCCGGCACGGGAGTAGCGATTCCCAGCCAGAACAATGTGAAAGGCATACTTCCTGTGCATGGCCGGTTGGGTCACCAGAAAGCAGTAGGCCGCCTGCTCCAGCAGCAGCGCGGAACGAAGGTCCGACTCCTCGCTGGTCATGCGTATCAATTGCTTGGCCACATCGCTGTACAGACGCGCAGTCTTCAGGCACTCCATGCTCAGCAGCGTTGCCCGTGTGGCAAATTGCTGCATTCTGCAAACGAAAATAGTATCAGTATCAATATTGGATTAATTTGCAAATAATTGTACTGGGAAACCCACTTGCACACAGTCAGATAGCACACAATGGCGTCCTCCATGTAATCGTAGGTCTTGCGGTGCGCTGTGCCCAGCATAAAGGCGGAGAGGGCGGCCATTTCGAGAGCTCCCGCATAATATTGCCAGGCCGAGTCCGCATTGAAGTCCCGCTTCGCCTGGTGGTAGGCCTGAAAGGCCAGATTGTAGTGTCCAAACATGAAGTAGAGATCGCCCAGCTTTCTGGTTTGCAGCTCTGCTGATTCGTTTGTGTAGATGACTGCATTTTGATTGTTTGCTCCCGCGCCCGGCTTGCTGGTGACGAACCAACGCTTCGTGGCACTCAGCAGGGATTTGCTCACTCCCTTCTTGTTGGTCACACCCTCGCTGAGAGTGGCCACCAGGTGCTCGATGTAGGGTATCAGGGCACGCACCGCATAGTCCTGCACAAAGTGCCGCACGTTGTCAATGTCCCGCGTGGTTAGACAACCGCCGTGCGGTGCATCCGCCTCCAGATCGTTGGCCCACACATTCGGATTGATGGTCTGGGAGGCAAGGCTCTCGCTGCTAATGCTAAACTTGGAATCGATGGCCTCGGTGGCGCTCTCCTGCATGGGACTCAGTGGATGCAACATCGTCAGGTCACTCTCCTGGGCATTGACTCCATCCAGCAGCTGGGACATCTGCATGGAGGGCATGCTGATGACCGACACCGCCTCCTGAGGAGATTTCGGGGCACTCAGGTCCGTGGAGGTGAGCGTGGCATCGCTCTTTGGCTGCCTCTTGATGTAGCACGCCCAATAGTCCTGCACCTCCGCGGCAGCCTGGCCATCCAGCGAGTTAATGCACACCAGGAAGCATTTGCTGTCGCCAAAGGTGGACTTGAGCAGCTCAAAGCCCTGCTGGGCCTTGGACAGATCTGCCTGGCTGGCCTCGTGCAGCACCACATAGCTGTTGAGCACTTCGTTAGGCTGGAACCACTTGGGCAGCTTCTGGGGCGTGATGCTCTGCATTTGCTGCACCCGCTGGGTCAGCTTGTGCGCCGTTTCCACAATCTGGGGATCGGCACTGGACAGCACCAGCAGACAGCTGAGCAGATGGCGGGTGAACTCATGATCCGCTGGGAATTGCACAGTCAAAAACGTCTCACGCCATTGTTCAAACCAAGGTTCCGACGTCGGCAACTCGAGGTCAATGTCCGCTGGGGGTATGGAGAAAGTGGGGGGTAAGTTATTGTCGAACCCATTTGGGTGTGTCCTCATTGCGTCCTCACCTATTGTAGCAACCTTGGTCTTGTCATTGTGGGCATTGGTCACCGAATCGTTGAGCATTCGTCGGGCCAAGACTGGTTGCGGCGGCCGCCAGTCCACATCGCAAAAGTTTAGTCGCAGTCCACGCACAGAGACACTCGTACCGGAGACATCGCGAAAGTGTGCTGCTTGGTAGTAAGGAGATTAAAGTTATTTAACCATAATATCATATTGTTTACCACCGTCCCGCCCCCTCCACACAACAAAATCCACTCACCATCGTTGGGCAGTTTGGCGAAGGGCTGCAGGAGCTCCACAAAGGAGAGATTGTTGCGGTGGCAGATGTCATCTGCCAGACTGCTGCTCAGCACGCCGATGAGCGGTGAGAAGATGTTCTTGATTATCTCGCGTGCATTGTAATTCTGGCCCGTCAAATGCAGCATTATTTATGTTATTGTCAATTTAATTTATTGGCTCCACTCTCGAGCACAGTGTGACCGCGGACTTATCGATCAAATATACCCCGACTGACACGACACGACCAGCTGTGATGCATTGATATTCCTCGATTTTCGCATTCGGCTTAGTATTACTAGCAAGCTAAGACTCTCAGCGCTGAGCATATGTTTTTCTACGATTAATTAATCAATTTTCTAAAAGATTTGCTAATTTTAAAATCAATCTGGTGGAAAATTCAATGTTTTACATGGTAACTACACGCTAACTACACATTTGCTACAAATTAACAGCTGTTCTGTTGGTCTCAATAGAGATGGTCAAATCCTCCAATCGCACGCAAATACCGATGCGTAGTATCGATATATATTCGCCCAGCACGGCCACACTGAAGCGCGGGAAAGCCTGTCAGCTGTCATAAAATTCCGCAAAACCGAATTGTACACAAAACGCAAAGTTAATCAATTTAACAACGAAAAACTCTTCAAACTTATCTTCTAAACGCAGTCAGCTAACAACGTTTGACATTTACGTCGTGAGGTGTTAGATATTTCATCATCGCACGCAATCCAAAAGGAGCAGCACAAAAAAAGCCCGCCGCTTGCAGCGTCTGAGAAGAAAAAGTCTGAAAGTCTCGCAGTCTCCCAAAGAACAGTCCCAAAAGTACAGTCATGGCCAAGGTGCACATCACCAACGTTGTGGTGCTGGACAACCCCAGCAGCTTCTTCAATCCCTTCCAGTTCGAGCTGACATTCGAGTGCATCGAGGAACTTAAGGAGGATCTCGAATGGAAAATGATCTACGTGGGCTCGGCCGAGTCCGAGGAGCATGACCAGGTATTGGACACCATCTACGTGGGTCCCGTGCCCGAGGGTCGTCACATATTCGTCTTCCAGGCCGATCCGCCAGATGTTAGCAAGATTCCGGAACAAGATGCCGTCGGCGTCACCATTGTGCTGCTGACCTGCTCGTATCGCGGACAGGAGTTTGTGCGCGTCGGCTACTACGTGAACAACGACTATGGGGAACAGGAGATGCGCGAGAATCCGCCAACCAAGCCCCTGTTCGACAAGCTAACGCGCAACATACTCGCCAGCAAGCCGCGCGTCACCCGCTTCAAGATCAACTGGGACTACGGCCACACCAATGGCAATGGCGTGCCAGAGAACAACGGCCACAGCGATGAAATGATGACTGACGGCCCATCCACATCGCATGCGGCCGAGGCTGGTGCCCAGCAGCAACAGCAGCAGCAGCAGGATGATGACAATAGCCTGGCCATGCCCATCGAGAATGGCATCAAGGCCCTCAACGAGAACTCAAATTCCCTGGCAATGGAATGTTGAGAGAGATCTTCTGGCAGTCCAACTGCAACACACACAAAAACACTTTAGAGTGGGCGCAGACTTGAAAGCAACAACTCCCCCCGCCAGCCCGACCTCTCGACCCCTTAATTAAGTAATGTAATTTAAAAGCAAGCGATTAAATATATATGTACACATTAAATTAACTATATCTAAATTGGGCTTTGCTCTGTAAAGACTTAGCATCCCATCCATTTTGTTTCACTGTCAACGTGCGTCGTTCGACACAAATTTTGATTATTTCGCATAAGTAAACGAAAGCAGAATGTCCAAATCCAAAGTGAATCCGAAGGGGCTCTCCTTCAGCCACCCCGCCGTCTGTCGCCCGCGTTCCACCTTGACCTTGAGCAAGAAGGAGACGACGAGCCAGAGGTGAGCTGAGCGCGCACAACACACTGTCAATGGAGGTGCTTCAAGCTACAATTTCCTTTCAGCTATTTCGGCACCTTTACACATCCGTTGTGCCCCAATCACTATGTCGCCAATCCCCTGGACAAGCCATATTATCACGAGTATTTGTGGAAGTCCTGCCAGCAGCGCATGTCCTCCGCGTTGCGCATTAAGAACCGCGTGGATGTGGAGGCAGATTCCCTTGGCAATACTGTGGGCATGGTCTGTTCAGAGTCCAAGATTGCTTGCCCCAGGACCGTGGAGGGCAGACAGGCCGCTGATGTCGATTCGCGCAACTTTGCCACGTACCTGAAGGCCTTCGCCCTGGTGTACGTCCTGCCGGAGGTGGACTGGACAGCGGATAAGATCGATATGCTGCTGCAGGAGGGCACTGAACTGTTCAAGGCCAGCTCCGAGGAGGATGGTTCAAAGAAGAAGGCCTCCAAGAAACCGCCACTACTCCGGCCGCAGATCTACACGGATGCCGAAAATCGAATCAAGCGGAATTTCACGCTGGAGGGTCACACCTTCACCCTGGCCCTGGAGTCGCGCTATCTGGGCAGTCCGCAGCAGCCCCTGGAAACGCAGCCGCGTCACATCATCAAGAACCTGCGCGTCGTGCTGCAGACCTTTTTCCGCACCGGCCACTACTGCCTGCTGCTGACCAAGCAGGGGCACCTGCTCATCTGGAAGCGGCGCAAGCTGTTCTTTGTGCTGGATGTGCAGGGTAGGCGCAAGGACGATCTGGTTAGCGACAAGGCGATTGGCGTGGCCATGCTCGTCTGCCTGCAGACCATCGACAATGTTTTCTATATGGTTAGCCAGCTCAGCGGCATCTCGCCCACGGATGAATTCAGCCTGCGGGAGCTCGTGGTTGTGCGTCTGGTGACGCCCGCCGGCCGCATCTTCCTGAGGGACACCGTCCAGCGGGAAGTGGACTTTGAGGTGATCAACAACAACTACGCCTATCTGAAGGGGAATCTGCACTTGTCCCTCAACACGGCCGATCCGCTGCGCAGTCGCAGCAGCATCATGGTGGCGGTGGGCGCCATTATGGCCTCGAAAATCGACCATCCGGCCACCTGGAACACCAACATGTTCGATCGCCTCATCTGCTATGGCGTCGAGCTCTGTCGCAGTTGCTGGGGCGATCGGATGAAGCAGCCCATCAACTTGGATGAGTTTCCCACCCAGCTGCGTCTGGGCCAGTTTGTGGTCGAACTGGAGCTGCGGCCCAACGTGCGGGCGGGCAACTGGCGGTGCGTGGTGCGAGTCGCGGGCACAGACTTTGAACATCAAGTCCGCGAGACCCTGAAAGAGTACGGCAATGTCATCTTTCAGATCAACAGCCAGATGTACGCCATCTGGAACAAGGACGACTTCTACTACCTGCTCGATGCGTACCGCCACACGATTGTCGGCACGCACGTGCAGCAGGACAAGGCAAAGGGCGCCAAGTGGTCGACGGTGCGCATGTTCCGCGATCCCCTCACCATGATCAGTGTGTTCCACCAGCTGCTGAAGGAGTCCAATCGCCAGTCGCCCTACCACCTGCATGCGGTGCGCATCAAGAACATGGCCGAGTGCCCCAAGGGCTATGCCCTGGCACCCCTGCCCGAGGGCGTTGACCCAGAGGTACAGTCCATCAACGATACGATCCGGTTTAACCGGCAAGCCACCAGCTCCGGTCACATGCTGGCCTCGTTGAGCGACCACGAGGAGGATCTCGTTAGCCAAACCGAGGACACCTTCGACATCGAGAAATTTGAGCTGCTGGATGACATCAAGGATGACGATGATGAAAAAGAGCACAACTTCGATGAAGCGGGCGAAGAGGAAGAGGATACGCAGGATAGCAGCAAAGAGAACACGAAGGGCAAAAATGACCCACCAAGCCCAAAGAACGTTTCGCGGTTAGCTTCTGGAAGAAGTCGGAACTCCTCGCCACCGATGAGCAAGCCGAAGCCATCAAGCAAAGTGAAGGATCAGAGGCTAACTTCAGGAGGGCCCCACAAAGGCTTGGCACCCAAGGAAAAGCCAAGCGGTCAGACTGCAACGTCAGGAAAGTCGCAATCCCAACAGCGGTCCGTCACATCTGCAGACCGACCTCACAGCTTTTCTATGTGTTCCAAACCCTCTGGGAAGCAATTTAAAGATTTGGCAAAATCAATGGAGGAAATCAGGGCATCCCGTCAATTTACACCGCAAATTTGTACGAGTTGCGAGTCAGATGCCCGGTTGTCGTGTCCCAATAAGCCCATCAAGGTGGCCCAGTTCCAGGCGAAGACGTTCAAGCAAAAGGGGTGCCAGCAATCCTGCTGGTGCAGCGGTCGGGAATCGATTGAAGCGAGCAGCAAGCAGGCGGCGATTCAAGAACATAAGTTTCCAGGCTTCTGTCGCGTGCCCCAAATGCTGGCCGTGGCAGGGTCGGAGAGCGGTACCGTGGAGAGCCTCAAGCGGCTGTTCGTCTCCTCCTTCCAAGCCGCCAACCGAGTGCTTGCTATGACGCCGTGGGGCAACTATGTGGTCTTCAGGGCGGACCAGAACTCTGAGTCGGGATCAGGCTTTTTGGTCTTCGACGGCTGCACCTGCAACATCGATCGCTTCCGCCACTTGGATCTATCGCGTGGTACGGAGGGACTGTTGCCATTTGACCACCTGTCGCAAGTCGTTGCCCACATAATCGATTCGCGGGAGCTCAAGGCTTTGCATGCTCTGCGCTCTCGCCTGGAGGCACCTTGCAGGAGATTAGAAAATCAATTGGCTCACAAGCCACAGTACTTTGCCAGCTAATAATTCAGACTATACATTTTTGTACAGTGTAATATAAATTTCAAGTGTTTTTTAGTCCGAAATTTAGCTAGATGCACAAGCGAACAAATTAAAAAGAGAATGTCCGAGAATGCAAGAAAAATTATTAACTTTTACAGAAAACTCCGTTGTTGTAGCGCTTCTTATTTGTTTTCCATTTATTATTATTGCTAATTCGTATGAGTCGTTAAATTTAAACTTAATATTGAGTACATTTACATAATGTAGAGAAGTGTCGACCACGACGACATGATGACGCAACTTACGTTAGCTAAACATCCAACTAGTGTGTAAATATATATATGTAGAATATATATAATATATTTATTGAGTGTATATAGAATTAATTTTAAATTTGTAATTCGTGTTGCAGCTTGATGAACGCTTTCCAGACAAACGAGACCAATGCAATTTTAACTGGAAAGCATTCATTGGCCGCGTCATAGCCGCGGTCATATGTTTACTAGGATTTTTCTTTTAATATTCTTAAATTGTATTTTCTTTTTATCTTATTTTTGTTGTTGTTTGCATTTTAAGGCACTGAAGCTTTGAATTTTGTGCATACCGAAAGTAAGGTTTCTCTTGTTTTGTTTTCTTGGGTACCTTCTCTCCTACCCACCCAACCATCCATCCAAATGCGCCACTACAAAATTAAACAAATCGCGTCTTAAAAATTATGCATCTTTCGAGCGCAAATCTGTAGCAAATTTCGTTTATATAAAAAATATCCCTGACTATTTTGTCTTCCCTAATTCCCTCATTCCTTTCCTATATGTACTTGCTATCCATCTGTTTCCTATATAAGTTTATTTTTTTTTTTGTTGTTGCCTGAGGCTGATTCTATTATTTTGTTGCTTTGTAGGTTTTGTTGTTGGGTTTCGTTTTGTGGGTTCAAGCTCTTGGGATCGAAACAAAAAAAAAAACAAATAATAAACACTATGCTATGCCTAGGCCCTAGGATCTAAAATACATATACAATTAGGTAATTTTTTAAATATATTACAAAGGCAGCTCTCTCAATGGACAAATACCAACTAGCGACTAATGCGAAATTATATATATCTAAATATATTCAGCAACATAGGAAATGCATGCGATACGAAGAAAAGATTGCCCCTAACCCCGAAGGAAGGTTCTGTTTCGATTTTAGGTGTGTGTGTGAGTGTGTGGGAGCGTGCATCCCGAAGCGATCAACGCCTGCAGGAGGCGACTCCACATGCGCGCACACACACACAATCGGACATAACAAACACATACAAATAAACTATAGAGAGAGTTATAGATAGATAGATCTGGACGTGAACATAGATAATACCATTAAAAGTGGGGGGCAATTTCCCGGTTGAGTATATATGTATATAGTAGAGATAGTTGTTGCACAGACCATGCATGTACAATTGGTTATGCTTAGGAGGAGTTCCTCTCCTCTCGCTTAGGCTAGACAGACATATCGTACCAGGTTAGACCATGTTTACGGCGCCATCAGCCTCGAATGTGGGTATGGATATAATGTCGCTGCTGCGCACCGCCCCCATGGGTAGTGCGGAGCCCTTGGCTTTGGCCTGATCCAAATTGAGATCAACCTCATCATCGTCGTCGTCGCTGGAGCTACTCGAATCGTCCGCCTCCTCGGGCTCGCTGCAGCTGTTTGTTGAGGTGGATGTGTTTTGGGTTTGCTTCATGGCCGACGCTATATCCGTATTGCTCTCCAGCGTCGAGTGCTGGCTGGACGGCGAGTGACTGTACTCGGAGGTGTTCTCCTCCTCGTCGGAGACAATGACCACATTGCGTTTGTGGTGTATGGCAATCTTCTGGGACATTGGAGCCTTGTAGCTGCGACGCGGACGCATGCCACGGGCAATCGGCAGGCGACCAATGCTAAAATAAGTAATGTCACAGATAAAAATGGATCTGCGATTGGGTTTGGGTTTATTTCTCACTCACCTGCGTCTCCGCAAGGCGTACTTGCAGTCCGTCGTCTCGCCCTCCTCATCCGACCAGCTATCCTGAGCATTCGCCTCCCCGCCATTGGCATTGCCCATCGAGGGTCCATTGGCTTGTCCACTTGGATTGTCACCCTGCGGCTGCTTTCTTCGCTTGCTCTGCGTGCTGCTGCACCGACTCAGGCACGGACTGTTGCCAGCTTCCCTGCACTCCTGCAGCGGAGATCCTCCTCCTACTCCGTTGCCATTCTCAGTGTTTGAGTTTGAATTCGTGTTGGACTGAATGGAGAGGCGGTTCTCGTTAATGAACTCGATGACTTTGCGACCCAATCGATCGAGATTCTCATTGTCGCTGCAACAGTCGGTGATGTCCAGACGCTCATTGCTGTTCATCACATCGTCGTTCATCAGCTGGTCCGGACTAGAGCAGGCATCCTGGTACGTCAGCTCGCTGGTACTCAGCGAGTTGCCATTCGACGGACTAGTGGGATTCACGGACCCCACCCTGGCCTGGGCCTGCGCCTGAGCCTTGGCCATTTTCTGGACTCGCTGCAACTGCAATGGCAGCTGGCGATGATTCGGGGGTGGCACATCAATCGGCTGAGTACGTGGCAGGTCGGCGCTGGGACTTATGTCCGTCTCACTGACATCCATGGCATCCGTCTGCGTCTGTTGCTCCACCAGCTGTACCTTTCGGTTCTCCGGCTCGCTCTGGTAGCGACGATCGCGCGTCGGACTGTACTTGGGTGGTGCACCCAGAGATCCAGAGCCATTGCGTCGATGGCCGCGCTTCTTGTTCTTGTTGGCCATGCTGTTGCTGCCGCATCCGCCACCGCCAGCAATGATGTTGCCCAAATACGACTTTGGCTGACAATTACCGTCCAACTGGGCATACAGCACGCACTTGACAGGGGACTACGAGCACAAACATTACATTATTATCATTACAACGGAAATAAAAACCGATTTGCTCACCTCCGGCGTGGTCTCTGGATCTGGTGTGGTGGACGTTTGCTGCTGGATGGCGGCTGGCGGTCCGTTTAGTCGTCGGCGATAGTGTTGCATCTTCCTGAGTGTATTGCCAAGGCGTCGCGTCGGCTTATAGCCACTTCCAGGCAGCTTCCGTTCACGTCTAAAAATGTCATTCAAGAGTCAACAAAGGAGATCTTTCTATGGAGAGCAGAAGAGAGCACTTACTCGGCAATTTCCTTCTCCTTCTCCTGCAGCTGGGACATGCATTCGCTGAGCTCAAAGAACAGCTGGTTCGTCTTCTGCAGCTTATCCTCGTACACCATGCGTATGTCCTGGGCGTGTCGCCACTCGGCCGTGCGCCGCTTGATCAGATCCTGCTCGTACTTGTGTATGCTGGTGCCGTTCTGGGTGATCTCCTTCAGGTGCGAGCGCACCTCCTCCTTCCACGACTTTTGCGTCTCAAAGTACTGCTTCTCCGACTTGCGCAGCAGCTCCGGTCCGGCAATGTCCAGGTGCGAGAGTATCTGCCGGAATGAGGGACGATTCCTGGGCTTGCTCTTCCAACAGAGCTTCACCAGCAGCTTAAAGCCCTCTGGACAGGTGCTGGGAACGAGAAGCTTGAGCGAATTGTTGCCCACACCCCAGATGATGGCCGAGGAGTCGACATCCTTGTAGGGTATCTCGCAGGTGAGCATTTCCCATAGCACAACGCCATACGACCAAATGTCCACCTTCTCCGAGCAGGGCTCATTCCGTATCACCTCGGGCGCCATCCAGGCCACAGTGCCCGCGAAGCTCATCTTGGTGCTGATCTCGTTCCACTCGCGACTCGTCCCAAAGTCGCTTATCTTGACCACCTCATTTGTACTAATCAGTATGCTGAAAGAATCCCCCCACAGGATATATTAAATCAGAATCTATCTGTTGCTGGCTTGGGCACTCACTTGGGACTCTTTAAATCTCGGTGTATGATCTTGTGGGAATGCAGATACTGCATTCCCTGGGCAATTTGCTTGGCCCAGGAGACCAAGCGGGACGGCAACATGACCTGCTCCTCCTTGAGTATATTCTGCAGCGGACCGTACGGACAGAACTCCATGATGATGCAGAATACCGGCGACTGAGTGCATACTCCTCTGCAAGATGGATCAATCGGTTGTTTAGATGCAATTACACTTTACAGACTGCCGGCAGCAAAACTCACTTGAACTTGATGATGTTCTCATGGTCCAGCTTCCGCAGATGCTTGATGTCCGTCTCCTTCAGCTCCTTCACCTTCTTCACGGCCACAATCTCGTTCTTCAGCTTGCCACTGAAAACGGCGCCTTGGGCTCCACTGCCCAGCCACTCGAGGTCCGTGATGAACTCGAAGGGTATTTCCCAGTCTTCGCTCCGCTGACTCTTCACCTCGATCACGCCGCTCTTGCCGATGAACGAGAGCACAGGCTTCATGCAGCCCAGCAGCCCGTACATCCATCCTATGGGCTTGTCCGGATGCCCGAATGCCGCCGCCGCTCCGCTGACATTGTGGGGCCAGCGCTGTTGACACGTGTTCTCTGCACTGCTGTCCGTGATCTCCCCGTAGTTGGTGTGATGCTGTAGATGCGGCGGAGAGTCGAGATCGGGTGACTTGAAGGGTAGGTCAGTGGCCGCCAGTCCTAGGTGTCCGAACTCATCCTGCAGGCAGGCCATGCTGTTGAAACAAACGAAAACATCATTAAAACGGGTAAGTATACTATCAATATTTCCCTACTGTCTTCAATTCCCGCTATTTACCTATCGATATTCAACAGTTATGTTTTCAAATGCGATAAGAAAAATGACTATCTACCGAATTCTATAAATAAAAGTGATTCCCCCACTCAACTTTCCATTAACTATGTATGTATTTACCATTTATGTACCTCATACTAAAGAATTACAATGGAGGTCCATTTCATTTCCATAAAAAGAGAATGTTGCTAAGGGAAAAAAGCTAATATTCTATTATATATGTATATCTCTATATCTATTGCGTGATAATCAAACTGTTGTTTCGGGTTTAGTTTTTATGTTTAAACGCGTCGCAAATGATTTTGTATACCCTTGAAGAAGCTATTTTTATTTTGACAAGCGGTTGGCCAGACCGAAAACGCTGGATATTTGACTTTATAGAGTTGATAACCACCATTTGATCACTTTGGGATACATACATATATCTTCCATAGGAACGCCATAGCTTATTTATAGATCATACAAAAGTGTATCACAATTATATCAGAATTTTAAAATCTGACAACAGCCAAGGGTATCAAAAGTTTCGGCACTCGAAAGGCTATTGTTCACTCTCTTGTTTTCGTGTGCTGACACAGTGAACGTGCAGAAAAAAGAGCGAATAATTGATAAAAAGCCGTGCAAATAAATATTAGTGAAGCGATCGCCTCACCCCTCGGCATTATTTGAGTTCTGGAAACTGGAAACACACACACACACATACACCCAAAAGCCTTCCTGTTGCTGTGCTTGGAATTCGTGTTTGCTTTGTGGTGCGATAAGATAAGCAAACAGAGGAGTGGAGCAGACGCTGAGGGAGTAGGACGGATGGAGAGACAGAGAGTAGCGACAGCAGCAGCCGCAGGTGAAAAAAAAAAACATTTATCGCAACAACAACTACTTCAGGTGCCAACTGAGCGACGCGTAGAAAGTCCCACGGGACCGACCGACAGGCAAATCACCTGTTACACACAAACACACTCAAACAGAGATTATACCGTTCTTTGCAGATTTATTTGGTGACTGACCATGTAGTCGTCTCACTCTCGCAAGCGCACCCGCGCGCCTAACAAGTGTCAAAAACCTTTTCTGCGAGCATTGTGTTTATTTATGAATTTGTGAAAAGTATTAATTAAGTCTCGAAAGTACTATATAAGCCGCCAGCACGTTTTGACCTTTGCCTGTGACGCGTCGTAGTTCATAGAACGCGGAAATTTGGCGGCGTGCTGCGTTCCTCATTCTCGCGTCATTCGTTTCGTGTTTTGTGCTCTTTTTTGCACAGGTCAGCGCGAGTGCAACGCACATAACGGTAAATGTTGTGGCTGGCTGCAGTGTTTGGTGTGACTCAGTTTAATGCGATTTACCTCTTTTCGTTGGTTATAATCTTGTCCGGCGGCTCGTTATGGCCAAAGAATGATATATAATAGACCATGGCGAATGTGCTTTGCTTTCCTTTCCCTCTCGCCCGCACTTAATTCCAATTTCCACGGCCAATTGTGTTTGTTTTTGTAATTAGTTGTCGCGCACTAAGAATTTCATTCATTCGTACTCAACGGCGACGTCGACGGCGCTGCATTAATGCAAATTTTTACGCTTGCTTTTCGCTGGCAGCAGTTTTTTGTTTTACGCACAGAAGTGGCAGCGGATGGAGTGGCGTTACAGTAACTTTTGATTAAAAACGTTCACTCGGTTCGTGCCAAGCACAAACAGCCACCGCGCGCACACTCACACACAGACACACAGAGACTGGCCGAGTTGCTGCTATTTTTTGTCGCCAAAAAAATTAAATGACGTCAAGGTAAGTTGGTAAGAGTTTGTTGTTGGGCGTCTGTGTTAATTACAAGACCAAGCGCAGAGCGCGTAACACTTTCGTTGGCTATGTGCTGTAGTGCTGGCGGATTGTTTAAGAAACTGTAATAATTTCACGTTTTTTGCAAAAACTGCGTCACAACAACCACAACAAAAAGGAGAGGAGACGGCCACAAAAGACTTGTGAACTGATTTGGCGATAAGCAGCACACACACACACAAGCATACGCACGGGCACACATTAAGGCAGGCTCACAAAATATTTGCGACCGAACCGTCAGAAGCGATTGATTTTTGCCAACTAAATGGTGAGCGGTAGCGTTGGAGCATGGCCCCAAAGCTCCCCATTATCAGCGTAGCTTTCGGATGTTGTGCTCTCTGGCTCCAACAACTCTCGTTCTCCCTCTCTGTCGGTCCGTCTCTCATCTTTTGTTATCACGGGCATTTGTTGTTGTCAAAGTGACCAAATTCGCTAATGCCTGCAGTCGACTGCAGTCTGTCTGGCACCTTTCTATGCCGATATGCTCTCTGGGCACACTCGAAACCAGTTTTTTTTTAGCGGGGCCACATGATCCACACAGACAGGTGTTTGCATGTATGCATATACATGTGTATGTATCTATGTGGGGCTCTGTATGACAAGGAAGTTTTAGTCGCGCGTCGGCTCCTCTGCTAAAGATCGGTTTTCTTTTCTTTTTATCATTTCACCACAATTTATTATTAGCACGTGTTTGTTGGAAGCCATTACTATACCTATGTTTGGGGGTTATTTTTTTTGAACATTTCTATCTAAAATCATTGAACCTAGCCTATTCTACGGAAAACAAGGAAACTGTCTGCCAAATTTGGTATCTACAGTGCTGATTAATATCTAATTACGTTTGTTATACTCTTACAGGTGGGTAATACCCATAATGATTGTTCGGGTCAATATTTCAGTGCCCATCTGTCTGTTTGGAAAACTAGACAAAGATTAAAAAAAAACCAAAGATCTGACAATCCTGCAAATTTCTACATAAAATAGTTTAGGTTATACATACATACATACATATGTAAACAATCGATTGGCAAGGGTATCTAAAGCTTCGGCCCCCCACTTAGTACTCCATTGTTAATGTGCTTATTTGATATTGAATTAAATCAATTAAAATGTTTATGGACCGCTGATCGATCAACCTTTTGGAATATATCCGAGCGGGCGGTCAGAATCTATCTAAAGCGCGCTAGGGGTTTTTCTCAGTGTACGCTGAAGGTCGATTACCTCGAACTTGAGCACGATCTGACGGAATTTTCTTATAAAATGAATCAAAATATACATACATATTTTCAGCGTTTTTTTTTTTTTTTTGTAAATCGTGCGAAACTTACCTTCTCCGCAGGTTATCCGTCTGATCCAGCGACAGGTTGGGACTGCTGCCGTGGTGTCGCCTCCGGCCGTATAACTGCTGCCGGGAGGCAGTAGCTGCGGCGACACTGACCAAATCATCGCGACTTTTGCTCAGACTGTCGCTAAATGGTTGCATTGTCCGTTTTATAGTGTTCTGCGGACTCCTTACGACATGCTGGGGTGGTAGTTGGTGGGGGGGTGGGCTTTATCTGCGGAAGGTCAAGCGATTTGGTATCAAAGGTTTCAGAACCTCAGTGAACTCCACACACATTCACGCGCTCGCGCATTAACCTGTAATCTTTTATCAATGAACACCAAAGCACACAAAATCAATAAGAAACGACGTCAAACGGCAAAATGCGCAGGATGTGCTGTGCGTATGAGAGCGAGAGAGAAGGCTGGCGGTCAAAGTCGTTTGTTCTCTGTCGTCACAGAGCCCACGCAAATTCAAGCAAGCGAGTTGTAGTCTACCAAAAGATACCCTCTACTTAGGTTGGTTAGAAATGATTTGGTAAGAAAGATGTAATCCCAAAGATAATTTCGTTCGCATTGCCAACCGCAAAGGTAATTTGTATTAGTATTCATCCGATAAGAATTATTTTCGGTAATTCATATACCCCACAAGTTGGAAATTACGAGTAAGAAATGTTTCTTTTTCTTTTAGTCTCTGTAAACGTCTATCCAAGACAATCCTGAACAAGATTGTCTATTGTCCTCGTTTCGCCTGTTACATACGTTTACATTAACACCATATACCCTTTGCACCCTCCGAGCACCGTGCAAGCCATAAAGTCAAAGCAGCAAAGAAAGTGTGAGAGTTCGATTAAGAAGAGGGAAGAGTCGGCCACCTTTCAGTTCAATAATTACATTTGTCAATTGTACACTTAACATTCCGAATAACGTACATTTGTACATACATACATATGTACATATATATACGGGTGTTTCTTTCACTTTCAAAGTGCAGTCTGAGCTATTTTTATGATGTCTTTAAAAGGCAAATTGCACAAAAGAACACACTTGCACATACAAACTCCATCGCGTATTTGTATGTGCATACGTATGCATGTGTACATGTGTAAATCCACTTCTTCTGCTTTTTGCCTTTGCAGTGCTTTTGGTGCTGGTTCTTGGTTTGTCGTGTGTTTTTTTTTAACTTGGCTAAAGCTAGAACATAACACCAGTACACTTTTTTCTCTATTTCTGTACTCCTCTCCGACTCTCTCGCACACACACACACACATGGCGCACACCCACACACGGACACACGTTGGAAACCTTACGCCCCGGCCCCCCCCTCGTCCCCTCTCTAACTCAACCGGTACCCACTTAGGTTTTCTCGCGTCCTTGCGGGCCCGTGCCTCCGCAACGGCAAAAGGGCTGGGCCAGTGCAGCGCAGCTTTGTGCTGTTGCTGCTTCCTCTTCTTCGTTTTGTTCCCCTCTTTCAGAGAAAATCAATATACAATTTTTTTTTTTTATTTGCACATTTTCACAGTTTTGCACAAGTCTTCAGGCGATTTTCCGCATGAAAATTGTATTCTTGATGCATTTGCTTACATTTATTGGGTATTTGTGGGCAATTTTAATTGATTTTTGCTTGAAATAAAACAATTAAAGACTGGTTTCTGGTCTCCCCAGTTGCGCTTTAGATAACGAAACGGAGAACGCGTTATTCCGACCCAACCGTCCGCACCAAAGGTAGATACAAATCAACTACAAAAAAACTGGCCGAAGCTGGCTTTAGGCCGAAACCGAGACCGCCACGGAGAGAGAGCAAAGCGAGCGCACAGCACCACAAAAATTGGTATGTACCGCCGTGTGCTAAGCCGATTTCCTCCCTCGAAACCAGTTTGGAGCGCAGGTTGCACTGCGCATGTGTGTGCCCGGAGAGACAGAGCGCGAGAGAGAGAGAGAGATGCCATGAAGAAGAGAGCCATGGCCAACCACCGAAGCAGCAGTTGCAAGGTACTCCACCACTCCCGGCTGTCTGTTGTTGGTATTGGTATTGGGAAACTGGAGCTGGCTCCAAAAAGCTCCGGGATCCAAACATGTCCGATCATGTTTACAGGCCTAAAAGCTTATGCAGCTGCGGGAAGCTTTTGGCCTCAGTACGAGAAATGATAAACAAAACGCGACAGAGACCGATGATAGTGATTCGAATTCGAGATAGTAGATGATAGCTCACAAATAAAAAGTAAGACGCCATAGAACGGCATCATAACAAGTACATATGCGCCACCCTTTAAGGCTCGATGTGCAGGGGTGATGTATTCCATACCCCTGGCGATCCGATCTACTATATCCATCGCTTTTAACACCGCAATCTCTGCGACTATAAGAGCAGCAGACATCAAATTTGGGATCTAGCCTTAATATCCCATTGTCTACTTATCAACAAAAAATCATCAGGATTGAATTGGAGCTTTACACAATAGTGGTCCGAATACGAAAGCAATTCATTCAGTTTACATATTTATGACATTTTTCCAGCGACAGTTTCATTTAAACGTTTTTAGGAATATCATACCATACCATTTCATTATACATATGTTTCTGCTGGCTGATAAGCGTCATGCTGTCATCAAAGTGTTGAAGCGAACGGAAATCTGGGCGATCCCCTCCCTTATAGTGCACAACAGGTAGAAAGAACATGAGAACATAATGCAGCAGCAGGTAGCATAATTTCTATGTAAACAAAGATGACTCATGCGGAGAGTCCAAGGGAAGACAGTCTGTCCGCACTGCGGACCATATTTGTGGAACAGAAACGATCCCATGGCCTGTTCCCCCACCCGTTCCCTTGTTAGAGCAACAACGCCTAGACCCCCCCTCTGTAGAGGTACATATAACCATCTTGTTGGTTCAAAAAAGAGCACCACAAACAACAGGTCCAGTAATTTGTTATGCCGCCTGCGTGCCTTTCAGGCATTTTCATTTGGTCCATTGCGCATGAGTCATTGGGCTAAGGTATTTGTAGACGGACGGGGTCCAGTCCAGGGTTTGCAGGGGTACCATGGTTCCAGGTCCCATTCCCGTCAATCAGTGCCACAAAAAGGAAAGGGAAGGGAATTTCGTTGCCTTTATCGAGTGTCGGTTGGAGTGGGGGATCATGATTTAAAGATGCTATCTAAAAACGATCGTTCTTTTCCACTTAATTGATATACGTTCTATAGATAGAAGAATATGATGCTGCCTTTGTGTTTGTTCTATGTATTTTATGCCCCGATAATATGTAAACAATAATCGTATATGTTAGGTAAGTACACTTGACTGAATACTACTTGTAGTTCCATCTTTCTTTATTCGTTTCTCTCGTTCCAAACATAAACCACATTCAAAATGTCTTAGGATCTAAACAATATCATCTTTGCTTTTCTTTAACATTTATATTTGATGTAAATGTAACTGTTTCACAGGATTTATCTTTCATTAAGCCATTTCTTTCTCTTCAACGTCCCTCGCTGTGTGGGGGGGAGTCACAATCTTTTAAATACTGAATGCATTAGTTAGATTAGAATATATAAATTCAAAATATGATGCGAACAAAATGCTACGTGCTGTTCAGAATGCGTCTGTCTGCCAGGCATTTCCGGTGTGTTTGTTGTTTTTCTTCTTGTCATACCATTTTGTTATTGTTGAAAAGCTAATTGTTTATTAAGTACGTATTGTAGTTTTGTTGTTGTTTTTTTTTCTTTTAGAGCTGTCACCAGTTGTTTGGGAAATAATATCATTTAGAGACTAAATTCTATAAATGTCATGCAAATGATATCAGTTTAAAGGTGAGGATTGAAGATTGGTGGTGGCGAAAGCGTTATCAGTATATCCTTATAGAAGGATGCGAAAGTAAGAGATTTGTTTGGTAATGAAATAGCATTCGAAATTCGATGGTGTTGCCATTTCCTGGATGATCATTAACAGATAATAATAATTGTTTTCTTGATATTACCGGGAATTGGTGGGGGGGTGGTTCGATGTCGGGATCAAGATACGATTTCAGTAGAGCTTTAGGTATATCGTAGATATTAGGGAAGCAACGAATACACATTTCGCTGTTAGAAGTAATGGCGGGGTACAAATCGTAAACGAATCTATAAAACAGTAGTCACAAAATTGAGATTATTAATACCGCGGGAATAGTAATAGACATTGCATTACTATACTATGTAGGTTCTTGTAGGTTCAGGAATATTACATCTGTAACCTCTTGTCAGATTGAATTTTTCATGGTTTTAATGATAACTTAATGCATAATCATTAGAACTAAGTCTCACAGAAATTGTTGTTTGTTTAACGCACTTAAAGTCGACTTATTATAGCTTGGGGAAACTCTTTCCAAGAATCTCACACATTGTCCCCAAATCGATACTCTCACGTACATATGTATATATTGTCGTTCTCACTGCTAACATTCTTGGTGGTTATTTCATTCTATCCGCTCGACAAAGTACAAGTAATTTATATTGAACTCTTTACGGGATAATATTTAGTTGTATTTACAGCGGAATGCTATGGTTTTATCGCGGATTATGCGTGATTGGGAAGTACATACTGTGTGTGTGTGGGTGTGTTTGGCATTAAATGTTTTTTAAGTATGTGTAAATTAGTTTGGTTTTGGCATACGGAATCAATTTCGGATCAGATACTTCCTTCCCAATCCACGCATTAAACTATTCATATTTTGATATAACATCTGATTGAAAGGAATAAATGTATATGCATTTGTTTTGTGTGATGTGTAGTTTACCCTGTAGACATATTCTGTTCTGTTCTGCTCTCCATATATATATATATATATATATTTATATATACTCAGGTACGCGCTGCATTTCTCTAGTTAACATTCCCTTCAGTTTTTTTTTTAGTGAAATCTGCTACAAGGAACATTTCTTTTCTTTAAGTGTGAGTGGGGCAAGGGGGAATATAATGTGTACTTTTGTGTGTGATTGTTTAGAGTCCCTCGTGTTTGCTGTTTGGCTGCGTCTCGCTCGCCTCCGAATGCCTTGGTTCCAACTCCACCAGAGTATCATTCTGTTCCTGCTCGTTCTCATCATCATCATCAGCATCATCCTCGTCACTGGAGTCCACAAAGGTGTGCATGGTGAGGGCCTGGAAATCGTTCAAGGCCTGCTCGAAGAGTTCAATGGTGTGCTGGTTGCTGGCTATCACCTGCTGGGTGTTCAACAGGTCCTCGGTGGCGCTGAACAGGAGATCTTGAATGGAGCTGGAGTGTGAGGAGGCAAGCGAGCGCGATGTACCTGCACCTGCACCTGCTCCTGGTGCTGCTGTTGCTGCTGTGTCTGAGTCCTGTGGATTGTTTGACATGATTTGCTCACCGCTGCTGCTGCTGGGATCCTCGCTGATGTTGCTAGCCGCCAGTCCACGTGTCAGCTCATCTGCATGGGCCAGCGTTGAGCCAATGATGTCGCTGGCAATCCGAATGGCAGCGTCTGTGGCGGCAATTGTGGATATAAAACTGGAGGCAGCTGCTGCTGCTGTGTTGTTGGTCGTCGGTGGGTTAGGTGCTGGTCGGCTGAACACAGTATCGCTGGTCACCTGATTGCCTTCGATTCGGAGACCGGCCACTCCCTTCTTGGGTATGGTGGCCAGATCCCTTTTCACGCGACGGCAACGGGTCGGCTCGTTCTGACGCTGCTGCACAAGCTGCTCCAGATCGACCACGTAGACATAGCCGGCCACGAGTATGGAGCAGGATTTTTCGCCCTTCTTGAAGGCCTCCTCAATGTCCTGGCTGGTGCGGTCATCGTATTGCCACCAACCTGAAGTTACATTTGGTCTTTAAATCACAGTTTGGTTTCGTGTTTCTTTGGGATTGGATGTGGGTGAAGGGATGAGGAATGGTATGTGGCATTAATTATCCGGGGTGGTGTGTGTGTGGGGCGGTGTTAGTTTGAAGCGGCAGGCTTGGTAAGCCCGGCCACGCCTTTATAGTCGCAAGGTGGTGGCTCCACGGAATTGCGTCGTTGAATGGCTCTATGTTTGTCGGGTCTGGTCAGACGATACTGACGCATTCCGCTAAAGTCGATGAGATAGTTGTTTCCGCAAATCAATTGGATCATCCGGCTGGGATGCGGATCAACTGCGACACTGTCCTCACTCTCACTGCTGCTCCCATCTGTGTCCATCGCCAGCTCGCCAACGCGCCCCACCTCGTGTCTCAGATAGTAATCGTACCAGAATATAATATTATGGATATTCCGCACAGCAGGGGAATAATGCGCTTGTGGAGCAACCCCATCGTCTCCTTCCATTGGCGGTAGTTCTGGAAACGGCAATACCCCACGGCTGTTTATTAATGGTGGCAGCGGTGGTATCTGGTCATCGGGATTATCCTTCTTGTGGGCCTCGTATTTCTTAAAGCCCTCTTCGATCTCTCCGTTGGTTCGCTTATCGTAGGCCCACCAGCCTTCTAAATTGGTGGTGATTGGTGAGTGTTTTTTTGTTTTTTGGTCTGGGTTATGGGAAATGCGGGGGTGCCCGACACCGACAGAAGTTAGAACTGCTACACTTACCGTTGCGACCCTCGTAGTACCATTGATAGCCATCCTCGGTGGCGCGGGTAACGCAAATGTCCTCGATGCCATTCACCAGCGTGGGATGATCCAGAAATTCGGAGGGGATTTCGCGACGGCACATGGCGCAACGACGATTCTTATACGCAACGCCCTGCAAAAACAACGAGACAAGGAGTAGTTTTTTGTTAGATAAATGCTGGTCCTAACCCCTCCACCTAAGACACTGCCAGCGGATGCAGTTACCAGTCCCCAGCTTGTGAACTGGAAAATGCATTCAAGTGCTAATTGAAATACTTGTCCAAGGCCCAAACTGGTTGCGAATTGGTCGGGGGGACCGACAAAATTTTTGAAATTTGAAATTGGACAAGTTTTCAGCCGGAAGCCAATCCAATCGGAACATGTATGTATCTGTGCTGTGCTGGCCACATCGAATGCTAATCAATCGAACAGCCGCCTGCCGTCTCAGCAGCAGCAGGCACCAAAGGGTTCAGAACAGCCTTGAACCTGCTGCCTACGTGCTCCACAATACTCGCCAGCCAAAAGCGAATATTTAAAACTTAATTTGACGACGCGCTGCGCATAGGCAATTGGCGGAGAGGCTTCCGCATTTCGTGCGCGGGGAGGGGGACTACACTACGCACCTTAATACACAAGAAGCAAAAGATGTGGCCGCAGGGGAGACGGGCTGGATGGATGCAAGTCTGTAGGCAGATGGCGCACTCCAAGGCCGCGGCCCCTGTGCTGGATGCACCATCCAAAGCGGGGGGACCTACAGAAAAAAAGACATACTGCGGGTAAAGACACGATTGATGGCTGCCTGGGATGGCCAGGGCTCACCTGCTTCCCCGTTGGTGGTGGCCTTGGCAGAGGCTCCTGTCTGAGGAGCAGCGCCAACAATGCCATTGGCGTCACGGGCTGCTGCAGCAGCCGAGGTGGACGGCATGTCGCCGCTGAGATCAATGCTAACTATGGGCAGCACAGTGGTCCCCATGTATTGAATATCCTCGTCGTCGTCGTCAGCCATAACGATGGAGTTATTTGTGTCCGCCTTTTGATTCGACATTTCGCGACCAATTACAATTTAGTTAACAATACAGCAAAACGAAGGCGACGCCTCGGACGTCAGTTTTCGTTTCTTTTCTTCCCAACAACAAAAAAATGTTATTTTTTGCTGCCTTGTTGTTTATTAGTGATGGCCACCTGTCGATAAAATATACCATCAGACCCTCATAAATATACCAAAATATACCTTACAATTTCAAAATATACCGTAATTATACCGAGGAAAATCGATTTAATATCGTAGCTAGGTGGCAGCATTGCCGTCTATCGATACTTTTGGCAGTGCTGCAAAATGCTGTGCGTCACAAAAATTTTGGCGGCAATATTTGAATTAAAATTAAATTAAATAACATTTTTATATATGTATGCTCGACTTAATTAGGCTTTACGTATTCCATTGGGTTGCATTGCTCGTGTGGCTCCCACATTGATAATGCTTTATTAAATTCAACAAAAAACCAATTAAAATTATGTGCTTCATTTCATGCAACACATTTTTCCACTGTGTGTGTCCCGAGTGACATCTTTCCCATATCCACCCACCCAACCACCCACCTGTCGAAGGGGCATTTAACTTCATAAAAATTGACCGCCCTTGCCCAGAGGAGCGCTCGGAGCATCACGCACTTTTTAATATGCAGTCAGCACGCCGAGAAAGTCACCAAAAAAAGTGAAACACAATAACGGTCAGATGCAGTCGCAGGCCAGGACTCATTACATAAAAATCAATTTTTGGTTTATTTTTCTTTTCGCCGTGCATGTCATTTTTTGTCAATTACACACATACACACACACACACAGGCACACAGTCGTCAGGCAGTAGACAGACATTCAGACGGCAGGACGCAGGACTCTGCAGGGGCAATTGCCTAATTGCGCGACAGACAAACGCGTTGTGAAGTCAACTGCCGACGAGTTTTGTAAATTACTGTCGTTCTGCTGTCCTTTCGGGCTGTTTAATGCACGTGTCCCTGCAGCGCGTTGGGGCGTTTTAAAAATGTGTTGCCTGCCCAGGGACCCCCCCTGCTATAGCCCTGCTACGACGTGATTTGCTTGTGGGAATAACACTCGCACTCGCACTCGTAGTCGTAGTCGTATGAGTGTTTTAAAATGAAAAAAAAAATAGTACTAAGTCTCAACTCCGACTAAATGATACCCACTAAGGCAACCCCAGTGTTATATGGGTATAAAAATGTATATATCCCAAATCCTGGCTAGCCCTATTATGATTATGATTATTCAATAGCTATATAAAGCTCATAGTCCCTGTAATCCAGCAGTAACAGTGTCTGTCACAATTATCACCACGCGTTGAATCTACCCATTAGGAACCACAATACTGGGTATAGAACACACACTATTTAGTATGCATGACAACTCCTTCAACTCTCGTACACTCAACCCTTTATTTTTGTGCTCGTTTCTGCACTTGTTGTTTTGTAATTGTTCTATGAGTGGTACAATTGAATTTTTATGCCCAGCAAACCATCAAAAGGGACATCAGAGGCACAAGAAAATACTGTGATGGCCTCTTCAGGGCGCTCCATGGTGCTTCATGGCGCTCCATGGCGCTTCATTGCTTTGTGGCCACAAAGAGAAACCCATAAAAAAAGGAGGAAAAACCTCAAATCTTAATGTAATTATCAAGCCAGAAAATATAACCGTTTATAGCGGTAGACGCCTCAAGATTATTAACACAAAAGAGGGCTGGCAATGGCAATGGTCGTCATAAGCATAAAAATATTGCCCAATTCTGCCCACCCTCTTACGCTCTGTTTTTTTTTTTTTCTTTTTACCCCCAAAAAGGGCGAACAAAAAATAGGATAGAATTTTCTTTGCACCCTCTTTGTAATAAGCTACTTTTGCATCTTTTCTACTCGTATTGCTCTTTATTTTATCATTTGCTGTGGCTTGGTCTGTCCCCTGCCCCGTGCTGTACTTCCCTTAAACATTTTATTATCGCTCTTTTTTTTTGCTGCGCCTCGGTAAATCCCCTTAATCAACGAAAATTGTCTGTTCACACATGTCAGCATGGCAGAGAGGAGTTGAGTTTATCGCGCCTAAAGCTCTAATAAATTTACGAGACAAATTTCGCACGATTTTCCTATTAAAATGTTGATTTTTCCATAAGCATATATCGAACAATATATCGCCTGCCATGTGTTCCCTTGATTGACAAATTTAAAGTCGGTTAGAAATTCTAGAAAAAATATACTTTATGCCGAGATTGTGCCTTGAGTGTCCTCCGCCTTGATGCAGCCAATGGATTCCTGTCAAAGTTTGCTCGGAAATGTGTCAATGCCTCTAATCAGTGAACTACTTTCCTTGCAGTGACCTTCCTTTTAGCAGCAGCGTTGGGGGAAACTCCCCTGAAATTCCGCCCCGTTTGTGGCTCTTTTTTAATTAAAATATAAAAACGGTGGCGGAGAACGTGCCGCGGTCGTTAGGCAATAAACTTGGACACCGCGCATCCTGCCGAGGACAATTACAAGGCGGAAAATGTCGCAACATTTTCCATCCTTATCGCTGGGTTTCTGGGTGCTTTAAGCACAAGAATTCCGGGGCCGCGACATAAAGGCAAACGAATTAACGACATTGTAATGCTTATCTGAGAGAGAAAGGTTCTGGTCCTGCTCCTGGGATATCCTTTCGCCATTGAACAAAAATGTGGGGGACAAAAATCTCTTGATTTTTTAATTTTAACGCTTTATTTAATTATGTGCAGACGAGACATCTTCAAGTTTTGCTAATAAAATGCTTAAGGAGTGCCGTGCCGTGTCCCGTCTGCCCCTTGCTTCTGCCTCTGCCTCTGCGCCATAAAGCCCAAAAAAAAATGGGCTAAAAATTGCATTTTTTCCCCAAATACTTTCGCTCCCTCTCTCTCTCTCGTTTCTTGCTTTTTTTTTTAATAAAGACATCAACAGATGGGCAGCGATAAAAAGCCAAAGATTATGGGCTGGACAAAAGGGGACAGGGACAGCGTACGAACTACAAAGGAGCATGTGCTTGGGCCTGGACTTGGTCCTGGGCCAAGTGTCGTGTGGCTTTTGGCTTTTCACACCCCCCCACACCAAAAAAAAAAAGAAAAAGGAGAAAAAATAGCAACAAGAAAAAGGCAAAGAAAAAACACAGGCAACAGTTTCAGTTCCATTCAGATTCAGATTCAGAAGTGGAAATGGACAAAAGGCCAGACACTGGAGATTTAGTTTTTTTTTTCTAGCTGTGACCTCCGACCCCTTGCTGTGTGAGTTTCTTATGTCCCTTTTTTATGTGCTTAAAGATAAGATTTTTCCCATTGGCATTTTTGGCGTAATGTAAAAACTTTTAATTAGCTGGCCAAGAGAGAAGTAGGAACCGGACCTGTCTCCTGCTCTAGATTTTCACCTTCTCCGGATTTCCCTACAATTGCTTTTCAATTTGGTGTTCTACAAATTTCCCACAAATGAAAATCAAAATCAAAATAAAAATCAAATAAAAATCGCATTGTTGTTTCCTTTAGCCATTCCTTTGCCTTGAAGGGGGGGATGCTTATGGCCTAATTATAGCCATCGTTTGGCAATGCTTGACACCTGTTGTTGGTGTTCCATTCTGTTGCCTGTTCCCTGCATTCCATCCTTGTCCCTGAGCTCTGATTTAAATCTTTAAAATCAATATGCCAAGTGAGAAGAAGCCCAGGCCAAACAGATGCGACAGCTCCTAGGTAAACATGGCCAAGAAGGCAGCTTCAGCAGAGAGAAGAGGGGAGTGTGACTGTGACATCCTTGACAGGTGTGAAAATGGGGGGCGGCATTTGAAGTTGACTTCCCATCGCCCTCGGGCAACAGACAGTTGGGCAAATTGAAATGGTTTAGATTACATTTGACATTTATAAGCGGATTTTGCCATTCGATTGGGGATTGGGAAGGAGAAAGATTTCCGACTGAGGAATCTAAAAAGAAGAAGAAGGATCAGCTATGGCTATAACAGATGTGTATTTTAATTCAGACTTCACATGAAAAACCTTAACAAAAACTAGCTTAAAACTAGGCGATCTATGCGATCTTTGCCCATGTATCTACATGGATAGAATGGTCTTCTTGATGATGTCAATGCTCTCGAGCATCTGTGCCTCATTGATGACCAGAGGTGGGGCAAAGCGAATGATGTCCCCGTGCGTGGGCTTGGCCAGGAGACCGTTTTCCTTGAGCTTGAGGCACACGTTCCAGGCATCGTATTCTGTTCAGCGGCAAAGCCAGAGATTAGCTGGAGCGGCCGATTAATAAGGGGCTAAAAAATACTCACTCTGATTGATGACAATGGCATTGAGCAGTCCCTTGCCACGGACCACAGAGACCACATCCTTGGGCAGCTGTCCCAGTTCGCTGCGCAGAAGTTCGCCCATTTTGTAGGCATTCTCGGCCAGATTCTCCTCGCGCAGCACCTCCAGGGCGGCCATGGCCACACGACAGCCAAGGGGATTGCCACCATAGGTGGAGCCATGCTCGCCGGGCTTGATGCAGAGCATCACCTGATCGTTGCAGAGCACCGCGGAGACGGGATACATGCCGCCGGACAGTGCCTTGCCCAGGATGAGGATATCCGGCTGCACATCCTCGTAGTTGACGGCCAGCATGCGTCCGGTGCGGGCTAGCCCGGTCTGCACCTCGTCTGCGATCCAGAGGACATTGTGCTTGCTGCACAGCTCACGGACCTTCTTCAGGTAGCCATCGGTGGGCACCACCACGCCAGCCTCGCCCTGGATGGGCTCCACCATGAAGGCGCACACATTCGGATCCTTGAGGGCCTCCTCGAGGGCCGTGGTATTATCGTAGTCGATCAGCTCGAAGCCCGGCATGAAGGGACCGAATCCCTCGTAGCTGATGGGGTCATTCGAGGCGGACACCGCCGACAGGGTGCGGCCCCAGAAGTTGTTTCTGGCAAAGATGATCTTGGCCTGGTTCTTGGGTATCTTCTTCTGCTCGTAGCCCCATTTGCGGGCCAGCTTGCAGGCCGTCTCGCCGCCCTCCACTCCGGTGTTCATGGGCAGAACTTTGTCGTAGCCAAAGAACTTGGTCACAAATTCCTCGTACTCGCCCAGGACATCCGAATAGAAGGCTCTGGGGGGTGGACAGAAAAATGTATCAAGATTAACACTGCACTCACAGAAAAATGGCAGAGTAAATGGAAACACCCTATATTTAAAATAAATATTCGGATTTTAAACTAAAACATAATGAAATTAAATGGAGTGTAATTATGAAAATATTTAATCCAAATATTAAATATATTTATTTTACAACTTAAATGTATTTATTTTAAATATTAAATATATTTATTTTAAATATTTAATATATTTATTTTCAATATTAAATATATTTATTTTCAATATTAAAAATATATTTATTTTATATATTAAACAATTTTAAATGCCTTAAACATTTTTCGATGTAAAATTATAAATATGTTAGTTATTTTTTTCTTTGGGTGTGCGTGCCCCAGATAAGCGCCCCAAAATTGCCTTTCTAAATTCTAAATTTAGAAATCACAAAACAACAAAATTAAAAAGCTAAAACAAGTCATTGATCAGGTTTTCTTATCAATGTTTTTACTGGCGACTTTATGGCCTCATTCAACCCAACAATCTGCCCCTGGCAACCCAAAGTGAAACCAACCAAAACCGGCAAGAGCCGTCCAAGTCAAATCAGTTAGGAACTCGAGTGCAATAGAATAATTCAATAAATTTTAATTCTGACAAATCAGCCATCAAACATTCAGTTGAGTGTGAATTTATATGAGCATTTGAAACTGATTAGATTCCAATGTGCGATATCAGTTATTAAACTGCGTTTCATAGGGTTTCAATAAACTAAAAAATAGTTTTAAATTAGGAAGTAAACACAAACTAAATGGTTCGCAATCATTAGATGAGGAAAAAGGTTAGCAATAGAGAGACTTTTCATCTATTAATAGCTCGGAAGCGAGTTTATTTGGAGTGCAGTAAAAACAAGTAATCTAATCTCATCTAGACACATAAACAACTCAAGTATTAACCCTAAAGACAGGGTATTTTTAAGGGCAACTTCAACTGCAGTCTGTGGATGGTGTTCCTTGATCTAAGAGGAATGCAGATCGATTCTTACTATGATAATCGCTGCTGTTTCTGACCCAGTACTGTCTGCAGAACAAAGAAGAAATCCTGCAAATTCTTAATCGGATATTTCTGTTTCTTTAAACCTTCTAAGTTTGCTTGGAAACAGTCAGACGAAAAAGGCCACTCGACATGTCTGTGGATCACTTGAAAGTAATCTAAAACCTATGGAACTCTAAAGAACACACAGAAAGAGAGAACTTCGAGAAACAAAATGTCTCTCCCACCAATTGAACCAAGGTCACACTCGGATATTGCTCTCGCGTATCTCTTTACTTATATTTTATCAAAAAATATACATACTCGTGTGTAGATAAAGCTTCATGGAGCCGATAAGCTTTTCGAGCGCTAGGGGGGCACGTCTTTTTGTTGTTTGTCGATACGATAATGAATGAAATGATATTATTTTCATGTTTATAGTTTATTCAACTCAATGATACACTTACCTGGAGGTCAGAGCCAGCTTGGAGGCCTGTTCCGTGAGTGCCTTGACAATTTTGGGATGGCTGTGGCCCTGATTGACGGCGGAGTAGGCGCTCAGATAATCAAAGTAGCGTTTACCCTCCACATCCCACACAAAGATGCCCTCGCCCTTGGTCAGGGCCACTGGCAGTGGATGGTAATTGTGGGCGCCGTATTTCTGCTCCCGGGCAAAGACTGCCTCGGATGCAGACTGGGATCCGGTGGATGTGGTGGTCTCCTTGGGTGCCGTCTTCTGGGCCAGGCAGCTCAGGCGGGTGGCAATGCCGCGTGTGGAAAGCTTGGAGAACATTGTGAACGGATCGGTAACGTGGGGGTCTGATACTTCCACTCGCAAAATTCGAACTGAAACTGGGCTGGCTATAGGCGGCAGCTTTTTATACTGCGCATAGGGAGAGGCCAAAGCGAGGAGAGAGCGTTACGTACCCCCCGCAAAGATCGCGCTATCTGGAAATAATATTCTGCTCTCTGTGCTTCGCTCTCTCAAGCTCTATCTTGCTTACATTCTCTTTATATAATGTATTCAAATTATCATCTGATACTTGGGGGAATGTGATCCGTACAAATGTACTCGGACGTCTGCTTGTTGTTGTTATTGCCTCGAACCGGCAAATTTGTAATCAGCAGAAAATTTTTCCACTGCTCAATTGATTGAAGCGCTCAAGCATGCCGGGGGAAGGCAGCTTTTCGTTATATGTAGAAACAAATTACAATTCAAAGCTTTTGTCAACCATGCTGCTTGATATTTGCTTTGTCTTAACGAAATTTCTGAATCTCTTAAATATTAGTAAAGGGGAGAACCTAATGGAAAATTATTGGGGAGAGGCTGTACCAGAAAGCACGGAACTAAAGTAAGAAATTCCAAAAGATCTGGAGTATAACAAATTTTTCAACTTGCGAGAATCATTTAAGAATCATTCATTGATTTTTTTTTACTATGTATTAGCTAAGATCGAAATTATAGCAAGGTTATAGGTTCCTTTGTAATTGATGCTTTTGCTGCCAGCTGTTCCCATTGCTCCGAGAGTTCTTCCACGGCAATCGGTGTTCCCGACCAAGTCGGGCCCCAAAAGCAATATAGTAGTACAAGGATTTTCATCACAATATTTTCTTTTCCATATTTTGCGTGAAAATGCCAGAAATGAGATATGAAAATAATACAGGGAATAGGCAAAGGTCAGTCTAGAGTAGAGCCAATGCTACCGCACTTGATAATACATTTAAAATAATATCTTTGGTCCATTCTTCCATTGGTTTAAAGTATTGTAACAAATAGAATCAGACCATATAAATATTCAATAAATATTCCCCATAATGTACGCATTGTCTGCTCATGCTGTATTAGAACTTTCTTTAAAAATAAACACCCTCCAATACTTACCCACCAATTTATTCAATTATTTTATAACACTCAAAGGGGGCGTAGTACTGGGGTGGGTACTGTTAATATTTTCATGTATTTATTTGATTTTTGTCATAAATAATTTATGGGCTTAAGAATTTACAACTAATTATTTGCTTAATGTTGAAACTATTTCTCATTTCTCGTATTTATTTATGTTATTTGTTTTTTTGTTTTGTTTTGTTTTGTTTGTTCCGATCAATCAAATATTTAACAATTATAGCACGTTCAGGGAAATTACGAATACATATTACATATACACGGATCGGATATATTATGGTAGGGTATATATTTATAAGACAGTTTGAAAAGGCAACACATAAATTGCACTAGTAGAATTTCCATTTCAAAACGGTTAAAAACAAAATTTAATTTACATGCCGAATTTTTACAGAGCACAAAAAGGAGGGTGGTGGGAACACAGGGATGGGGAGGGGAGTGTAGATATGCCCAATTAAACAGAAATTTGCATACCAATTTGCTCCATTAGCTACCACAAATACTCGCACAATACAATACATATATTTGTTTTATTAATTAATTTTAATAAATTCACGCTTTGATTGCAATTATCAACCTTTGACCTTTGTCACCTCTACTCCATGGCCTGGCCCACACTCTGCTGCGGCGACTGGGCTGGGGACAAACTGCGGGGCGTTGATGCTGCCTCTCCTCCCGGTCCGGAGCCAGTTGCGCCGCCAGTCCTCTGTTGCTGTTGCTGGTGCTGCTGTTGCTGATGCTGTTGCTGTTGGTTCTGGGCCTGATTGAGCAGCTCCTTGTTCAAGCGATAGCTGCTCATGACATTGGCACAGCTCTGATGAAAATAGAAGTTACGACCGCGCAGGAACGCATCCGTATTGAGATCCTTTATGCCTGTCTTGAAAGATATAGGGAAGAGAAAAGGTGTGGAAGATATAGAAATAGTCGCTAGTTATGCGTCATGCGGTATGCGGTATGCGGTATGGGGTGCATCAACGTCGGGGGTGGCGGGCGGTGTGGAGTACATTTGTAGAGAGACAGTTAAAGGCAACAACAGATGGATAAAGGATAGATACAAAATAGTTCGTGCTGGACTTTGGACTAAAAAGTGAAACTGAAGCAAACTGAGAAATTACCTTACAAATGAAACATTTGTTTTCATCGTCCGGTTTTAAATCCGAACTAATTCCCACCTTTGTGTCCAATTGCGTTAATCCCGGCACTCCCATCGATGACAGCTGCGACAGGCTGTTCTCCATGCTCTCCACATATTTCGATGTTGGTGTATTGTTGTTGTTGTTGTTGCTACTGCTGCTGTTGTTGTTGTTGTTGTGGGAGATATCCATGGGTCCGGGATCGGTGCTGCTAACCTGCGGCTCCGAACGGGGACGCTCTTCGACGGGTGAAATGTTCTCCAGAGATCTGCATGACAAAAAAAAGGAGAACAATTTTGCATTCTTTGCTATCGATAATTATCGATTAGCACTCACCTGCTGCTGCCCACATTCTGCTCCTCCTGCCGTCGCTGCTGCTGCTGCTGCTGCTGTTGCTGCTGCATTTTGTTGTAATTCATTTTGTTCGTCATCTTCATGCTGCTGGTGTTGTTGTCATCATCATCCACAATCACATCCTCATCGCTATCGTTCTGGCACGAGGCCGTGTCCATCATTAGCTCCTTGTTGTTGTTGCTGCTGCCGCCACCGCTGTGGTTGTTGCCGTTGCCGTTGCCGCTGCTGCTGTTGTTGTCATTGACGCCCACGCCGCAGGAGTCGGCATTGTAGTAGTGATGTGTGGTGGATGACAGCTCGCTGACGTTTTTCACTGAAAGACCAGAGACGTAATGGAGGGCAGAGTAATTATTAGCATGCGGCAAAAAGGGGAGCTGGGCGGAGTGGTGCGGAGAGGAGACCCACCACTGATATGTGCCTGAGGCGGTTCGCCCGTTGGCCAACTACTGCTGCTGCTGCTGCTGGCTGTTGTCACATTGGTGCTCACATCCTGCTCATCGCCGTGCACATCCTTCTGGTTCATGACGCAGGCCGTGCGGTACAGTATGCCATCCAGCTTGCCCGGCTGCGCGTTGCTGTTGTGCATGCTGGTGGGTATCGTCACGACGCCAGCGGAGGCCACCGATCCGGGGCCAGCCAGCTCCGAGCCCGAATCGGGCACATCATCCGTGCAGCTCTCCACGTCAACCGTTTCGATTTCCTCCTGCGACTTGGCATCGTCCTCGGGTAGCTTGCCCGCTTCCAGGGCATACTTTCGCTTGCAGATCGGACAGCTGCTACAGTAGAGACTCTCCATCATGTACATTTCGCCGTATTTGCGCTTGCGCACCTTGAGTCTCAGGCGGTTCTGCCGATTGTTGCGTATCCGCTGGAATGTCTGCACCCAAAACGATTAGCATTAGGAGATCTCTTGGTGCTGAAGGAGTGTGGAGTGTGTAGGGACCTACCTCCCAGCGATTGTGACTGGTGCGTATGGCGTTCTCTTGGGCCGGACAGGGTGGAGCAAACATATATGTCGCCTGCAGATTGGCCCGCTCGAAGCCCGCACTCAGCTTGTAGAGTCGATCCAGCTCCGTGAGGAAGTGCGTGTGCCACTCCTCCGGACTCAGCTTGAGCCCACACACCGGACACATATCGGGTATGGCCCCGCCGGCAGCCGCTGCCTGCAGCCCACTGACCAGACTCAGCCCGCCCGGCACCGCACGCAGTCCGGCCATGCTCAGGCTGGCCAGCGCCGCATGATGGGCCGCATGGTGATGGGACAACGGATGCGGATGGGCCATGTGATGGTGTGTCGTTGCCACCGAGCCTGGCGGCGCCCCCACATGATGGCCATGATGGGGATGCGAATGCGAGTGCTGCTGATGTTGATGCTGATGCTGATGCGGATGGGAGTGCGAATGCGAGTGCGAGTGCGTGTGATGCAGATGGGGCGAGGCGGCCAGATGTGTGGCCATCGAAACGGCCACACTGCTGGTTGGGGTGCTGATTTGTGCCGAATTGCTGGTCGAGCAGGATGAGGATGAGGACGAGCTGGAGGCCGATGCCGAGGCCGAGGAGGTGGCCATTGCCGGGTGTCCCTTCCCCGCATTATGCAGATCTGTGAATGAGAAGGACACTAAATTTTAGCCATGCCCGCAATCATCAATCAACTGAAGGCAATAAAAATTGAAACAAATTCCAACCTCCCCCCTTCCCACCACACATTGATTTCCATTCCGCTCTTCCGCCTGGGTGGGGGGTGTTCTGTCCCTGTCCCATAAATTTCTCAGGCATTTTCTAATTGCCTTCCACCCTCAATCCGCCCACTGTTTTCGCTGCTCTCTGCACATTTTTAACAGTGGAGGAAAAAAATTAATTGGAGCTCGTAATTCTGTGGAGAGAATCAGAATCAGAATCAGCGCCAGAAACAGGAACACACAGCTCTCGGCCGCAGATTCCTCATGTCAGACACACGTTCACACGTCTCCCCATTTGGGGAGCCACAGGAGCAGCGGACACGGAGCACGGACACGGGCACAGGAAAAAAGAGAAGCCACACCGTCAACCACAATAAATACAAACTGTTTGCTGGCCAAAAATCCACACCAAACAAAATCTCGCTCTGCTTCTGCACGTGACTGTTCGTTCGGTTGGCAATTAAAATAATATTACAATAAAATATATCGCAATATGGCGGAGAGCAGCAGGCTGCCAGGGGCTGCCAGGATGCGCCCACTACAGGCCCACTACAATTGCTGAATTTTATATTTATATTCCTCTAAAATATGTCGGTTAACCGCGGCCAAACAGAACAACACACACAGAAACAGTCAGCGGTCACTGGCGGATGGAAATGGTCCACGGATATAGAGAACGAGAGCGATCCAATCGAGTCGTGACGCTGCTTCAAATTAGCTTAGATGTTGCTGCTGGTGGCTGGGAGGGAATGTGTTTCGGTTAACAGTTTCGCTGTGAAATCGTTTGGTTTTTAACCAGACCAATTTTTAAAGAATAAACAGCGGATAAATAAATGTTTGGGGACGCTTTAAGTAAGGAATTAGAGTAGCTAAGTACCCCGGATGCAGTGTCGCATCAGGTGTGCTGCGACTGCAAAAGTTTTGTCTGCTTTTCAATTGAATTTAGTTTCCAGAACAGCCCACAAACTAAATGGAATTTTCTGCCGAAATGTTGGACTCCTCTTCCTAATATGGTATGCAAAGCTACAACTCTGAATGCCTGACAAACTGACATCGCCTGGCAGTTATTATAATATTAGTTATCAATGACCTGCCCCCCACCCACTCCTACAACCCCCACGCAGTGTCACGAGCTCTGGGACATAAACCCCCCATCTGTCCCCAACGCTGTAAAAAAGGGGGCGTTCCCATATATCGTTATATGAAATATGAGTTACGTTGCTCTGCGTTTTTGGGGTTTTTTCGGGTGGATGTGGGCTGCCCATTAATATTACAGAAATTAATATGAAAATTCCAAGTGTGCATTCAATATAATACATCATTGGAGTAACAATAAAAACAAGCACAACCAGAGTCCAAGGGGCGGGGGGGATGGGGGAAATATACTTGTAACGATAATAATTCTCGTCATAACAATGCCAAACAATGCAATCAAAGCGATTTGCAACACTTGCGCATCCTTTGAGGGAGCAAATAATAAAGCCAGGACAAAAAAAAAAAACAAAGTGTACCACGAGTAGAGAGTCCCGCAATAAATGAGCAAACATTATGGTATCGAAAAAGGATGGCCGAATGAAAGGATGGTGGTGTTAGTGGTGGGCTGCCTTATAATTGCCTCTAGAAGAGTTGCAACAATGTCGAGGATAAGTAATTAGCCCTGGAAATGGTGAGGAGGCAACGGTCGTCGTCTTCGTGTGCCGCGCACACGAGCCCTGGGTCGTCCTCCTCCTGCCAAAAGGATGCGGTTTGACTTTGTAGTCAAGTGGTTTTTGTGTACGAGTACTGGGATGGTGGTTGATGTTACATTTCAATAAGGCCAACTCCAGTCAAGTCTCGTACTCGTTGTGCCATTTAAAACACTTTGGACACACGCACAGGCACAGGCACACCACAGGCACACCCTTCCTAACCCTTTTCTCTTTTCTGCTTTCTGTTCTCTGTGTGGAATGCCCTTTTGACTTTTGCCGCATGTCGCATGCCCCCCCGTCCACTAAAGGAGGCACTGCATGGAAAGGAACTCTTCGAATGAGCACGGACTGCCGGCTGTTTACCTTTAGTTAGTTGAACCCATTGATAGATGCTCGCCTTCATATCAGTTTCAGCTAATTAAAAGTGTATTATTTATCCAAATTAATTTATGGGCCTCATGTCTAAGCCAAAAGTTAAACAACACCCAACAATTCGCATGTAGAGCGGCTTTTTGTTTCGGTTCTGCTTCCGGTGCTTCCGGTGCTGGTGGTGGTGTGGGTTGAGGCCGGAAAAACTGGTTTTCCGGCTTAAGTTGAAAGGCAAATAATGGCCAAAATAAACAGTTGTCTACACATGTATATATGTGTGTGTGTGTGTGTGTTTGCCAGGGGTGTTGCCCGAAAGAGGGGTTTGTGAATATGTGGAAATGGCTGCTCGAATTATGCAAAATACAGTATGGCAGGTGTCGGTTAATATTTGCGAGGTATCCAGTATAATTTTAATTTAGAATCACTTTGTTGCTGCACAGGTTTTGCTTGGGCTGTGCCTCTCTCTCTTGCTATTGATCCTGCAGGACTGACTTTAAGCCTTGCCAAGCCAATGCCAATGCCAATGCCAAACTCTCACTCACGTACACCAGCAACAAAGAAGCGCACAATATTAGACATTGAGATCAATTTCCTACTCAGTAAATATATTTATAGGTACTTATATAGAACTAGTATATTTTGTCGCTTAATTCCATTATTCTCCTTACTTTTTTATCTCTAGTCAAATTCTCCAACTAATTTATTCGCAACCCCCTTTTCCTGTTGCGCCCCGGTGTCAAGCTCTCTTCTAGCACCCCATCCCTTAGATTTGTTTGGTTCATTTCCATTCCATATTTATCATTTTCATATGCTGTCGCTTAATTTGTATCGTAAGGCGCTTAACTCGAACAGCTTTGCCGAGCCCCAGGACCAATTAGCAACGCATTTGAGTCTCATTTGCTTAGCCCATATTCAGGCACAGTCCTGCAGCACAGCTTTAAGGTACGAAAGCACGAAAGCCACCCCCCGCAGGTAAATCGTAAATATGCGAAATTGATTTGGAATGTCTGGGCAGCAGAGGCAAAAAAAAGAGAAAAAAAACTAATAAAAAAGAAAGTAGAGTGAAGTGAAGTGCGTTATGGGAGTGGGTCCTGCCTGGGCTCTGTGCTGTCAGCCTTACGCCTGCCAGTCAAAGTTAACCCACTGAAGCGTTAAAATTGCTCAGGAAAAGTAAAATTGAAACAAATACGAGTGCGCCCCGGAAGATTTTTATCAGAAAAATTCGGGGAAAAAAAGGCAACAAAACTTTCTACTTCCAATTTTTGAGCAGTTTTTTTTTTGCCATGCAAATTTTTTTTTTGTCAGATGTAAATTTGCTAAATAAATAAGGGAATTGGAATGGAAGTGGAGATAGGAAGGCGGCAGTGGCAGGAGCAACCCTACTTACGTCTCAAATCCCTGGGATCCTGAGAATTATTACTGCGCGGACTTTCACCCTTTTCAACGGCATCGTAATCCTGTGATCCCTCCATGGATTCATGGGATGTGCATGTGGGACTCGCCGAATCCGTGCGAAATGATTCGCTGCCATTGAACAGATTCTGCCAGAGAGAGAGAGGGAGAGAGAGAGAGAGAAATCGAAATCCCATTATGACAAGTGTCAATCTTTCAACGATTATCAGCTCAACGCGGATATGCTCCTCCATCCACTGAAGAGGGTTCTTTCTCTTGGGAGCGGGGGAGGGACTCACCTGATCCAACGATATGCCAATATATTTGGGAGGCGAGAATGCCGACGGCAGCGAGAAGTTCGACAGCACTGACGGTTTGCCCAGCGGCGATCTATCGCTGGCAAAGTAACTCGCGGGCCCCGCACCGGCGGCTGCCGCCGCGGCAGCGGCGCCGTTGGCCACCAGCATTCCATGGTTGAGGGTCTGCAGCAGATGCGGATGGAAGTAGTTGCCGACTAGTGACATGTTGTGTAGATCTTTGGCGTCAGGTAACTGAAACGGGAAAAACTAGAGAGCATCAGTATGATGGGGTTTTGCTTCGAAACACTTTTAGAGAAACTGAAAAAGGGAATTTTTAAGCTCAAAAATAATACCCATGCCCGATAATCTAACGTTTTAGCTAAGCTAGATCTACACCCAGAAAAAGAAAACCCTGAGAAAAGCTCCAGAGAAAGTGTAAAAAGAAAAAATGTCATTTCAATGTATTGCATATTTTTTCATTAATTAAATTTTATAGTTAATTTAAATATTTTAATATTTAGTTGAAATAAATTTCCCATAAAGAACTACTTAAGTTTAAAATCCTTAGGAATATTTTTCGAAACAAATTTGATGGGAGTTTCCATGAGCAGAACGTATACTTAATCAGCTGCAGCCTATCCATTCTATCAACAGGCCTTTTTGTATCCACAAATAAGCAATCTAGACTCCAAACGAAGATCTATATAGCCGCGGTGGCTCCCCTAATTGCTATGTTCCGCCACGTAGCCCCACGAGTTTTGACAGGCTAAGTGAGCGTTAAATTTAAGCGTTAAATATGCGCATTACTTGGGTCTAGGCCATGGAACCGCAGAACAAATTATGGCAGCTACATGACTTGGCGTTAAAATTAGCCAATTATGGATACACCTTCCTTCCTTCCTTCCTTCCTTGCGTCCTTCCAGGCAACATATGGCACATATGGAAAAGTGCAAGAAATCATTGCAGAATCTAATCGAATTCCACAGAATCAAGTCAAGTTTGTTTTACTTAAGGGTATGTATGTTCGGTACTCGTATTTGCATCGATAGAAATTATGCAGGGGAAATGTTTAATTTACGACAAATAAATGTTAAATTGAGAGATTTTCGAATTGCGATATCGAGACTTGTCGCATAAACTGTGTCACTCTGTTGGCTGTGTGTGTGTGTGGAAAGGGTGGGATGGGATGGGATGGGATGGGGTGTGGTGTGCGTTCCAATGGGGTGTAAAATAACGAGAAAAATGTTCACCCCCTTCCACCCGTACTCACACAAACACACACACACATAAAGACTTTTGCAAATGATATGGGTAAACCAGGAGTGGGTGAGGGTGAGGGTGGGAGGTGGCCTGTGTGGGGGAGAATTTTCCAACTCCAGATAACCGACAGAACGTAAAGCGCTCATAACAAATTGAGGCTGACGAGTGTTAAGCGGCGGTTAGGGACTGGGTACTGGGGGACTGAGCGACAGACAAGATACGACGAGTCTAACATAAGCGACGACATGTGTGACAAGTATTAACCCACCCACCCTCACCCTCACCCTTATTTCTATTTGCAGCAACGTAGCCCCGCTCCTTGGGTACGTTTTCTGGCTGCAAATTTACATACAAATTTGTCTGCTAAGGAAAGTTTTTTCTTCTTTTTTTTTTTGGCATAAAGTGTGGGAAAATGGTATCGAAAATGTTTGAGTGGAGTTGGAAATTGTTGGCTTATTTATGGATTATCTAATTTGGGGATTACTACTGAAAGTAAATGGGGTTTAGAGTTGAACATAAGTATTCCTCGATAAAATCTATGAAATTACGTAAAGAAATATATAAATAAAAAAGGAAAAGGAAAAAGAACTCGGAATACCAGTTATCTATGTTTAGTTCTATAAAGATTCTCTTTGGCTTAATTATCTCTACACTTTGGTCAATCTGGGCTAATCAATCGCATTCATTAAACTGGAAAATCCTTCCTTCGACAGTTGCTTAATCCGCCCTCTCGTCCGTTGTCCTTGCTGATGCTGCTGCCCAAGGCAGAGCCAATAAATTAAGGCTTATCAACGGAAATTAGCACCTCAATTTGGGGGCTAGCTGTTGCAGCATATGTTGCCATATCAGCTTCATCATCATCATCAGCTGCCTCCGCCGCCGCCGCAGCATAATGCTGGAAATGTTGCAAGTCAGACGGACTGGAAGGGAGTATGTGGCACATACATAGTACAACCGCATGAGTTGCACTTTGTCTAAGTCTGCAGTTTGGTCAACAGCTGGCCCCGCCACAGCAGACGGGCATGGGGATTGGGGATTTTGGGGACTTTGGGGACTTTGGGGAAACAGAAGTGGTCAACCACTTGCTGGCGGGGGGCAACATCACGACTTTTTAATGCATTACGTGTTGAAGAGTGTTTGCAGCGCGCTTATTGATTTATGCCTGTTAATCAGTGTTAAGCCAAGGCCAAGCCAGAGCAGGTGCTGTGACCGACCACCCTCTAGCCTTTAGCCGCCAGGGTGCTCTCGTATCTACCCCCGTTGTTGTTTGCTTTTCTATTAGAGGGCCGTCGGGGGGTGGTGATTTGTTATCCCAAAATAAAACATTCCTCCTCTTGTCTGAGATTTGCATAAATTCTGTGTTCTGTGTTTGTTCTTTTAACACTTGAATTATTGCCTCTTGGCCTATACTCTGCCTTGGCAGATGATTCCCATCTGTATCTGGATCTGTAAATGTATTTGGTTAATTCTGTTAAGTTGCAACTGTCAGCTGCAACAAGAGACTGTTCCAGGGACAGCAACAACAACAATAACAGCTTAATTACAACAAAACGATAACGAGTGGCAAATAGCAATTGTCTACATACAATTGCCAATTTCGCTTAACTTGGCCATAAACAACAACAAAACGACAGCCCCGGCGGAGAAGTCAACACACAAACACAGACCGCATCGCATCGCATCGCATAGCATCGAACAGAATCTGAACTGAACAGAAACCGAACCAATCGAAACAACTTGGGGCCTCCTCAAAACACCACACCACAAATAAATCTCAATTTGTGGCACTAACACGAGGAGTAAACGCTGAGGGCAGCAGAAGGAGAAGCAGAAGGGAACACTAAAAACGTTTAGCAATTGGCAATTTTCTCAAACTAAATGTTTATGGGGCGAGTGAGTCCGAGAGAGAGTCACCCCTCAACCTGTTCGACTGTTTGTTGCACTCATTGCGGTTCGGTGCAGCATTTTTTGTAGCATAAGTTGAGGGGTCTTTGAAGTCAATGCTGGGGGGGATATTTCTCTAATGACTATTCATTTTAACTATTATTTATTTCTTATTTTTTATTTCTTACAGCAATCATTAAAATGCCATAGGGTTTGCTAGCTGGTGAGTATCTTCCATCTTTAGTTATTTCTATACTCATTATATTTGCCAGTATGATTATTTATTTTATTTGAATTTGTAATTGTTAATTATCGTTATTTCTTGGTTATCTTACATTTTTCCTTATCCCGCAACCAGCGATAAAAAATATTCCAAAATTCCTTTCCATTCAGTATCTTCCATCTTGAGTTATTCCCAAGTGGCCTGCCACTTGTTAGTATCTGCCATCTTTAGTAGCTCTCCTTGTCCCTTCACACCATATGTTTTGCTCGCTATTGTTCTCTAGTTCTACCCTTCTCCATCTCTCAGTTCGGGGGCATACCTTAAGCCAACTATCATTGACCATTTGTGCACAGCACATGATACTGCGGTACTGCTAGTACTCTTCATGAGTGCTTCTTGTTACACGCCTCGATGCCTTTGCATTTTTCGCCTGTGGCCCCGACTCTGCGCGTAGTTGCCGTCTTGATAAATTGCTATAAATTAAATTAAGCTCGCTCACATACACACTCACAACTCACCTCCACATCCACATACTTTGTGGTAATAAGTGTGCAGAAAAAAGGAATTATTTTTCATATGTTGTCCCGCGCCTCAGACTCATAATTTCTCTCCCACCCTGAGAGAGACCAGAGGGGAGTGCTCTGTTCTGTGCCTGACCATTTTTTTCTCTGGTTCTTTTTCACTCTTCCCCCTGACGGTACGGGGGTCAGTCGTCTACCTTTTGTTGGTTTTGTTGGTGGTTACAAAATTGTTATGGAACAGGAGGCGAGAAGAAGTGCCACAGAGTACCAGCACCAGTAGCAGTGGCAGTAGCAGTGGCTGTGGCAGGGAGACATTAAACCATTTGACATTGCATTTAATATGCTTGCTTGGGTTGTTTTTATTAATTTTTATTGTTTGGGCTATGCTTGGTTATAAATGGTTGCATAAATAATGGTAGATAAGCGAGAGAGAGAGAAAGAGAAAGAGGGAGTACAGCTATTGTGCAAGTTTTTTCTAAAGACACAAATTTTATGTAGGGATGAAGAACAGGTGAGCAGACTCAAAGGGAATGGGTGGATCTACAAAGAAATTGGAAGTATTTATAAAGGGATATAACCGAAAAGAATGGCTCTCTGCTTTCACTTTGTTTCACTTGTATTGGCCTTCTTGTAGCTACAGCCTGCCCAGAGCCCAGCTTTCCAGATCCCAGAACGAACCCAACTCGCGTCTAGAGGACGAGGACATATTGTTGTCATGTTTAACATATCTTAACGCTACTCAATGCTATTCACAGGCCGAGATATAATTTCAATTCCGATTCCAGCTACGGCTTCTCCAATTCCCAATAACCAGTTTCGCCCAGAAGTTAGTTATTCCAAGTACGTTGGACTGGCTGCCGCTGAATGCTGCCCGCTGCCTGCCTGCAGTCGGAACATCATCAGCGTTCGAGTTCTTCATCATTTGTAGCATCAGCGTCAAGATCATTGCTCATGTTTACAATGATGACAGGCAGAGGAGCAACAGCAGCCGCAGCCGCAGCAGCAGCAACAGCAACAGCAGCAGCAGAAACAACCGAAGAAGCCACAACCAAATCGAATGTGGAATGGTAGTAGCTGCTGCTGCTCTGTGGGATCCGGGGGCTGCTCTGCCTGCCATCAGGCCCGGGCTCGAGGTTCGGTATTGAAGCTATCATAAATCTGTTCGTCGCAAAAATCGACACACAATGGGGCGTTTGCAAACGCATTCGTTGATCGGAATGCGACGACGAACTCTCTGAATCTGCTGCCTCTCTCTCTTGACTGACTTCTTGACTGTGTCGGCACGGGGGAATGGGAATGCCGTCGTGACACGGTTTTGAAACACGATCATCTCATCCCAATTATTTCTTAGTTTTACCAAAAAAACACGCAAATATGATAAGCTGTCAGGGTATTTTTTTCTCCTTGAAATCTCCTTATTTATGATCGCTCTCACGCTGTCATCGCTAGGACTCTCCTTCAACTGGAAGTTCACTTGGAAAAGCTTGTTCGTTTATGTGATTTTACAATGCATATTGACTGACGATGGGTATTCTGGGTAGCTGGCAGCGTGACACGGGAGCAATTACGGACAGGTTCCCCGAGGAACCTCATTTCGTAGTCATACTTTCTCTTCGAACTGCTCTTATTTATGATCTCTATCTCTCACGCTGCCATCGCTAGGCGATACTTTGCTCAACTGGAAGTTCACTTGGAAGTTCTGGTTCGTTTTGTTGTTTTACAATGCGCATTGTTTTGGATGCTTTTGCCTTTTGCCTTAGCCTTTGCTTTGGCCTTAGCGGTGTGCTGATTTATAGCATCTTTCGGCATTTCGGCTACTGGCCCCCAGGTTTATGATTTGTCATAAATATGTCCCCACCACAGTCTGTCTCCCCTCCCTCCTTTGCATGAGCAGCAAACCTGATCCTGATCCCGATCCCTGATCCCTTGCATATTTGTATGGGTATGGGTATGGGGGGATGATTCGATTGGGTTTTACTTACTCTCGATGGAAACGGACGTTGTCCACGTAGAGCCTCATGCAAACCGGAAGCGGCCTCTGATAGAACAACAAGCGCTTGAGATGGCAAATGGCTGCTGCCAAATGCGTTGCTTTCCATCTGCAACTCGTTTTTTGCTGTTGTTGTTGCTGTTGTTTTTTTTTTGTTGTATTCTTTTATTTTGGTTTTGGTTTTTCCTGTTAACTTTTGATTTCAACTAATTTGGCACACACATAACGCACACACTTTCACTTTCTCTTTCTCTCCTTTTAAACTTTTATTGGCACATGCAAAATTTAGAAATTATAATCGAATATCATTTGAAATTGATTTCGGGCAGGTGGGTGGGGGGGGGTTTTCAGAGAACAGTAACAAGTACGAGTATTTATTTAGTAGTTCCCATGGGTCGGCGCAGCGTCGGTAAATTAACGGTAACGGATGGATCAGCTGACACGCTCTCTTTCTCGCTCTCGACACATGCATGCACCCGCACGTTCCCGTTGCAAAAATCCAACTGAGGCGCTGCTTTCGAATCCAGTTGGATTTCTCGTCGCTGGCTTCTCCTTCGCGGCTGCGCCGTCAGCGCTAGAGGAGCGCGCTCCGATTGGCCAGCAGCCACAACCGGTTTGGGTGCACTACAGACATCCCGCTCTGGCACACACAGACACCACATACCCACACCTCTCGCGATGACTTTTACATTATGTTCTCACCTCTTTTGCTGGCTCGAGTTTGTTTTTCCTGCCGCTGCCGCTGCTGCTGCTGCTGCTGTTGCTGCATTATTATTCCAAAATGGTTGCATGTTTGTCTGTTTTTATCTCTGCCATTGTACGCCTGTTTGTCTGCCAGCACCTGGTGCCCCGGGATGGGGGATCTGGGACCAGGGACCGACCCCGGGACTGCTACTTCTACTGCTACTGGGTACTTGGACTTCCCTTTTGGCTCCCCATCTTCTGGTTCCCTCCGCTCTGGTCAACTTCTGACATTTTGTGTAAATAAACCGTATGAGAAACATTTTTACTTTTGGCTTTGGTATTTTGTTGCCTGCCTTGTTGGTCGGACACTGTCCCGGACGGGAATGGGTATGGGTATGGCACTGGACTGGACTGGACTGGACTGGGCAAAGTATCTTGGAAGTCTGTCTTTCTTTTTTTTGCTGCCGCTTCTGTTTGGTTTTTTGTTTGCCGGACACTTAATATAGCACATTACCGTGGTATTTATTGGGCACAAAGTGCGAAATTATTTAGGACATAAAAAGAGAAAACAAATTGGAAATTCTGGACTTTACGGTTTCGCGAATTTAGCTCAACATAATAAAAATATATTCTCAATCAATAATTTTCGATTTATTCTAAGCTTCTCTCTGAATAAAACCCATTTGTCATATGAAATAATGTTTAATAATGTTTTAAAGAATTCCGAATAAATTTCCTTATATTTCTATGGTTTATGGAGGGAGATTCTGAATAGATTGGAATTGTTCAAAAAACATATTCAAAGTGCTGGATTGGTTCTTGAAGTCCTGATATGTTTGCTGATATTCCAATGTGTGTTTCCCCTGTAAGCTTTTCTTTTAAGGACTCTATTTTCTTTGCCATAATTTGAAAGAAATATTCAATGTTCTGGTTCTTTATGTTCGGCTCTTTTTACCTTGAAAATATATGATCCTTTGCTGGCTTAAAAGCTTTGCGCACCTTTCATGGTTTGTTCCCACTGTAAACTGTTTGTGGCAACTGCCTACAAACTGAAATAGTTGTGTCACACAATATTACCAAAGCAACAACTGCAATTACAACAATGCGAATGCGACATGGACAACAACCACTGTGTGTGTTGTGCACACTGTACAGTGGACACTATAAAAACCTTAACCCGTCTGCGCTCATCGTTTTTGTGCGGCTCAGGCTCGGGGTTTCTTCTCCCTTTGCGACTCGTTGTGATTTCCAATGTGTCGGACTAACTAAATAAAGTATTTTCCTTGCAATTTACTGAAGAGGATGGCACTACAGAACAGAGCAGAATCAGGAAGAAATTTGTGTAAAAAAAAAGCGGTGCAAACCTTTTCTGACATGTTTATGGGGACCTGTCCGTCAAAAGGAGGCAGGCAGTTGACACCACTTCATCGCCCCACCGGCGCACAGGATCCCATGCCTTTAATTGGTGGCTAGTAAATTTTCTCTTTACCATGTTTGGGCCTCAGAGATCGCCTCGAGAACGATTTCTTCTAATTTTTTGCTCATTAAATTTACATTTTAAGCATTCCTCTGGAGCAGAAGAGAGAGAGAGACAGAGAGACGGAGAGAGAGCAAAGCAGAGGTTTGCACTTTATAATTTCCAGCAGCCTGCCTCGGTCTGGTTTATTACCCACCCATCAGCGAGAGAGGGAGAGGTCCATAGTGGAGTCAAAAGCGAAAGAGTGGGGCAGAGAGTGATAGGATAGGAAATATTGGATACTTTTGTCGGGCGCATGCGCCGACGTTGGCGGTAGCCTACATTATGTGTCTATGCCGACTCTGACTCCGACTCCGACTCCCAGTCCGAGTGCGAATCCGAGTACATAGAACGTAGAGGAGCTCCTCCATGGCTCTCTCTGGCAGAGGTAACTAAGTCTTCCTTCGACTGGCGACTGGCGACTGCCAACTGGCGACTGGCAGCGACTGCCATGTACAGGACTTGTACTGCATTTCGGGTTGGCAGTAGATTTTTCATTTTATTTATGTGCTGATTGCCATTCTGCCTCCGCCTCCGCCACTGCCACTGCCCCATGCCCCATGCACCATTTTCCTGCCCCTGCTCATGCTCCCCCCTCCATCTTTCCTGCTCATCTCTTTGTCAGTTTGTCAGCTTCTCAGCTACAAAATTAAATACTTGTCGCTGGTCTGTCTTTACTTTTTTTTTCTTTCCTCTGTTCTGTTGTACTATGGGTCGTGTGGGTGTGGCTCTCTCTCTATATAGCCAAGTGTCGTCTGTCTTGGCCTTCTGCTCATCCCCACATGTGTATGTACAGATATATGTACATACATACATCTTGGCGCTGACAACTAATTTATGTAGTGGCCAGAAAGCAGCTGCTACAACTTTAGCCTCTCACAGTTCTTTAATAATCTTTCGCTTTTTTTTTCATTTTCATTTTCGCAAACAATTTCTTATAATTTAGTATGGCCAAGTGACGTGTGGTACAGTCTTCTAAGTGTTTGCTGTGGGTGCTACCATATAAATTTGTTGATGAACACCAAATTAGATATTAATTGGTGGACATTTTATGGCTTAGTTGTTGATTTTGATATGTTTACTTGTCATATACATATATTCATATGGGGAGAGGAATTTTGCAGTAATAACGAGTTAAGAGATGATTTTAGTTGGGTTTCCATAGAAATAAAATACTAAATGGGATATAGACTTAGTAAATGATGAAAATTCGAACAATAGATGAATCATTTTCACTTTCTTAATATGGTTACGTATCATATTTAAGTTGGAAATATTTAAAGAGTTGTGGTTTAATATATTTGAATAAAGTTGTGGCAATTTATTTTATTTTGTGTTACATTTTTGGTATTTCTATCCAAAAACTGTTCTAAACGTTGTCTAATTTGTACACATTTCTGTTAGCAATAGAGAAAATAATTTATCGACTGCCTGCACTAATCCTCTGCAAAGCCCCTGGCAGAAATATCTTCAGCAGCACTTCCGCCCCCTATCCGCACACCTGCTCCACAGACAGACATATCCCCTGGACAGATCGGGCAACGCCTCCGAATTAATTGAAACCGCATTACAAGTGCCAAGCCCAAGAAAAAAAAAACCCATACCGTTTGGCTGTCAAATCTGCCACAACCAATCCCTCGAATGCAGAATAAAACCAACTCCCAAAAAAGCAAAAACAAAAAAAAAACCACCACAGATGCGACTACCATAAAAAAAAGGAATTGCGAAAAGGGAGGAGGGATGGAGGGTTTTAGGAGGTCGAACCAGCAATCCCCCACAAATCCCAGACAAATGTGCAAGCGAAAGAAAATAAAAAAATTCAGCAATACTCCACCCTCACCCCCCCCAATCGTACTTGGTACATTTTCCCATGTAAATATGAATGGAAATGAATTACAAGCGAAATAAATGTACGAAAAAAATTGGATGAAACAAAGCCAAATCGTAAAAAACGAGCAAAAGAGCTAGCAAATATGGCTTTTGGGGGGGGGGTTCGGATTCGTATACGAGTTCGGGATTCGGGTATGGTGAGCTGGGGGGTATCATTTTTTTTTCTCTGTGTGTGGTTTTGCAGTCGCAATGTTGACATGTTCCAAATGCAATTTTAACAGGATTTGCAAGGATACATTTGCACAAAGTGACAGAAAAACGCAACAGCCAAAGTCAACTCCCTCCCATCTGAACCCCAGTCCAATTCTCATTCCCTGTCCCTGTGTGATGTGCGTGGCTGGCATAACTTGCGGCTTAAAGGGATCAACTTGTCATGTTTTTGTCGTTGGCATTGATTTTCCACTTTCCACGACAAACCAGAACGACCTGCGACCCCAGCCGAACCGAACCGAACCCAACCCATTCCGGCAGCTGTAACCGGGACCCTTGTCGGGCTTGGGTCATCGGTTGTGATGTGGTCTTAACGCTTCATCAATATGCTTTTCCCAACATTGCTAATTTTTGCGCTTTAGTCAACCTCCCGTGCATGGGCGCAGCACGAGTACGTGTGGCAGATTTATGTCTCATCTATGGCCACTCTGCAGCAGAGCCACAAAAAACAAGTGGACAACAAGCCAACAGCAAGGCATGGTGTCTCTCGTATCTCTCGTATCCTGTGCATGTGGGTGTGTTTAGTGTTAATCCGTCAATGATAAGCTCAATTTGTTGTGGTCACTCCAGCGACAATGGCCAGCCAGCCAGCCGGACCTCAGACTTTTACTCTGTGGCTCAGTGTGTGTGTGTGGAATGGAATGGGAGGGGGGATGCTTCTGCTGATGGGATGGGAAAAGACCATTAATGTTGTATTAGAGATTGTTTGAGATGGCAGCGTGATTGAACAAGGATATAATAGCAATTAAATTGAGCGGGAAAGCGAATATACAATATATGTATAGGTATAGGTAAAGGCTGCTTTGAGGCCAACTCAACTGTCCGCTAAATATTTTCCATATTAGAGAATTCAGTCTAGTCGGATCATGGAAGTTTCTCTCCTTCGATTGCCTTGTGACATTTTATCTCTGACAAAGTAGCTTCCCCCATGCGTCTGCATCCTTTGGTTTAGTGTGCCACCTCGTGAGTCCATCTCCAGTGTGCCTGCCCACACATGCATCATCTTAATTTTACTTTGCAACTAGTAGTATTACTCATCTGCCACACATGTTCCTGCCACTGAGACTCCCCGTTGTCACAGCCTGTGAAGTAATTTAAACTTTGCCTATGACAACAGCCCTTTGGCCGTTGCCGTTGTCTTTGTCTTTTGGCGCAAAAGAATCCATGAAGGATTTATGGATGG